AATGAAATCCTCCTTGTCGTTTTCTTCAGACTGAAGGTGATGTTCACACGCAATAACAACCACGTATCGACAAATCGCAAGCTCGTAGGCGGTAGACGACGGAGTGGCAACGTGCGTGGGTGAGCTGTGTCAACAAAACAAAACAACCCCGATGGTTAGAATCGGTGCTCTCGGTCCCAAATATCGAAATTATGCGCGTGTTTAAATCGTAACTAAGGTGCGAAGTGAGGGACACGCGCAAGTGTTCACCACGGAATGTTGGTCCGTCGCGAGGATAAATGGGGGGTGAGAGAAAATAAAATAAGACAAGAGTTGAAGCGCGCGCTTTTCGAAAGGATAATAAATACAGGCGCGTCTTCTTGATTCAATAAAGCCTTCTGTATGATAGGAAATGGAGAGAGGAAGAAGGACGAGGTTGAGGGGATGAGCTGAGGTTGTTGAGTGGGAGTTGCTCGGGACACTTTTTTTGCAGATATGCGGCTCGCGACGTTTTTTTCTTTCTTTTTTAGCGGTGCAGGTAATATTTCGGTCACGTGAATACGCGAGATAGTCTTGGCGGACAACATACAGTGAATGCTTTGCTACTGGATAATGGGTTATAGTGAGAATAGTATAGTGAATGAGAGGCAATACTCTGCTTTGTTTGCTTGACTCTGATATCATGTTCTTGTGGCAGCAAATGGGTCAGGCAGTTCGGGGTCTATAGTGTAATTTACGTATCTCCATTACACGTGCTTGTTTCCATGGCAAGCAGCCTTACAGCCTACAGATACTGACATCTTCCACGTTTCTTAATCGGGATCACAAAAGGCAAGGGAGTCGATGTCTAAGGTACTGATGCAGGTACATCATTAGGGCAGGTGCAAGTCTCAGTACGAAACTCAGACAGGCCTGCAAAGGTGTGCCTACTTTTTTGTGTGGACAAACGCGGGATAGATCTCCGATATGTAGAGTTAAACTGGCTGACGAGATCTAGCGTCATTGCAGACAAGGTTAAATCTTCCCTTGATATGATAACATATACCCAAACGATCATATGATAGATTACTGCGGTCTAACTGGAGAAAGGTCCCAGACGCGGGTACTACAACGGATCTCAACATTGTCGCGGCAAGAAATCTCCCTACGGATTGACAGGACAAGAGCCAACCGGAGAAATTGCAGGACGGGAGAAAGTCTTATATCTGCGGATTATTTGGCTTGGTCATCCTTGTCCAACATGCGCGTGCTAGGAAATCGGATTGATGCTCTACCGAGGCGCCTTTATATACCTGTACAACGTTTAACCCTGGACGGTTGGTCTAAATGGCAATTGGCCATGTTTCTCTCAGAATCGGGGACTTATATCTCCAGGTTTTCTAATCCCTGGCAGCGATCAACTATGCCGATTCTAGCCACAAGTCGATGACATCTTCAGGACAATTTGGTGGTTACCAAACGACGTCAGTGCCTAGGATGTCTACTGGGAATCCGAGGCGGACTGCCGGATGTCAATGTGCCTCCAAGATTCTCATGCAGGTGCGCGGCAATGCCTCGTTTTCTATTGGATCTTCATGCCTCGTCATGCCTGGAGGTTCAATTGATGGGAACACTGCTGCCGGAGAAAACAGTCTCAGTTGTGACTGGAGATCCTTTGACGCGTCTCGGTTCATATGTTATTTCTGTATGCTTTGTCTGAGTGACGGAAATAAAAAAAAAAAAAAAAAAAAAAAAAAAAAAAAAAAAAAAAAAAAAAAAAAAAAAAAAAAAAAAAAAGAGAAAGTAGATATAAGAAGCCAAAATTCTCCAGGAAAATGGCTTGCTTCAATACCTCAAGTCTGCGGACGCGTTCCCTATTGAATATATTGACAAGATGCGCGGTACCTTTTTTGCTACGACCTGGTTGCTGCTTACTGGCCTCAGTACGCAGTTACCTCAGAAGCCTCCAGAAACTCTTATCGCCCAAGCCCTAGAGACAAACTCAGTCGCAGCTCCTAGTGACGCATCGTATTGGCAGGCAGATATCAAACACCAAGGGATCGCGGCATTTAACCAAGACCCGTCGGGATATAGAGTGTTTCGCAATGTCAAAGACTACGGAGCCAAAGGCATGTCTTGCTTTCATGTACTCATGAAGAAGCATAGCTGACTGAAACAGGTGATGGCCAAAGCGATGATACCGAAGCAATCAATCGAGCTATCAGTGATGGCAACCGTGCTTCCCCAGAAAGCCGTCGAACATCTACCACCACTCCTGCAATTGTGTATTTTCCAGAAGGCACCTATGTCGTTTCCAGGTCGATTGTTGATTACTACTTCACTCAACTCGTTGGAAACCCGAATGCACGTCCTGTTATCAAGGCAACTTCCACGTTTGAGGGACTTGGTGTGATCGATGGTGATGTGTACCAGGACGACGGGAACCAAGGCTGGACGTCTACCAATGTGTTCTTCCGGCAGATCCGCAACTTTGTTTTGGATTTAACTGATATCTCTCCGGATAAAGGAGCGACGGGAATTCATTGGCCAACTGGGCAGGCGAGCAGTCTTTACAATATTAAGATTGTGATGAGCTCCGCACCAGGCTCACAACACCAAGGACTTTTCATTGAGAATGGTACGTCACCTTCGTACAATGAAGATAACCGTATAAAGCTAACTCTGCCAGGTTCTGGAACTGTATTGGACGATATTGAAATCATCGGAGGCCTCTACGGAGCAAACATCGGAAGCCAACAGTACACAACCCGCAACCTGCGAATCTCCGACTCTGCCACGTGCATCTCCCAGATCTGGAATTGGGGCTGGACATACCAGGGTGTTGAGCTGAACAACTGTGGCACGGCAATCTCCATGGTCAATGGTGGACCTGGCTCCCAGACCGTGGGCTCTGTCACTGTCATCGACAGCGACATCAAGAACTCCCATGTGTTTGTGGATACTGCCTGGCAAGAGTCACCCTGGAGCAACGGTAGCTTGATTCTAGAAAATGTCTCTCTCGAAAACACCCCAGTTGCAGTCCAAGCCTCGAACAAGACCGTTCTAGAGGGTGGATCTAAGACAATCACTGCCTGGGGTCAGGGCCACAGCTACAAGCCATCCGGACCAAATAACTTCCAAAGTGCTATGACGCCTGGTGATCGGCCTCGCGGTCTCCTTGCCAAGGATTCGAACCGGTACTATACCAAGTCCAAGCCGCAGTACGAGAAACTCCCAGTATCATCCTTTGTGAGCGTGCGAGAGGGTGGTGCAAAGGGAGATGGCTCGACGGATGATACCAGAGCACTGCAATCCATTATTGACAACGCACAACGCGAGAACAAAATCGTGTTCTTCGACCAGGGCGTATACAAAGTCACCAACACCCTCCACTTACCACCAGGCACCCGCATTGTCGGCGAGGCCCTGCCCGTAATTATGGCAAGTGGTGGCCCATGGACTGACATCAACAAGCCCGTCCCTGTCATCCAGATCGGGCAACCAGGAGACACAGGCTTCTTTGAATGGTCCGATATGATCGTCAGCACGCAAGGGTCTACTCCCGGCGCCACTCTGATTGAATGGAATATTGATGCAGAGCTAGGCTCAGGCATGTGGGAAGTGCACACGCGCATTGGAGGATTTGCCGGATCTCAGCTGCAGGTGCCGGATTGTCCAACTATATCGCAGGTATCGACTAAGTGTCAGGCTGCATATATGTCGATGCATATCACAAAGTCTGCGAGGAATGTATACCTGGAGAATAACTGGTTCTGGACGGCGGATCATGACCTCGATGACCCGCATGACACGCGGGTTTCCGTGTACACAGGACGTGGCCTGTTAGTCGAGGGCAAGAATGTCTGGCTGTATGTCTCCCAACCCTCCATATCATATTCTAAATACTAACGAGCATAGATACGGAACCTCCTCAGAGCACCATTCCCTCTACCAATACCAACTAGCAAACACCGACTCCATCTTCGTCGGCTTCATTCAAACCGAATCCCCCTACTACCAACCAAACCCTGACGCTCGCCACAGCCCCTATAAGCCCAACCCTACCCTCAACGACCCAGACTTCACCCGCTGCCTCGCCGGAAACTGTAACTCTTTGGGCCTGCGCCTGCTTAACACGCGTGATACGGTAATTTACGGTGCTGGATTGTACAGTTTCTTCAATAACTACGATACCACGTGCTCTGCGAATGATAATAACCAGGTTTGTCAGAGCGAGGTGTTTAGTATTGAGGGAGAGACGAGTGGGTTGGTGGTTTACACGTTGAGTACGATTGGGACGGAGTGGATGGTTGTTAGGGATGGGGAGGGGGTTGTTAGGGCGGAGGATAATCGAGCGACGTTTGCGGATACGGTTGCTTGGTTTAAGCTGTGAGGTTGTTGTTTGAGAGTGAAGTTAGTTTGTATCTCAAGGACTTAAGTTAGTAGCAATGTCAGACTGTCTCAATTCGAAAGGAAAACTACCCCAGATCATCACGTGTCAACATGTGAGCGACACGCGACATCAGAGTACCCCGGACAATCGACCACCCAGGATAATCATAACCCCATCATATGAAAGGCCGCCGGATATCATACAGACCCCGAGCATAGCAAAGCGCACAAACCACGATGATCCTGGAGGAGAGGGGACTCTGGACTGTGGAGCGCGAATTGAATACCCAAATGGGATAAACGAGCGAGTGCCGGGCCTGCAGAGCCGCGGACGGGCGTTTAATGGGAAATATATGGAGCTGCAGATCGAGTTCTCGCAATTTCGATGTTGTTTGTTGGGGGGCGTTAACTGTTAGCTGTTTGTTTTCCGACGTACTCGGAGTAACCTGTATTATCCAGCTGGGAGTTTAGCATTCTTTGAATCAAATAAATCGGCGATTCTATATTCTAAAGAAGCGATCAAACCAATTCCACTGTGTAGAGCGCAGTTGTCCGGAGAATTCTGAACGATGAGATCACAAGTCCGACTCGGCATGTGAACCGCGCCCCCCGTGCCGAGGCCCAACGGACAAGTTTCGTGTCCATATATAACCCAGCTCAGCTCCTACCACCATCTCACTCTCATCTATCCAACTATTACCAAACAACTCACCATAAAGAACCGCCATCATGACTCTCAAGAACGGTGCGCTCTCTCCCTCTCCATTTCCACACGCGATCACTAACAAACAACCGCAACAGACGCATTCCCCTCCTCCGCCGCCTTCGACGTAATCAACGCGACCCTCCAAGCCGACGAAAACGAGCGCAAGGACGCCATCTCCAAGGCCAAGGCAGTCGTCGCGTTCAACATCAAGAACGCCGAAGGAAAGGAGGAGGCTTGGCACCTCGATCTCAAGGAGAAGGGTGTTGTCGCTAAGGGGGCTGCTCCGGCTGGGGGGAAAGCTGATGGTACACCCCTCGAATAAATATACGGGCCTATGTGGTAAATGGTACTGATGATAGATAGTCACGCTGAACCTCTCCGACAAAGACTTCCAGGACCTGGTCACCGGCAAGGCGAACGCGCAGCGATTGTTTATGGGCGGCAAGCTGAAGATTCGCGGGAATATCATGAAGGCGACCAAGATGGAGCCTGTGCTCAAAAAGGCGCAGGGCAAGGCCAAGCTCTAAGCTATAGATACCCTATTTTATATTTATCGCGTTTTCGTTACTATACGTTTTTTCTTTGTTGATCGGGTGTAATTTGATTGATTGTTGACTGGATACTATGTATACTCCGTTGAGATATCTAAATATATGAATTGATCACCACGAAGGCTTCGCAGCCGCATAGCTTCCCTTCACACTAGCACCGGTACACTTCTCAGGAACCTTAAGTGCCGCAGAGGATCCCCAAGACGGCGGCACAGACCCATCGCGTCTCGCAAAAGCAGTCAAAAACGCCGCGTTCGACCAAGTCAGATCTGGAGCAGAAACCTGGACCCCTGTGTCGCGGTCATACTCCTCCGACAGGCCTCCATCAGCAGGAGTGCACTCCTGCACCGCGGAAATGAAACCATCTGCGTAGCTACGTATCGCGTTTGGCGATCTTCTGATACGTCGGGATTACGCTGGGGTACACGCCTGGCTTGATACCAGGGAGGAGGTCTGTGAAGAAGAGTTGCCAGGTACCTGTTCTTGTTAGCTAGCAATCCCAGCTGGAAAAGATGCTAACATACCAGGGATTCCCACCCATGAAAAACATCCTCCGGATATCTTCCCACAGCAGCAGCCTTCCCAGCAATCCTACCCTGGTTAGCACCATAGATAGACAGGAAACTATCAATGAGAACCTTGTGGTTGGACAGCGCGCGCAGAGCACGGCTGGAACGTAACATCGTCGCATCTTGCAGCCGGATCAAACGTGTTAATAGCCGTGAGCACAGAGTTGATATCAACACCACTCCGACCCTTGGGATCATTCACGGTAGGATAGTTCGACACCACGGCAGTTCCGTTCTAATACCCCTGCAGATGGCACAGGAGCTCTGGGGCAACAGAACAGCCCTCGCATGTCTGTCCTAATGCCTCCGCGAAGTTCTGTCTCTCGACGAGCGCCTTGTGCTGCACGGCGGTAGTAAAGAACGAAGTCCCATTGACTTCGTCCCACAGATCGAATCCAGCCTGATTCCAGTACTGCCCGCCATATGCGAGGTCATTTTGCAGAACAGGCCAGACGTTCTGCGCAGCCTTGACGTGCTGACCCTGCGAGAGCAAGTAATTTCCGTACGCAACGAGAGCAGACGCACGCACGGCGGGCCCTTCGCGCTGGGGACGGCCCCAGGGATTGGTATACGCTGTTAGGTTGATGTTAAACTTTGGCTCGGCGAGCCCCAAACTGTCGGAGAGGGGGCTAGAGGCGTTTGTGGTGGTTTGAATCTTGGCTTGCGATGTGATGTATTGCTGGATGAGTGGCTCAAGGGAGGTATTTCCGGTGAGGATATCGTGGATTAGGGATTGCATTGTGAGCCCGGAGTCGCGAGTTCAGGTGTAGATGTCTGGCATAAATTAGCTTCTGTTCTCGTTGAACGCAAATGTAAGTGTGATAATGTACAAGGAGGATTCGTCTCGGAGTTTCGGGCAACTGGAATACCAGGAGCAGCTCCATGGGACAAGTTGCCCTTGGGACCAAAGTTGCTCAGTATACCCTGAAGGACAATGGGCCTCTCGGATTGGAAAGGGGTTGCTTGGGCTGATGGTGTGGGCCTTCATGGGTTTTGTTTGAGTTGTGAGATTACTGTGTAGATGCTGGTCGCTCTTTGTTTAGCTCTACTTGGTTGAATTGGCCCATCCTTTCCTACTTTCATAGATAGTTGGCTTCTGGAAACCGGTGATCTGCCGCAATAACGACTTTAGCCCTTGAAAATAGACCGGGATGTCCGAAGGACATACATAGGACAGACATCACACCATGACTTCTGACGATGCAGAACGATCCTTTGGCTCAGTACCCGTGAGCCAAGACCCTCATTAGAAAATGATGCACCTAGTCATCGTACATAATTCCTATCAAATGGACCTAGCGTACGGATGCCATAAAGTGACAGTAATTCCATATTTTTGGCGGTGAGATCCTTGCTTGTTCTCCAACACAAGCGGCTCATTTTGCTATGCTTGACTTGGATAGTTCTGTTTCGGCCATATCACCGATATATGCGTAAATGTAAGGCTGATATATGGAACGTTTGAGGGTGAAGTGAGCCGTCCATCATATTGGACCCTTAGCGGGAATTAGGGAACAGAGGATAGTGTGACAGTGTAGGTGTAATACTATTTAGAACACTCGAGGGACGTTTAAATGGACTTATATTCCAAAGCAGTAACTATCATTTTCTTGTCTATGCGACAAAAATGGTAAAGACCGAACAATATACAAGCACAGAACGGACATACAGTATTACCTATCAAAGCCCCAAATGGCTAAGAACAAGCATAAATTTGACCAGCAGAGTACATCGCTTGTACTTAAATTGATGTCAGTGTAGGTAAGATATTCTTTTCGTTGAAGTTTTGTTTTGTCGTAATGACAAGCCGATATATTGGGAATACGGGACTGAGTGAACCAGCCAAGGTGCTCTCATTGGAAGATATAGCGAATCTACCGCTGTAACAAATAATCATGAATGTGTGAAGCAATGCTATTCTGATTGCTGTCGCCAGGTAATTGTCTTTGCCGAGCAAGCGGAACAAGTCAAGCGTAGTTAAGAGACAATGGAAATATGGAGGAGGAAGGAGAAGAAGAACCCAATAATATAGATAGGTTTCCTATCCGCTACGGTAATCATTTACTAGTAAGGATGGTAAAAGAATAGAAGTGCTCACATGTATATACTTTCTGCGAGTCCAGCAACGACACGGAAACTTATGAAAGAATTTCATAATCCTTAAAGCCAACCCTTTTCTATATCTTAAGATACTTCCGTAGAACCTTAGAAGAAAACACTCTTCTCCAACCAGTCGGACAAGCCGGCCGTGTTGATGAAAAGAACTTCGCGTCTATTGGGAGTTGTGTAAGCCCAATAACACTTCATGGAAGGACCTGTGCAAGCACAAAGGCCCTTCCACAGAATCGAGATACTAGATTAATGTCGCGTTCCGTAAAACGGGATTCAGCGATTAAACCGAAAAGAACAGTGTTGCCTCACTTGATTTAAGCAAAACGGTAAAGAGTGCTGGAGAAGAAAAGGGAATAATGACCGGGCGAGGGAAGGTATTTATACTGTTGGTAGATGAAGCTAGTTTTAAGCGAGGGAGTTTTTGACTCATTGACAAAGGCAGACAGAGCTCTCATATAATAACGCCAATTTTTGCGGTATGAGACGTGTGTCTTCGCTTTCTGGCAACAATATGATCAACATTATGCCATCCTCGGAAATAGTATGTCTTCTAGACCAGAATGCAACCGGTCGAGCACTAGTCCTTTTGTGTTATCAATTATAAAGGACACAGCAAAATGGCGAAAATCATAATTCGTGCCATTACCGGTAGCTTCGAGGGCCAGGGCCATACCAGGAGTTACATTTTCCAGGCCCTCCATCTTTTGCCGGGACTCGTCCGAACTGGCATTAATGTGAGTAACCTGGGCTTTCTGTGCTTTAACCTGTTGATTGCACTAAAACCTCTCGTCATTGGAGAGGAGAAGGTTGGCATAGGGCGTGCGATAATCCATGGGAGCCATCGGCGCTAGTGCAAGCGCTGGATTAGTGGGAGGTGGCATGGGCTTTTGAGGACTGAAGGAAGTTCCCTTTGGGGAAGCGCGAGAGCTCTTTCGCTGGTTATTTCTGTGTGCCATTTTTGTTGCTTGTTCTGTAAACAAGGGGGTGGAAGACGGAAGATGGGAAATGGGAGAAGTCCAGAGAGAAGCAGGTATTGATACGGTCACGTTAGGCTGCAGATTCAACAAGGTAGCAATATGGTAGCGAGAGCCTGTCGGTCCTCGAAAGCGGCAATTCCTCCCATAGGCAAAATTTTTGCGAGGATTGGTCGCTATTAACTCTCGAGTGGATGTCGTTTGAGCAGGCACTCCAATGTGTCTTGGGCGATATTTCGAGGTAGAGCCCATAATTTGAGACAAAGAAGGGTTCGAAAGTTGAGATGGCATGTTCGTCCAGCCAAATGTCGTCACAATTGACCTTTTCGAGCTCCCGGGGTGGCTTTCGACCTCTGGTCAGTCTGGTCGGTTGACGACGTAGTAGCAGGATAGACAATACGCCCGCCATGAGGTCTCCCGAATTCAGAAAGACCCTCGTCCTGGCGCTGTTATCCAATGGACTCAAGCTCACACCAGAATAAGTGCTGCTCATATTCATTTAGATCGGCTATTTACGCTCTCCTTGAGCCGCAAATATAGGGTTATTACCCAGGGGAACCTCCGGAGTCGAAGCAAGCTGAGCTTTGAGTTGGCTGAGATCAAGGATTGAATTGGCTCGCAGGCAATCGTCATGCTAATGGCACCATTAGCCTCGACACTGGCTGGGAAAATACAGGATAGCCTTGGCCACCCGCAAATTGGCTGATTGCGTTATACAATCATCTCGCAAACTTAGAGTATGCCTCTGCCATATTGCTATACATTTCCTTTCCGGCAAAGCTCCTGAGCGCCAAAAATTCACCAATAGGCGCAGACGCCGGTCCTCCCCTCTCATAGGAAGCGCAATTCCCGGGCATATGTATCGCCAATAGCGATTTTCACATCGAGTGGCTCGGTGTGAGAGCATTTGAACAAGACATCCTAGTCTCTAGCAACGGCGCTATGGTTGCGGGGGATAGGGTTAGACTCGTAGAGGTTAAATGGCATAGCCAAGAATAAATCTAGCTGTTCATAACTTGCATACGTCCGCCTCCGACCTAAATCCTCATCCCACACCTAAGGACTGCTTGTTCACCTGATTCATTAAACAGCCAGCGAAGCATTATGAGAGGCGTGATATAGGAATCGCGGTTGGATAGAACATCAGCTTATAAATGCATCATCTGACATCACTTGTTTTGACTGAAATGCTCATATATGTCATCTAGGGTTAGCGAGTCCAAAAAAAAAAAAAAGGAATGCAAGCCGCTAGAATACAAACTCGTACAATTTATTATAATCATAAGAACCACAACTCAAAACAACATGTACATCCGCATCCCAATCTCGCCTCCAAGCATTAGCACTATACACTCCATTCCCAGACACGCGGTGAGACCATCATCTTAAGAACCCTCCCCAGCACAGACGTTATTCCACTCGCTCTCTCCCCGAAGAAAAGATTTCCATCTCCATCGACTGTTCCTTCCGGTCGACCGGTATCACCGCCCTTGAAGATATTATGACAGGACCGAGTTGGAATAGGAACGGAGAATTCTCGGATTCAGACTACGGGAGATGATATCCGAAAATTGCCTTTTCGTTCGTCTAGGCGAGCTTTCCGGAAATTAAAAGGACGATCACTCGGTTCTCATCTGGATCTCGGTCATTTCTGTTCCGAAAGTAGCGGTGTTGATTGATAATGTATTTTCGAGAACGTTATAGTACCTGTGCGCAAAGCCTACTGCCCCGTAGAGAAGTATCCCTAACTGGGAGAGAATCGGAAGCGTGCGATGTGACCTGGTTTGGGCAACCGGTACTTAATATCATCCTCGTCGGGTCTGTAAAGGCATGATAAGAGACGGTGATAACTAGCGAGGAATTCTGGCTGTTCAAATAAGCTCCTTTTTCAGTCGGAAATGAATTTGCTGGGGTTAATACCATCGCCTGACCGTCCTGGTCGAACACTTCCCAGGTAATACCCAGGTCAGGATCCTGAGCAAGCGCTCTAACAATATAATCCGCAACACAATCCAAATCCCCGTTTTGCTCAATCTGATCAACCAGTCCCCCTGGAACCAAAATGCGTCACCAAACGCAGTCTTACAAGATCCCAAAACTCATCCTGCGAAATACTCAGATAATGAAGACACTCCAACGCCCCTTCACCTCCATTTAACTGAATTTGAAGCTCCTTAGCAAACCCCCGAAACCCATCCCTTGGAGGCCCATCCCTTCCAATCTGCTCCGGCTTCGCAACATTACAACACATCCAGTAAATCATGGAACATCTCGTCTCCCTTTTCATCAAATATAGTCTTTGCGAACTCCCTCTAATCCTCACCTAATATGCCAAAGAAGTCAAATGCTCGATACTCAGCTTGTTTCCTCGCGTACTCCGCGTCAAGTGGCAAGGTCTTGCTGTCGCGTGTTGTGGCTAGGCTTCGGAAGATGAAACGGCGGGTATTAGCTGGTGCTCTGGATCAATTGTCAGGACCTTCTTCGAAGGTAGGTTCATAGCGTTCAGAGTCGATCTAAAGGAGTGCTCTGAGGAGGTCATAGAATGCCAAGGATTCAGGCATAGGATTATAAAATGATACCTGAGATACAGAAGGCTGCGATAGATCAGAGCTCCTGCTTTTTTCAGGAATGGTAATAGGAGTCCTGTGTTCTGGAGGAATGAGATGAAGGCAGATTGAGTATTTTTGTTCCATTTTCGGTTTTGCAATGGGAGCTTTGGCTCGCTCCTAAAAAGGTCGTAACCATTATTTTCCAAGTGAGGGCGTTGAGGATAGTATTGGGAGTTAGGTGGCCTTTTTTGAACAGCGCTGCGATGCTCGAGATTTGCTTCGGTTTCGTTATGGCTTAAGAGGGGGTCGTTAAGATGTAGGATAGACAGAATATAGAGAAGGGATGGTGAAATTTTGAAGAAAAGAATCCAGATTCAGGGATGATGTTCAATTTAGGTCGATTTCGGTCGTGAGGTTCTGTTTGAGATTGAGGTTGACAGCAGTCTGTTTTGAGGACAGTCCTGGAAGACATGAGAACAGTATTATAGAAAGGTATCGTTCATCATTCATCATCTATCTATCCAAATATGGACCGGTATCATTTAAATCGCCAATAGACCAGACAAAACAAAAACAAGACAAGTGTTTTTACAGCATAAACCTGAACCCCCTCTGCAACTGCCTCGCCTGCTCAAGTCCAATGTTATTCATCTGCGCCGTCTTCTCCAACTTCCGCTGGTCCCTGCCCGACAGCTCAACCTCCATATCCTCCATTCTTGCAAGTTGTCTGTTCTGATGACGCGTGTACTGGTCGAGGCCGATGGCCATAATCCCCCCAAGAACCTGCAGCGCGATGCAAATACCCATCGCAGGCTTATATTCGGGCTCATCCTGCTGACGGTACGTGTAGGGGGTCCAGATACTGGCGGAGTTACCGATGGCATTGATGAAACCGTATGCAGCGGCACGTTTAGCAGGCGGACGGGGGATGGCGTTAGCGATCCAGGAGAAGAAAGTTCCGAATTGGGTGAAAACGAAGATCATGAGGAAGAAAGACGCGTAGCGGGAGCCGAAGGATTCCGTTTCCATGTAGAGAACATAGCCCACGACGGTTATGGGGATGGGATAAACGAAGAACCAGAAACGGTTGTTGAAGCGGTCGGAAAAGTGGGAGTGGGCCATGGAATAGAAGACCATGAAGATGTATGGCGGCGCAACCAGCAAGAGCGAAATCATCTGGTCGTAGCCGAGTTGTTCCGTGAGACTGGGGAAGTAATTCTGGAAACCACTTGCACCGACGATGCAGTGGAAGGCGATGGCCAAGATGTAGGTTTTGATGTCGCACATAGCTTGCTTGAGACCCTGGATTTGGCCCTTGCTACCGCTTTCGTCGACATCGACTTCGGCCGCGTCCACTGCTAACCGGCGGGAGGCGACACTTCTCATCTCCTCAGAGAGCATCTTCCAGTTCTCGGGGAAGTCGGGCAGGACCACGCAGATGACAAGGCCAATGGCAACGGTGATCGCGCCTTCGATGATATAGAGCCATTGCCATGCTGTAATACCGCGCTTGCCGTCCATACCATTCAGGATACCCGCTGCGATCAGGTTTCCAAATGCACCGCTCAGCAAGGAACCGGAGTAAAAGATACTCATCCGGAGACCGAGTTCTTTTTTGGTATACCATTTGGAGAGGTAGAAGAGGACACCGGAGAAGAAGGGAGCCTCTGTATAGACAATATTTGTTAGTAAATAGAAAAATAGGTTCTCATGCGGGAGCAGGATACTAACCGACGAAACCCATGATGAAACGGCAGGCGACGATGCCGCCATAGCCCTTGACCTGGCTGGTCAGAGCCGACACGAGACCCCAAGCACAAACGAAGAATCCAAGGTAGAGCGATGGGTGTCCGACGTAATTCAGCAGCAAGTTGGATGGTCTGTTTCGGGATCTGTCAGAGGATGCATTTCCGCATGCAGGCAATCGGGAATACTCACGTCATCATGAGAATGTAACCCACGAATAGAATCGAAAGACCAGTCTGGTATTGCTGGTCATTCAGGTGAAGGTCTTGTTCGAGACCCTGGAGTTTGGCGGCGGCATAATTGTTACTAGAGTCGATTGCTGTTAGTGAGAGCCTGCAACATTCTTATCGGGTAGTGACTTACCGATCGATGTAGTTCATGAGATATACCAGAATAATCAATGGCATGATCAAAATATCGATCCGGCGCACCAGTTTCTTTTCCAAAACCAATTCCTCCGGTGTTAATGCCGCCATTTGGACGGGATCCTTGACGACGTCCTCATGGACAGCCTCTCCCTTCTCGAGGGTGCCATTGTCGGGCTGAATCGGTGACTTATCGTCGGACATGGTGAGAAAATTCTTGACTCGGAGGGGGTAGCAGGACGGATAGAACAGAATATGCATAGTCGGGCCGACCTGGGGGGTTTTTATATCCTGCACATAACCATTGCGCCAGGGTTTTCAACCGGGAAATTCGTAAATCACTCACTCTCTTTCACTCCACCCCCGGCTTGGACCATCTCGGGGGTGGGTCGTTCCCCGCGTCTTATTCCGGTCCACCGCGGGGTGACGGCACAGTTGTATGGGGATTTAATCTGAATATGCTACCATGGAGTACACTATCGACCCGGACCTCACCGTGCCGGGTCACAGCAGGTTCAGTGACATCAGGATCGGGCACTTACCGACCTACACTTGCAGTATTCGGGAATTCCAGACGAATTTTGTGGACGCATAGTCGGCTTGTCTTTCGGAAGGTCCACGAATTGGCAGGGATCTTCATCTGAGCTGGAGAGTTTATTCCGGACCATGCCCGAAGGGGTTTTTCTTTCACACCATGGGAATGTACGACTGTTGGAATGGCAACTGAGTAAGGGCGAATAGCAGATAGGGAGTCAGCGGTGTGTATTGTCTTCGGGATGCAAGCGAACGATTCCGGGTTCATGCGGCCAGCTGCAGTTTCCGGAATATGCTATCCGGATGCATACAAGCGATCGATCTTCCGTGGTTTAGCCGGGGTTACTCGGAAACTTTCGTTTCTGGCTGTTTCTCGTGACAACGCGAGCCGGTATAAGATCGTCACACAGTCCGTTACTCCGTACAGGTATGGACAATTGCGCCAGCCGGATCATTTGATGCCCATTGTACTCCATATTCTGACGGTCTAATTAGGTCATAGCATCTATTGCACTTCTCTATACGAGGTGTAGGAAATTGCGATGGGTCGCATTTGTCAAATTTCTACTTCCGCTGTTGTTGCTAGTCCGAATGAGGAAATGAAATAATATATCGGCCCCGTCGCTCGATTGAGAATCCCGAGGAGAGCTAGACCAAAAGAGCTGCGTGACAGATGTATATGTACTCCCGATGGCTCTAATTGATTCATATAGATTCATATAGGCTGCATGGAAGCATGCCGGAACTCACTTCGGCAGATGTGACGACAAAGCAAGGTCAGTCCACCTGACGCTAGGTTCTTCTTTCTTTATCTGGCATCTCTAATGCTATTCTTTATGGATCATATGAGGCATATTATCAAAGAATACTTACTAATCTGTTATCGGAATGTCCCATCCCGGAACGCAAGTCGAATACGGAATCCACGAGGATTGTGTACAATGCCATATGGTTAATCGTTTCCCGCTGGCAATGTTGGATTGGTTGATAAATGAAGTGGTGCAATTCGGAAGAAAACAGTGAATAGTAGCACTACGGACGGAGAACATGCCAGTGGATTTCAAAAAGGCCTACAGTATCTGTCTTGGTGGCAGAGCTACTACAATGCTCTACTATGGATATCAGCAGATCCGGGACGCAGGTCTATGTCGGAAAAACCAACACTGATGATGAGCTCGAGAATGAGCTTGGTGTCTGTTTGCTACTTCTTCAAAGATATAGAAAAACTGAATAGCATTGCTTTCGCGCTATGCGCCCTACTTTATCGGGGTTGGCATTGCACCAGTTAGTGCATAAGAACTGCACAGGTGATTGGATGGAGAGAACTAATTGAAGGAAGAAGGTGTGCGCATTCTTCATACGGATGCTACATATAGCCTAATTAGGTCATATCCTTTCTAGAGTCTGTTCAGATGCCCTGTTGCCTGACGAAATTATAAAGTCTGTCAGTGTTCTTTCATTTATTTTTAGCAAAGATAAGAGAAACATGCCAAATGGACATCCAAAGACATATGGAACACCTGAGAAGGGTACCTCTTTGCCATCAGATGCTAGTTACGACTCTCGCTCAGCTCTGAAGTTCGATACTACTACCGAAACAGTGACAGCAACTCCAGATACACGAAACCACGCTCGCCTACCTTTCCTATCAGCTTACCTCAACCGTGTTCCGAGAAGGAACGTTATAAGCGGATTGAACACATGACAACCGGATATGAAGAGATTTATGAATCAGCCGGCTCAGTAGAAGAGCTATTTCCTCGCAGTCAGCACAGCGAGGGATATTGATAATAAGTACTCGATATAGATTCCGTGTTGGTGTTAGATACTGGCTAATGATCAATAGTGGTCATCCTAAACACCCAAAATTTATGCTTGATGATTGGAGGAGGGCGCATGCGGGCGATGGAACCTATGAAGACCTTGATACATAACTAAAGCCTTTTAGTGGCATCTGAGAAATAATTTCGTACCTGGTCAGCTACCAAGCTATTTAATAAATCCTAGTGTAGTATAATATTTTTTTACCATATTTCCTGGAAACTAAGCGCCCAAAAAATCATCTACGTGATTGCTATGTTTTTGCTAGTCACTAATAACTGGTATCAAAATAGGGAGCCCAATTAGGTCATATATACCAGTCCTCCTTGCCGCCTGGGAATACAGGCGCTTAAGTGAGTTACGTCTACGTAAAATATCATACTCCTTTATTTCAGCCTCTTGAAAGATAAAGAACAGAACAAGAATGACATGGCAGTCCCCGGAGTAAAAAGCGACCAACCCTTTCTAATCCCCCAAAAGAGGGCCGCCTCAATACCTGATAGTGCCCCGATTCCTAAAAAGCTCAACAATGCTACAAGAACGACCAGAGAGAGATCGAACAATAAGAGAGACGACTCCTCCGAGCCCAAGAATCCGAAATCGACTGAGAATTTGACTGAAGGCGAAGTTTTCAGACACCTTGAAGCGGTTCGAACGGAGATGGCCACGATTAGCTGGTATATGGATCTGCCTGAAAAGCTTAAGATCCCGGAGATTCTTCGTGAGTTTCTTACGTCTCTTGTGCTGTTGCTGAATACATACTGATCTCGAAAAGTGGACTTTAGCATCCTTAATATGCCCGAATGGCCGGATCAGGACACAATTGATAAGTGGTTGGTGCAGAGACATAGGAAGCCGGATGAGGTTAAGAAGAAAAAGTACGATAGAGAGCCGCAGGATAAGAAGGAGGGAAAAGATCAAGAAGCCAGTGACGAGAAAGTGAAGGGCGAACCAACAAAGAACGATTATGAAAATGCTATGCAGGAAGAGTAATTAGGATGCCCCAATTCATGCTTCATAGCTTCATACAATTTTTTATTGATGCTATTTTCTACATCTTTATGTCTTATAGTAGTGAACCTGGGTGTCGTGCGCATACCTCCCCATTGAGTTAGCTTCCCGCCTTCCCTCATATTCACCCTCTTCGCTGCCTTATCAAAATCATTATCACCACCACTCCATGAAAGAATTCAAAAGCCTGGGCTACGAGCAGATGGCAGATGGACAATGATTCTGTGCCGACCCTTAGCAAAATAGAATTACATATACATTGTGTTAGACATCGAACTGATTTATACCTACTTTCAAATCTGGTACTGCTGCAATTTCCAATGTCCAATGTCACTTGTAGTGCTTGTAGTATTTAGATGCAGATTCTAGGGTTCGACCGCCTTCCTTCATCACTGATGCCTGGAGTCTTTCTTTCCCATCGCTCTCTCATCTTCCAGAAAGAAAAGAGTCACAATGACTGAGAATATCAACAAACCTCCGCTCCACTGGCCAAGTTGTTGGTTGTTGGGTGCGTGGTGGGAATTATTGAAGTGGTTCGAGTTGTTGATAGGACAGAGAAGCCGTGGTACTGGGCTACACTGGCTTCACTGATGTTTAATTCGGTGATTTCGGCTGATTCAGTACTGACTAAATGAGTTTTCGCTCTCCGATCTTTATTCTCTGGAGATTCTCGTATAGGGGAAGGCAGTATACAGCCACGCCATTGTCCAAGAAGAGGCAGTAGTCACAGTGTCCTGTCCGGTTCGTGTAACCAATGAGTTCAACAATTCCCTTTTTGCTATCCTTTTTCAAACCACCCGTCAAAGAAGTACTGAATAGACCACCTCTGTACCCGCGGACGTGGATCGCCGTTTATATCAGGCTGGTTTCGAACCAGACTGACTAAGTCAGTCGAAGTGCAGGCTGAGGTGGGGATGATGCTTTCAGCTCAGCATAGCATTCCTATGGAGACAGCAGTGTCTTGCGTATGTCCCAATGGTGATTGCTTTTTCGCTTCGTATGTGTTGCGTACGCAGTGAGGCGATATATTTCACCACCTGGCAGTTACTTTTTTCCGCAGTAGAAAATAGAACCAGATAAACTAAAGGAATAAAAAAGAAGAAATAGAGACCAAATCCAGCACACTATGTATATCTTTTAACAACGCTGGTAAGTATGAACTGGTGTACTCCGTCTAAAGATAATGCCAAGACGATATCTCAGCCTCGAGTTGTACGCGCCTCGAACGGTGACACTTCCATACCCGTTGCTGCTCTCCCTTCTCTTTCACTCATTCCAAAAAAAGAAAAGCAGTTTTACTCATTGCCTACGGGCCGATTGGCTGGCCGTAGTCTTACTGGAAAATTCCAGGATTTTCCCTGAACGGCCGGCCGGCCAGAGCCTTGCAGGAGCTTCTGACTTACACTTCATTCACCAGGCAGACGGATCACACCGGCAGCAACCTATTTAAAACCATGACTGACCCCTCCAATGATCCGTCCGCTGAGGACGTCATGGAAGATCTTCAACTTCACGAAGTCATCCTGCAGAGTCTTGACGAACAGCGCCCGGACGCCGTCGATGAACGACAAGAAATCCTCGAAATCATTCAGTCCTTGCAATCGCAACTGGCGCGACTTCGCGGTGAACCATCGCCCAAACCGAGTCCAGAGAATAACTCGGCGACGCCAGCTCCTCCTTCTTTTTCGATGCTATCAGCAGCACAACTCGACGGCTCCTACGACGTGAGCCCGTTTGATGACTCCCCGTTCGATGACTCGCCGCCGCCGCCTCGATGGGGTCTTGGCCTGGGCCAGGGCGAGTCTCGCAGCTTCGCTCCAGCGCAACGATCCCACGATATTTTTATTCGAAAGCGCCGATACACGGACGATTCCTCAGATGGAATGCGACCGCCGAACAAGCGAATTCAAAGCGATGCATACCTCCCTCGTACTTCGAGTCAACTTGCCCCCCCGTCTATGCAGGAAGACAGCGACGAACACGATGGCGCAGACGAACTCCGCCAGTTACTAGGCCTGGATGATGAGGATACTATGGTGGCGTTTCAGCATGAGCAGAGGAAAGCAGAGCAATGGTTGAAGGAGCGCAAGGACCAGGAACGGCGGGATGAGGAGTATGCGCGGATGCTTCACGATGGTCTGTTTGAGCGCCCGCGGGAACGACCACGAGAACTGCCGCGAGAACTACCACGGCCTGCGTCTGCTCAAAGCTCGACATCCACGTATTACTCCGGTTCTTCGTTTCCATTTCCTGCGTCCCCTGCTCCGACTCCAGCCCAGGCACAGGTCAAGGCCCCGATTTTACCGGCTCTGAGACCGGATCCAGTTGACCAGACTCGACTCTTCCCTCCCGCACACCAGTCACCATTTATGCGCAACGTCCCCGATCGTCAACCAAGGCATTTATTGTCTAGTTTCAATTCAAACAAGGCCCCGCCAACTGATCGCCAGCTCCCGTCACTCAAGCAGGAGAGTGATGACAGTGACATCCAGGAAATAACCCCAAGTGATTTTTGGGCTCGTCCTCGAGACTCGTCGTTTGCAGGAAATAGTCTTGACAAGCCACCGGCAATGTGGACTTCTAACCTGGGATTCCCATCGATGCCGCCATACCAACAGATGAGCCAAACCTACAACCCTGTTTACCAACCGACGCCGGGTACAAGTGCTTTTGAGACTGGATATAGTTCTGGCCCGATGTATGGCCCCAGCGTCCTGCAGAATACCATGGCAAGGCTCAATGCAGGGCGTCAGTTACTGGACCAAGTGGGGAAGCCCGTGTATGGTGGATTCCCAGGATCCTCTGTTTTCAAGTCTGAGGACGAAATCTCCCGTACCCTGGAATATGGATTCAACAACCCAACTTTTGATTCGTTAGGCTTCAATGACCTTTATGGAGACGGTGCAGATCCCAAGAAGACCGCGGAAGAGATTAAACAGCTGCTCGAAAATATCAGACCCGATATGGAGTTATCCAAGCAAAACCGGGAGGGTACTCCAGAGGCCCTCAAGGTCACGCTATTGGAGCACCAGAAACTGGGATTGGCTTGGATGAAGTCGATGGAAGACAGCGAAACCAGAGGTGGAATTCTGGCGGATGACATGGGTCTCGGGAAGACCATCCAAGCGCTGGCCCTCATGAGCTCACGGCAATCGAGTAATCCTGAACGCAAATCGAATTTGGTCATCGCTCCCGTTGCCTTGATGCAACAATGGAAACGGGAAATCGAGCGACTGCTACGCCCCGGCCGGCATCAGTTGTCCGTCTTTGTTCTACACGGCGAGAAACGGTCGACGAGTTTCAGAGACTTAAAAGAATATGACGTGGTCCTCACCACTTTTGGAACCCTGGCGTCGGAGTATAAACGCAAGGAACACTTTGAGCAGCTGCACAAAGAGTCTGGGTCAAGCGAGCCTCTGCCGCCAAAGGTTGTCAGCCAACTGCCATGCCTGGGTCCTAAGAGTAAGTGGCACCGGGTCATCATTGATGAGGCGCAGTGCATCAAGAACCGGAATACCAAGGCTGCGCTGGCTGCTTGTCAGTTGGATTCCACGCATCGATGGTGTATGAGCGGTACGCCTATGATGAACAATGTGGAGGAGTTGCATTCGCTGCTGAGATTCCTACGCATTCGCCCTTACTCGAATCTTGAACGGTTCAACCGTGTAAGTATTTCAATTCGATTACATCTGCTTGTGATACTGATATTGCGACCAGGAATTCACGAGGCCGCTCAAGAAAGGCCCGGACTCGGCGCGAGAAAAAGCCATGAGACAGCTTCAAGTACTGCTCAAGGCAGTCCTTTTGCGACGGACCAAGTACTCAAAGATTGACGGGAAGCCTATCCTGCAGCTACCCCCGCGCGTTTCAGAGAAGGTGTATGGGATTTTCAGCGAGGACGAGCGAGAACTGTACACTTCTTTGGAGAGCCAAACGCAGGTCACCTTCAACAAATACCTCAAGGCCGGCACGGTTGGTCGGAATTACTCCAGTATTCTTGTTTTGTTGCTGCGACTCCGCCAAGCCTGCTGCCATCCACATCTGATGTCGGATTTCAGCGTCAACGTGGAGACAAACGCAAACACGACCGAGGTTGATCTGGTCGCGAATGCCAAGGTGTTCCCCAGTGAGGTTGTGGTTCGCTTGAAGAATAACCAGGAACTCGAATGTCCGATTTGTATTGATGCTGTTGATAACCCCATCATATTCTTCCCTTGTGGACATAGTACCTGTGCGGAATGCTTTTCAAGGATCTCGGATCCATCTCAGGCTATGCGGCATGGTGTTGATGGATCTATCGAGGTGAAGTGTCCGAACTGCCGTGGCAAAGTCGATACCAAGAAGATCACCGATCACGCTACGTTCAACAAAGTCCACTTTCCCGATCCTTCTGATGAAATTGAGGACGCTGCATCTGAGAAGCTAGTTGCAGAGGGAGACCCCGATGAAACTGATAGCGATAGTGAAAGCGACGATGAGGATCTCTCCAAGTTCATCGTCAAGGATCACAATTTTGGCTATTCCGACAAGGATAAGGGCAAAGGCAAGGGAAAGAAGAGCAAGAAACCCAAGAAGACCCTTGCCGAACTGAAGAAAGAAGGCATGCGCAACCAAAAGGCAAAGCGCAAGTACCTCCGCCGCCTCGAAAAGAACTGGGTTTCCAGCGCCAAAATCGACAAGACTATGGAAATCCTCCAGGCAGTTGAAGACCGTCAAGAAGGCGAGAAAACCATCATATTCTCTCAGTTCACCTCTCTCCTCGATCTTCTCGAAGTCCCTATAGCCCGCCGCGGCTGGAACTACCGTCGCTACGACGGCAGCATGCGACCACCAGACCGTAACGCTGCCGTTCTCGATTTCACCGACCAACACGACTGCAAGATTATGCTTGTGTCGCTGAAAGCCGGAAACTCAGGTCTGAACCTCGTAGCCGCTTCGCAAGTCATCGTCTTCGACCCCTTCTGGAACCCGTATATCGAGGAGCAGGCGATTGATCGCGCGCATCGAATCGGACAGCAGCGCCAGGTACAGGTCCATCGTATTCTGGTAGAGAAGACTGTTGAGGATCGTATCTTGGAATTGCAGGAGAAGAAGCGTGAGGTGATTGAGGGTGCGTTAGACGAGAATGCGTCGAAGAATGTGTCGAGGTTGGGGACCAGGGAGTTGGGATATTTATTCGTACGTTTCTTTTGCCCCATTTCATTGATAGCGCTTGTTAACCAGATGACTTTAGGGTGTCAACACTTGATTTACGGCGTTTATTACTGTGTGGGAAGTTTTCTGAGTTAAGCGGCGTCAATTTAGTGATGTCGTTTTTTCAAGATACCCGGTCGTTCACTTTTTATTACTTTTCTTTTTCGGGATTCGCTTTCCAGTGTCATGTCTCTTTTTGGAAAATTGAGATATGATTGCTTGGATTTATATGATATGATATGATATCGATATAATAGCCAATAGATTTGTCTCTGGGCTTTTATGTTTAGCATTTTAAGGATATGGCACGATAGTGTTCACTTAAAGAAGACGAAGGCTGCTGGATAATGAATTTCTAGATATTCATTTTACTAGAACATAGATGATTTCATCTGCCTGGCACATTTCTCGCCATCCTCAAACCTCTATCTTCACCGTCATGCATCCATCACAACACACCCTAATTCCCATAGGACCGGCCATCCCCCTTTCCATTGTATTCCATTACTATTGTGATAGTTTGCTGCGAAAGTTTCGAGACTTGCCCTTTCTGTTTTCGATCCGACTTCTCGCTGCTTTTGGCTCCCTGAGCCGCCCGGAGCGTACCCGGAGCAAGGTGATGCGTGCCCGGAGTGCTCAGGGAACCACGCCAGAGTGATCCTGGAGTGATCCCGGAGCAGCTCAGGATTGCTCAGGCTAGGATCACTGCACCCTGATAAGGGAGCCAAATAAAATATGCAAAGCCAAGCCTGCAATCTTACCTCATAAGACCGACCGCTTTGATTTAGTGATGCCATAGAATAGCAGAATGTCAATGTTTTACAACTGTGGCCCACTTTACAAGTAATAATTACTGCCTATCACTGCTCTGTGAGGCTAATACCAGTGCAAGTTGTACTATTCGGCCTCCGTTATCATGAACCATTATAGCCTTGTGCCATGTTACATGTATGATGTATGTACATATTGTTCAATAACCACACCATAATAAAGAGTGATGACAGCGTATTTGAGGGGCTCATTGCTCCACAAGAGGCATTTAGGGCTTCTCTGAGTTACAAAATGAGCTATACAAATATGCATGCATAATTTGTTCTTGGGATAAGAGGAGCGGTAGTGACTACAGAAGTTGAACCTGGTGCGTGTGCCCAGGAGAACTGTATAATGATGAAAATATGGGGATGGCCATAAAGAACAAGACAATTTCTACATCAGGGTCAAGAGGTTTTAATTCTTTCCAAGCCGTGGTTGACCTCGCATTTTCTGGTCCTTTCTGCCTCCCGCCTGTTTTCATAGGCAAGGAGATATATAATGTTATGTCCTAGATGGAAAGGGCACTGTCATAGTTTTCCATTTATCAAATTCTATTTAGGTGTCACGACTGTTGATGATGCTAGTTGTTTTTGATCTCTATCTTTGGCATAGGGTTACAACCAGTCAATTCTCGACACACAGTAATATCCCACGTCTAGCAAGCTCTGCCTAGTTCTTTCTCCATTCTAGCCTAGAGTGTCATTCCCAACCCACAATTCCCGTTCCCGAACCCTTCCCATCCTGCAGTGGGAAAGGGAGCAATTGGGAATTCACACGGTTCCCGTTTACTCCCATTGGGATGGGTCGGGTTGGGAAATGTGGGAAATGGGAGTAATTCATATTCCCGAATTTCCCATTACATACTATTACAATACTCAATCCAACCATGGTTAGAATATAGTACGCAGTCTGACTGTCCGGCACGAGAAGCTGAGAATTCTGCAATTAATTACTCAATTTTCCGCGACACATGTCAGAACAGACAAAGTCATACACAGAACAAGATATTGTCCTTCATATGTGATGATCTATCTAGTCATTTAACAGTCTATCTTCCAGTGTTAAGATTCTGGTAATGGCCTGTAAAGGGCTAGGCCCTGCTGGGTGCCTCGAGACGTCTCGACGTCTCTCGGATTGAAGCTATTCAGGAAGTGGGTTATGGACGAACGAAACCATGCCACCATCTGGCCATCTTCTCAGATAGCCTTGTGTACATTTCTTCTTCAACGAGTTCCTTTGTACACTACGTCCAGTTATAGATAGTTGGGCTACGGCCCATGACAGCTAGGGAGGATTCCTTATTAATCAGCCATCATCGCAACATTCCTTACTGATTTTGCACGTTGTTTATTGTTATGCATGTTGGAATGTTCAAAATTGAGGATATTTAATAGCTAGATACGCAGTTAGTTTAGCAATTCAGACCCTCATCCTTTTGTTACTGGACCAATGCATTACTGGTGTATACTGAAGATCTTATATGTTGACAAATAGAATAGAATAGTATCTTGAAATGTGAATAGAAGTGGACCATTTTATGTGCCTGATGCGCCTGACCAGAAATCTATAATATGACAGATTTGCAATATTTTCATCAGTTCTTCAGTGCCTCACTGGACGATCAAAAGCACGTTCGGAATAATTGAACTGGGGTATTTAAGCAGCTACAATCTGCAGATAGGTCAAGAACTAAGACGCCATTCCGTCGCTAATCACTGTATCACTAGTGTATACCGAAATGTTTCAAATTGACCTATGTGTTATAGTAAAATAATAGATGACGAATTATTATTAAAAATAGCAGTTTCATGCTTGCTGTGTTCTAGCAATAACATAAAAGTGCATCTATTCATGAGTCCCCTTAAATAAACCTGGATAGAGAGGCTCCATCAAGATCCCAGGCGCTTTTCTAGGAAATCGAAGACAACCTGATGCACCCTAAAGAAGGTTCCTTGATGACAATGTGTATCACCGCCTTCATCTTGTCGCAGGCTGACAAATTCATGCTCACAAGAAAGATGCCTGCGAAGTAGGTCTGGCTGCCCTTTGAGAAAGTGATCATTTTCCGCATCAAGTATCAGGCACGGGGTCGTAATCTTTTGACAGATCCCCTCTAAAGTATAATCCTTGAGTGTGCGTATCATCTCTGCTTCGGATGTCACACCAAAAGTCCATTTGCCATTCCGTAAACCCCACCGGATACCCGTGGACAGGGACTGCGCGCAACGAAAGAAGAAATTGCAAACCGAATCATATTTGAGATCCACCAGCTTTTGCACAAACCACGGTTGATTGACTCGAAAGGCGGATCCGAAGTCGTACACCCCATCATCTAGGATGATAGCCTGTATCCGATGCTCCTCGGTGGCTGCTCGAGATACGAGGTAGCCACCCATACTCCACCCGAAGATGGTGATGGCGTTGGGGTCAACTTCTTTCCGCGTCAACGTATAGTCAACGACCGGCGTGAGAACTTTCTCCCAGTCAGGACGGAAGAACAGGCGGTGCGACCTGATCGTGGCACCCTGTCCTGGTCCATCAAATGCTAGAAAGTTATAGCCCCTTGATAACGCTGCAGCACCAATAGCAAACCACCCCTCACTCATGGTGGAATCATATCCACCATTGAAGATGATGGTTCGTCGTGGTGTTCCTGTAGCATCAGGACTGACAAAATACCCCGGTAGTGTCATGTCTTCGTAAGGAATACTGATCGACTGGTATTTGAAAGTAGAAAGCTCCATAGCCTGTGCAAATGCGGTTTCTGACCTTTCATAAATGATATGCGCGATCTTGTCATTATTGAAGTCGTCTCGGCGAAAGAACTCAGCGGTGCGGTAGTAATTGGATGCGCGGAGGTACCCCTCGTAGGCACTCATTTTGTTCCCCACTAATGCTGAATTCTTTGCATTTGCAAATGCTCGGTCTGCTGCGCTTTTCCATTCTCGTAGCCAGTCATCTTCGTCGCCGGCCCGGATTTTGGAAGTGATAGAGATTACTTCTCCGAGATCTGCCCCACCGTAATTGGCGTAGCCAGCGGCTCGAAGGACTTCGTAACTGAAGCATTCATTGGATTTGAAAAAATGATTGATAAGCATTGTTGATATGTTCTCTGGAAGAATGAAGAAGGAAAGATGAATGCAAGTGATCGCGGTGAACGTATTTTAATCTTGCATTCCACCCGTTGCGTCTTGCCCTAGTCGGCCCGAAATCTGGCCCGAGAGCTGGCCTTGTGGTTGGCCCCGAATTCGGTCCGACTCGTACAAACCTTAAGTCTTGCTCACCGAGTAAGTCTTATGAGTTTCAAAATTCAACCTGGAAGCAAAAACAAATAAGATATCTTGCTAGAGCTTAGAATTAGAGTTGCATTCCGGCGCGGTTTGGCGCGGATTTTGCGGCTTCGCTGTGCCACTCTATTAGAAATAAAGTTAAGTGAGTTTCTAAGCAACTTCCAACGGCACCACTTCTTTCATTCTTCCTACTTCATCTCTCCACTATACACGTTTTAAGACAAGTGCAAGATGGGAACTCAAGATGATACTATCCGTGGACCATCTGTCAAGGCAGAATCTGGAATCAATGACCATTTGAATCAAACTTCCTGCACGGTCACCATCCAGTGGGATGGCAACGATCCAATGCATCCTTATAACATGAGTGTAGTGAGAGGTGGCTCACAGTTATTGTTGTGTCAACAGGGTCACTTTGTGTGTGGGTTTCTATAATCTGTGTCGAGCTTGTGGCCAATCTAAAACTAGCTCTTTGCAGTGCTTGCACGTCTATGTACACAACAACTTATGGTCAGATTTGGATAACTTCCACTGTCCACAAGAAATCGCGACACTAGGTTTGTCACTTTCTATTTGGGGCATGGGTATATGAAGCGTCCCGTTTCTGTCACCACCAGTACACAGATTCACTAACATGGCTTACTGTTTCAAGGCATCGGACCTCTTATATTAGGTCCCTTATCAGAGGTGTGGCCAGAAAATTGCACGTTCTTGGACAAAGTTGACGCACCAGGCACATCTACGGGCAAAGACCCGTTTATTTGGGTTCATTTACTCGTTTCATTATTTTTCTCGTTCCAATCGCTGTTGCGAAAAATATGTAGACACTACTCATCGCCCCGGTTTCTTAATGGGTTTGTGGGCAGTGCCTTCCTGAGTGTTGCAAGGGTACTGTTGGCGACATATTCCCTCAACAACAGCTGGGCGCACCCATGATAATCTACACTGCAAGTCCGTTTGTCGGACCCGAACTTAGGCCTTTATAAGTGGAATATATTGGTTCTTATTATCCTTCAATCGGCTAAATGCTTACTGTATACTTGAAGACTAGGTGGATTTATAAATCAAAACACGAACTGGTAAGTTTATTCAACCGCGCTTATTAGTACGATTAGAGACAGGAAAATAGCTTTCATATTAGGTCCGGTGATACAGGCGGTGGACTTTCTGTACATTAATCATATGAGCCGCTGCAATTCTCGTGTCGATATACTATCTGGTGCCCGAAACATATCATCTTATGTTTGTCGAATCGGACCCTACCGCATGAACATTTCCTGACAACTGTAAACTAGTACTCTCAGACGCAAGGCTCAAGATATTCAAAAGAAATCTGGAAACTCTTGGCCACCTGGGCCGAGCGAGGGGACATCACTCCCTCTTCATCAGAAGATCCTGCGTCTTTCTACAGACCGTTTATGCTCCTGGCGTTGGAGCCTATGTGTCTAAGTCTATGCATATACTCTGCCCTTCTCTTGGGTATTCTTTAACTTTTCTTCGGGGCGTTCCCGGTTGTCTTTCAAATGATGTATGGATTCGAGCTGTGGCAGTGTGGGCTTATATTCCTTAGCCTCCTTGGCGTAATGATTCTGGCTGTTTTGTCTGACCCTTACTGGCGCTCAAACTACTGTAGACTGGAGGAAAACCGTAAAGCGTTGAATGGTGAATCATCCGAATTTTACCCCGAATGGAGACTTCCACCAGGTACATTTTGTGAGCCTTACTTTCTGCCTTTGGGTCCCATATGTCGGTCGAAACTAATGTAATCACCAAGGTATAGCTATCGCGGGAGCGCCTTTAGTCACCTGCGGTCTTTTTATATCCGCGTGGATCGCATATCAAAACATCCATTGGGTGGTACCAATGATTGGAAATGTTTTCTTTGGGGCTGCGTATGGACTCTTTCCCTAGAATTTATATTCAAGCGTACATGCATTATAATGAGGAGAGATAGATCCATGCTGACAGGCTCTTCCAACGGGATAGAACGGTCCTTGTGTATTCCGGAATATTCACATACCTCGTCGATGCCTATCCGTTTTATGCCGCTAGTGCTTTGGCTGCAAACAGCCTTGCAAGATCGGCTCTGGCGGGCATCTTTCCACTGTTCGGTACCCAAAGTGCGTCATTTTCTGCTATGTCATTATTCTGGATTTGAGCTGACAGCTTCGTCACCAGTGTACAATGGATTAGGCATGCAGTGGGCGTCGCGCCTTCTCGCGTTTCTCACGTTGGCGATGTTGCCATTTCCGTTACCCTCCGATGGTCCCTCAACTCATATGTGATTTACGGTTTTCTGATTGCAACAGATACTTCTTCTACCGATATGGTTCGAGAATTCGCCAGAATAGCCAGTTTGCTTCGTAGCATATCGTCAGAGATTGGTATCTTCTATCACTAACTGGAATAATGAAGCTTGGAACATTTTGCAATATACAAGATGCCAACCGAGCATGTCGCATCCTTATTACAGACTCTGTTTGGCCGCCCTTCTTTTCGCGTAAAACTCACGTCAGAGAAGATTCCATGGACTCGTCTCCAAATATTTAACAAGATTATGATGACTAATATTATGTTAAGCATATGAGATGTATTGTAGTAATGTACTCTTCATAATAGCAGCGCAATAAACTATACTTAAATTAAGTAGATTCTCATAAAACTTTTAGCATTGCAGATAGCATCATGTACACAATGTGACCGAGGAGGCCGGGCTGGGAGAGGGGCATGTGTAAAAGTAGTATGCTATATATACATCGAAAATACAGAGAAATGACGTAATCTACCCAGCTAAGTACAGTAATCGAAAACGAAAAAAAGAAGAAAGTGTGCGTTAATTCGGGGGGATAATAGGGAGGGTCATATAATTGACATAATTCGGCCCCAAATGAACGTGGTTTCCACCTCGAAAGACTGTTTCCGGCCTATAGAGTTGTCAGAAAAAGCGATATAGATATTTGGACTTTGGAACACATACCTATCAACAGGATCATCATGACCCCAGAATCCAGCCCCGGCCGTGTCTCCAGAGCCGACCTCCAGAACCAATCTTCCACCTGCCTCGACTACGACATTGGTCGGCCATAGCTCGACGTCGACGGGGTATAGCTCGTTCGGAATGACAGGTAACACATCCGTGGTATTGAAGTCCCGATGCGGCAACCAAGGCCAGTGGTGTGGATGTTGAGGGTTTGTCTTTCGAAGGGAAGTGCGTAGCCAGCCTTTTGTCACTGGGACTGCCTCTCCCGTGGAGCCGGTATAGACGATTTCATCGCCTGAGGGTGCGATATGACGGAGGCTAAGGAATAGGTCTAGATCAGATGGTGAGCTACCCCACCGATCTCTGCTCACTGAGACAATGAGGTGAACCACTATGTGCCCAGTTATCTCTGTTTCCTTTTCAAATGGCGCTGAACAGAATTTGATAAGTTCAGGTAGTTCACCCCGGCCGAGGGCCCTGTAGCTCAGTTTTCGTGTTGTCTCATAATGAGGCTGATCGAACTGAAGCCCATGATCTGCCGTCAGGAAGATTGGGGTATATTGTGTTCTGGCTAACGGCCATTCAGTTTCCTTGCGGCGGGGAAAGCTCTTCTCCTCCGCTGGGTTATTATGCTCAACGTTCCCTTTCCGCAGAACTAAATCCACAGCGGGGAGAGCGCCCTTTTCGGCCCATCCCTCTCTATCGTCTCCCTTCAGCCAAGCGTCAAGAAAGCTTCTCTGCACTTCGACCTCCTCCGGGTAGTAGAATGGCAGATCGTGCCGGCCGACGATAAAGCGAAGGTACTTGAACTCGGATCTGGCCCACAGGTATCCCAACACATTTCCTCTCAGGTGCAAGCATATCCCGCCTAAATTGGCAACACTCAGAAGAGGCACTGTGACATCCTCCAGGTTGAAGTTCAGAGGCGCCATCTCCTTGTCATCCCGATACTTCTGCTCCTCCCACGCCATTTTGTGTCGGTTTTCTTCCAGTTCTTCTGTGCTGAGGTCACCCTCAATGGTATCCGGGCCCCAATTGCGAGACGCTCGTCCGGGAAGCCCATACTGATTTGGTGCAACCTGGCGAGCATACCACCCGGCGAAGAATTTATTCGATAGGATGCCACCATGTCTCAGGGACTCAGAGTACGGGTCAGAAAATCCTTCCCATGGGACAATTGCCGCTAAGCCTCGTGGCTGTCGGGCTGCAACCTGCCACTGTGTTGCGGCGTAATAGCTCACGCCCAGCAGGCCGACTTTACCAGAAGACCAAGGCTGCTCAGACGTCCATTCGATCACGTCACAGAAGGCATCGATTGAGGCCGCCGATTTAACATTTAGCACACCGGGAGACTGTCCGATGCCTATCTCATCGGCGCGTAACACAATGTATCCATGGTCGGTCCAGTACTGAGGTGTCGGGGTCTCCCAGGCAGAATGCTCGGTTTTATGAGCTGGATCGACCTCGGCAAAACTCTTGGGGTTGAATCTGCAATCCATTAGACTCGTCTTAAAATAATCGAGCTCTTGTGACAGTTTCTTAAAGCACTTACTCTTTGTAGGGAACGTCTTTGCCGTATGGGCCATAGGTAACGAGAACTGGGAATTTGACCTCTGAAGAAGCTGTTTTGGGCTTGTACACATTGCAGCGGACTACTCCACCATTCCCCAAAGGGATGGATACGTTTTGTTCAAAGACATAAGAGAAATTTGTTGAATCAACTGTTTGAATGTCGCGATGTTGGTTGGGCATCTTGGTCCTTGTCAAGTAGGCTTTGGAATATGATCTTGGCGGGGATAAACAGATGTCGTGAAAGATCACTGTATGTTGTTGGAGGGCAGGAGACTAAGAAATATTTGTGTTCAATACCCCCACCCCCGTGTTCGGCAATGAACCGGCTCAACCTCCAATGCTCCGTATCCCGACCGAATACTTCGAATTGCCCGAATGCTCCGACTCCGATGGATTACTCAGGTCCACATGATCACAATGCCGCTTTAAATGGCATGTCCAATATGCAAAGTATGAATAATGGACCAAAAGGGAAAAGTGAATGACTTTCCATCGTCCTCATTTAACTGAAAGATCTCCATCCCTGCTGAAAGAGGGGCAATGGTTCATATCCCGCAAATTGCTCAATCCCGGCTTCCGCAAAAGACAGGCTATACCAGGCAGCTTCCTCCACATCAGATAATGGCGCCATGAATGAACTGTCGACAGACCCATCGTCAACGTTGTTAAGATCACTGTGGGTGTCTCCCGCTCCAGGTCGTGTCAAAGTTTCGGAGGCTCCTGCCCTGTACGGGCTGTTCGCCAAATGATGGGGTACGCCATTCAAGGGGCGCATAGATTGGGCTGAGCTGTCATGTGCGCTGCTGACCCATTCCTCTCCAACAACGCCGTTTATTTTTACTGGAACTGAACGTCGGTTGTATATCTGCGTAGAAGATCTGCGATCTAACCCTCTCGTAGAATGTCTAGCAACTGTACCACTTTCCGATGTGGCTGTCCCACAATGCGTTTGGCTTGCGGAAAGGGTTACTTGTAAGCCGGCAGAAAGCTTTTCATACTGTAGCCCCATAGAGTTAGAACAATGACGGCGAATAGTAAGAAGGAATCCACTCACAGGATACTGTAAAGGTTTCCAATGTTTTCGAAGAGCATCTAGTAAACTTAGAATCGCTTCCACAGCAGATAGCCTTCCACTCTCACTGTGGCTCCCGGGATAGGCTGCCTGTAACGATATGGCCTGCGAAGAAATCTCCGTAGTCAAGAGCACCATCGCCGTGATAAAAGCTCCATAGCCTACAAGAGGAGGCACATGTGTGATATCTCCCTTTGCGTACAAGTAAGGACTCAATAGGGTCTTGTATGAATGCGCATGATTAATTACCTTTTCCGCACTTTTTCGAACAGTTTCACGAGATATGATTTCGTCAATCGACGTTCCCGAAAATACCGGGACAATCATCGAGTGTAAAGTAATCTGACATTGGTGAAAAAGAGCATTGAAACAGAGCATGAGCTGCCCATCTTCCAAAGTGTTATCAATGCCAGTGTTTGCGTGACTCCTATGGGACTTTGCCTGATCGAAAATTGACGTTGCCAGGTTGGAGAGTGTCTGCATTTTGTCAAGGTTCTCAGTTGGGGTGAAGGAAACAGATTCCGTGACCAGGAGTTGAATCTTGGCCCTAAAAAGCAGGGAGTTAATTCAGCACCAATAAGGAGACCAAATGAGGAAAACAGGTAGATGGAATCTTACCACACACCCACTATCTTGACAAATAGTGCTGCGGCGACCGGCGAAGAAACGGGCCTCTGAGGATTAATGAAGTCCGAACACCAATCACTATTCATTTGCTCGTTTGCAACTATCTCATATCCGAATGTTGTATCGTTTATGAAAGCAGGGAGTGGTAGCTTAGCGGCCTCTTTCCAGGCTGACGCGATGAACGGTTCGGGTGCCGCAACTATACATGTGGACATCCAGCACGCCCAAAAGCATCGACGCCGAAGTTCAGCTTCCAAGGAGAGATCAAGTTCTTCGACATCACTAGTGTTCTTTTTGTTATACTCAAGGAGACTGCAGGAACGATAGGCCAGTGCTAAAATCGCGTAAGCGTTACTTTTCCCACTTGAGATCTTCAACATGCTTAATGTCGATCAAAAAAGCAAAAGGCTTACCAAGACATAAGTTACCGGCATATGCGTCTCCAACACCAAGCCAATACAGCTGTAAGCATTCAAGTGCCTGTGTCACCATCAGAGAATGTTCTTCGACCATCAGTGGTATGGCCTCTCGCAGAGCAGACTTTGCCCAAGGAAGACCGCAAGAGTGGTAGGAGCTCAGGACTCTGAGCTCTGAATGCTCAATTGGGCTGTCCTGATCGCCTTCATTCGACGGAGAAAGAAATCTGAGAAGCTATCTTAGCCGCAACTCAGTTATACAGGTGAAGATCTGGGGACGTACAGTGTGGATAATGCAAATATGGCCTTCAGGAGAATGCCAGAAAGGTTTCCATTAAGATAATCCTGAAAAAGCAAGGGCTTATAGAACAGCAATGATGCATTGTAGATACGCGTAAAATATATTTCAAGCAGGGACAGTCCAATTGCCCGGGAAGGTAGAGGTGGTTCATTACAATCGGAAGTTGATCCTCTGCCAACGGAGCCTGTTTTGTGTAGCTGGGTTGGGTATGAATGGGAAGGATCATGGATTGAGTCGAGACCATTCATCGGAGAACAAGCCCAGTCCCCCGTGGGTGGAACGGTTCTGCGAGATCTGAAAGTACCATGTGTCTGGCTGTCAAATGAGCCGGCAGCATCATCGTGGTATAGATTTGCAGAATGTTCGATGAGAGGTGGTCCGACACGTTGATCGGGCGACCTATGCACACATGTTGTCCGCTTTAGCCTGCGGCCCCGGCGATCGGGTGGGCTGGGATAGACACATTCGGCCTCAAGTCGCCTGCACCGAGTGCATACTGGACGTTCACGACTGCATTTGAGCTGGGTATTTACATGATTAGCAAACATATACCTGTGAAAGGATGTAACCTTGACGCCACCTTTTGATCCCGACACCGCTGGCACGCGGTTATGGAGCGCGCAGGGCGTTGGTTTACTGCTGGTGAATGTGGCTGTACTTCACTTTGCAGGCCATGCCCCTCCGCTTCGGAGGTGTCTATGGTCGCCATAGTTGAGCTTTACCCGGTGTGATCACTCGTGGGAAATAACAAGGAGCCAAGCCTGAAGCTCATGAGTCGGGCCGAATCTTTTCCCGCTTAGAGTGGAGGATCACCTGACGGCCGAACTCACTCTCTTCATTCCTGACGAGCAACACATACCATTCAATTATGGAGTAGTTGATTTGAAGGTATAAAACCTAGGTACCAAAATACAAACATTCGGTATGCACCAGTAATGCAGCGACCAATCGATAATTGAATGAGGGCCTGAGTTCTTAAACTGTCTGCAATCTCCCGCTGCTTAACCGGATAGGGTGATGATACGGCCACACGCCCAATGTGTCACGTCCAATACAATGCATCAATCATAAGCTTTGTTCTCCTGGGTAATTACACACATCTAACTAACGCAGTCCACCAGCCCTCCGCGCATCACGGGTCCACCGCGCACCAACCAATTTCCCACGCGTATTAGCACCGTCATTCTTTAAGCAACAGCTATGCCACGAAAACCACGTCAATCGCGCCAAGATTCAATTAAGCAAGAGGGGGAAGATTCAACTCGCGATGCAAGCTTTAAAAAACCACAAAATTCAAAGTACTCGTCGAGCAGTAACGATTGTCAATGTGCCTGAATCAACACTCCGGGGACGAATCAAGGGAATTCCTTTTTATGCAGAACTTTGTAACCACAACCTCCGGCTTACTGAGGTTAAAGAAGGGGCCTTAGTTGAATGGTTCTCTTTGCAAACGGATTATTCCATCTGAACGAACAGGTTGGAATTCGGCACCTATAATTATCTTGAACGGTTGCGGACGAATCTTCTTCCGCGAATACAGCCCGTGAATTGAATTGTGATAGACAAAAGCTTGGAATTATTCCTGAACGTTTGAAGGGACACCGCCCTACGTGCCTCTCAACCACAATACTCTTTCTATAAGATGTCTTGCCTTCAATTCCGATATGGCTGCATTTGGAGATAATAAGCTTCGCGCGGTCGTGGATATTGCTGCTGCTGGAGATGTCGTTCTGGTTGTTGGGCCAGAGAACATCAGAATGCGTATCCACTCGCTGACCCTCAAGGCAACCTCAAACGCATTTTCTGTCATACTGGGCCTCAACTGGAAGGGAGGCCGTGATTTACTTGAAGATGGGTCCGTGGAGTTGCTGCTACCAAAGGAAAATGCTAAGGCGATGGAGTATATCTGTGCTATAATACATCATCAAAACATATGTTGCCTATTACGATGACTCCCTATGACATCCTTGAGGTTGCTGTCACGGCAAAAAAATACAATTTCGTTGATGCTTTGAGATTTGCAAGTGAATCATGGCTACATGTTCGCAATGCGAAAGTTGATGGGCTAATGGCCCTTGCTGATGCAGCGTATGCGTCCCAGAACGCACAAGCTTTCAGAGATCTTACCAAAGCATTGATACTCAACTACGAGGGTTCCTATTTCTCTCTGTCAACCGAGAGGAACGAGTCTGCGATGAACTGGAAAGTATTCTGTAAGAACCCTTCGACTGATTCCACTGGCTCGTATTACGAATAACTGACTGGTCGAATATGGTCTTCTCGAGGAACAAAGAGATTTGGCGAGGTTTGACCTAGGAGATATACTCATAGGCCGGATTTCAAGGGGGGAGTGTGTGTCCACAGATGCAGATGGACAAGCAAATACGCATAACTATGCTTATTTGGAATCGCTCCGCGACCACCGCCTTTGGCCAACTGGCTTAATCAATATTTCTGAAGCAATAGAGCGAGCAGGAAGCATTCCAGATCCGATCCCTGATGAAAGGAGTACTTCTTGCACATATGAATACAAACATACGACACCGAAATACAGAAAGGGCCGTCAGTGAGCGATAGACTACTTACGGGAGCACGTTGGGCTTTGTCTACATTACGCTCGAATGGAAGATCCGTATGGAACCTGTTTCCGGCCCCAGGAATGGGAATTTTGTACGAATGATAGTTAATGGGGGAGTACCAGTCGACTATCATGGAAAAGGCCGTAATAATCCGCTATACGTTGCCTGTAGAGCCGGATATGAGCAAATTGTGTGGATATTACTGGAAAAGGGAACAGATGTTAATGCTCTGTATCAATGGGGTACAGTGCTTTGCAAATGGCATTGGACTCCGGATGCGGCAATATCGTGCATATACTGCGGCAAAATGGAGCGGATGACGGGGATTTGCGTGACTGGACTCTGGTATGAGCTTAGACTTGCTTCATGTATGAGCGGGTTGTTGGCCTCTTGACTTCGTGTTTATCCTAATACAGCGTGAAATACTTTGAGATGTATACAGAACGAGCGAGCGCAATTCTAGTAATATACTGCAGCATGTTGCGTAGGAGGATTCCCGATGCCGTCGCTGCCAACGGCAGATCTTCGACCAAGCGAGCTATAAGTGAGTCTGATTGGTGACTGTATTTTAAAGACGTGGATCCCGGTAAGCACGTGCGCACTTTAATTGGAACAAGATTTATCCCGACCCTAATCAATCTTATCTAGAGTTCCGCCTCGTTTAGATCTTTTCAGGGACCGTTCCTGGATGCGACCGAAGGATTTCTGCTGCCGCGACCTTGAGCTCCAGAGCTCACTTTCAGGTCACATTTGTTAACTGAAACTATCGAAATTGAATAATTGCGACATGCGCGATTTCCGACCACACAAATCCGATATTTTTTTTTATCTCTATGCGCCTTAAACGCTTGCGCGTATCTTCAAGTCCACCGGTCATAGTGACAGAGGGAAAAGGACCGGAACTGCCAGAAAGGGAATTCCGGGGTATGGGTCTACCTTCGAGACCGATAAGGGGAGAAGACGAGTTGTTGGCAGACAATTCGCCACTGATTTTATGGGTCTTCAAAATCTGAAGCGCTAACCAAAGACTATCAGGGCAGAAGCCGGCGGATCACGCAAAGGCCATCGCAAACTTTCCGAACAATGCATTAGAATATGTAACAAAAGCACCCAGAATGAGCCAATTATGTTGTTTCTTCAAGGACACCTGCGTTCTGGACCAGGACGAGTTCCGCCGTGATTCATAGTGAAAACAGCCCGCGACTTCCCGGTGCGGTAGTGACCCAGTTTTTATTAAGAATCAGATTTTTACGGTCTATCTCCCCATGGGTATATAGCCCTTGCCCGGGATGGCGAAGATGGTGATTTGGAACACACATCTTTCAACCCTACAAGCACAGCCATGGGAATTTTCAAGAGTGACAAGGAGGCTAAGGCCCCTCAGGTCACTATCACCTCGAGCCCTGAGTCTTCAGCGCCAGGAACACCCCCTATTGAGTCTGCACTGCTGAGTGCAGACCAGAACGCGATCGAGCTGGAGAAGCGGCCACATTTTGGTCGGTTGGCTTCCTGGAGGGGGTCTTTGATTCTGCTGGTCACTTCGGGCGCGCAATTCCTCGACAATGTTTTCATGACGAGTGCGAACATGGCTTTGTCGTCGATTCAAGAAGAATTCAATGAATCGAGTACGAACTTGCAGTGGATGATTTCCGCATACACTCTGACTTTCGGTGGATTCCTCCTGCTGGCGGGGGTTCTGTCCGATCGGTGAGTTTTCCACAACACATTAAAGAGGTGTTTCTAATAAGTCAACACAGATATGGACGCAAGACTATCCTTTGCGCTGGTCTAGCATGGCTATCTCTCTGGACATTGGTTATTGGCTTTGGCACGAGCTTTATCCAGCTTGCCATTTTCCGTGGTCTCCAGGGAATGGGTGCAGCGATGACCGTCCCGTCCGCAATTGGAATCATCAGTTCCTACTTTACTGGTCTTGACCGGACCCGGGCGCTGTCCATCTATGCCTCCTCCGGCACGATTGGCTTCTGCGCCGGGTTGCTTGTCGGTGGTTTCCTTACTTCTTCCTTGGGCTGGAGGTATATCTTCTACATTATTGTGATCATCACTGGCGCTCTTGGTATCCTGGGAGCTATCGTGATTCCAAAGGACACTCCCATCGCGGAGAAGCCGAAGATGGATTATGCCGGATCCATTCTGTCTACGTCTGGCCTCATCCTCCTTCAGTTCGTGCTATCGAGTGGCGGTGACTACGGCTGGGGCACACCATTCATCATTGCATTGCTTGTTGTTGCAGTCTTGCTTCTGGTTGCTTTTGTAATTCTTCAAAAGTATATCAGCTACCCCATCATGCCGCTGTCGCTGTGGAAGCTGCGCAACTTTGCCGGACTTTGGATTGCTGGATTCAGTATGTCCCCACCCGCCCCCAAGCTTACTGTGGCGAGAATATGCTAACAAATCAAAGCCTGCTACGGTAGCTATCAGAACGTCATCTACTACATCGTCCTGATGGCCCAACAAGTCGATAACCTCAACGCCGGCGACACTGCCCTCCGCTTCCTCCCCATGGGCGCAATCGGATTCGTTGCCTCGATGGGAACCGGCAAGCTCCTCGAATACGTGAACGGAAAATACACGTTACTCGCAGGTCTTATCCTGACTGTTGTGGCTCCCATTCCGAGTGCCTTGACCGCAACGGATCAGGAGCCGGACTTCTGGATCAACGTCCTTCCTTCGTCTCTGATTAGCATTACCGCTGTATCTCTTATTTTCGTGACCACTAGTACTCTCATTCTGACTACCGTTCCGGTTAACGTTAAGAGTCTGTGCGGTGGAATGGTAAGCTTCCCCCATATACCTAGTTACAGCACAAAACTAACAGTAACAGCTCAACACCGCCTTTCAAATCGGCTCCGGAGTCGCCCTCGCTATTTCCGCTGCTGTCACAGATGCAGTAGACATCTCAAAAGGTCACGATATCGCGCAGCAGTACTCTACTGGTCTCTGGTGCTCTGCCGGTCTTGCTGGTCTGGGACTGATCATTGCGTTCTTCTCGGTTAGCCGGAAGGGGATCGGTCCGAATGATCGCACGGATTCGGATATTGCTGTTTAATCGTCCTGATTAACTGAGCTTACGACTACGATTTTGACAACGACAACAACACTACGACTATGACTATGACTACGACTTTGACTATGATTTTTCTACTCGGTTTCGGGCGATGGGTTTAATGATTGGATTTGATATCGGGTTCTTTTCGGATATAATATGGGTATACATCTGTTTGCGTTGATTTAGCGTGCATTTTGTTTTGTTATGCTTGACTCACGGCGGATAGACGAATAGACGGATAGACGGCTGAGAAAGACTTTTTCTATAGATAGATAGACCCCTAGATAGACTTTCCTCTTTTCGTGATCTTCACCACAAAACTCAAAAACACGACAATAATAATCATAATTATCTTCAGGCGCTCTTTGACCGAATCCTACAGCACAGTCCAAGTACCTTGTAAAGCACTTAGGGCACGTGGAGCCTAGTGGATCCCTGAAAATCTAAAAAGCGGGCTGCTGAAAAGTCTATTTCTTATCAATTTTTATCAGTCTCGGATCTTATGGGCCAATAGGGTGTTGTTGTCTGTAATCGGACGATGATTGTTGTGTGATTGGTGCGTCGAGCACATCATGCATTCTGCATATGTATTAGGAGTGGGATGGTCATGGGACAGCTGGATGTATTCGTGTTAAAGCTATGAGATAACAGCGTTATTGCGTAGGGGTTTTGTCTAGAACGATTGCACATTTGTCTGAAGGGGTGCAAGGTATGAGTGATATGCAGTGCGGTTGACAAAGTGTCAATGGTCTTCGGTGTTCCGGGCGAGCTTTCTGTGATATAAAGTCCGGAATTCCACGGTTAGTCCGATTGACCTAGAACTGAATGTGCAAAGGGACTGCGACATGATATATCTAGCACATATGCTAGCTAACCCGAGCTCCCTAACAGGCCCTGAGTGAATCCGAAAGTACATCTAAGTCATAAGTATAAACCAGTCACCTACAAAAATTCCGACGCATAATCCAACAAATTCACCTTGACCGGCGCCTTGATAGCCTGCATTGCCGCGCTAAAGTACGGAATCTCCTCCCCCTTATAATAAACCTGATTCCCACTAATCTCAATCGTCACATCACCAAAGTCGTCAGTAGGTGAACCGTTGCCCAGCGCTTTGCGAACGAGAACGTCGATGTCGATGTCGCAGAGCACATTGGTCTCAGTGATGTCTTCTTGTAGGTAGAGGTTTGGGATATTGACGTAACCCATTGATGTGCCGCTTATGGAGAGGTTGAAGCTCACAGAGCCCTGGGGGGTTAGTGTTAGTATTTTCTTGTGAGAGGAGGTTGGGGTTGGGACGTACTAGCTCTACAATAAAGGGGCTTGGGTTGCGGAACGCGACGGTTGCGTTCACGTTGTAGCCTTCTGGGGTGGCGGGTTTTAGAAGGTTGACGTTTGTGACGTTGAAGGAACCGGGTTCGTCCAGGTATTCTTGATACACGTTAGCGCGAACCATCAAGTATAGGAAAACACATGTAAGTCCCACCTTCAACATTATAACCTTTCATAGCCATGGTCTTATGGACATCCAAATGAGCTGTGGGTAACCCTCCAACCTTGAGATCCGGCTTTCCAGTGACCAACACCGAGATCTCTTTTTCCCGCACTGCATCCGCAGCTAACCGCGACAAACAGTCGACGCATGCTATATTCAAATCCTGATCAATTGTGAAGTCCGAATCGCCTCCGAATTCAATCTCCTGGACTGGAAAAACTGCGAACGGTATATCCGAGCCCGAGGCGCGAATCGTCGCGTTAAATGCTGAGAGATGGCCGCTTCCGCTGAAGCCGCTGGCATCGAGGTTTTGCTTTTGGTGAACGTGGAAGGAGTTGGGCGTGGGGTTTGTTATCGAGAGGTGATTGTAGTTGTATTGGTAGTCGTTGATGTATTTATTGGCGAAATTGGGGACTCCTACGTAGACTCTGGTCGCACTATTAGCAGTGTCCGAACTCGGGATGCATAAGCACTCACAAAGGAAGAACAGTAACCAGCACAACAACACAAAACCCAATAACATACGTCCACCACCACTTCTTCATATGCGTCTTGAACCGCTGAAAGAACGGCGGCTTCAGCGGCGTCTCCGTAACATTCGTCTGCGAATTATTCGACTTCTGCCCTAATTCTGGTCCCGACATTCTGAATCGTTCACTCTCTGCGGGAGTCAACATCGCAAGAACAATCTCACTGTGCGTATTTCCGGGCCTCCCGCGTCCATTTTTAACATGAATCATTTTCCCCACGGGGCCGGATCACAATGTCGATCTTCACGTGTGCGACGTGAGGGGCCGCGGTACTGGCGATCATGGTGGTTGTACCAGCTAGTGATTTGCAGGTCGCATTTCTCAGATTGGCTTTCATGCTACTGTTTCGTTGGGAATAGGACCGCGAGGTAGCGGGATTTACCCTGGGAGGAGATGCATTGCGTAGATGGGGTCGTACAGGGCTGGATTGTTTCCTTATCTATGAAGAGCGTATGATGCAAGACGATATTGTGTGGACTTATTCTGGCAATTCAGGAGCCAGGGGGATAAGATTGAGCTCAAGGGTGTCATAGTCTTTCCGTAGAAGGTAGTAGATGTCTTGTTGGCCGGCTTTGCCAGAGTCGGGTCATGATACGTTTGCCCATTGCGGGCAGGGTACCGGAGAGCATTATTCTAAGGGAGTTATTGTAGAAGACTTAAAGTATAGAAAAAAGATAGAATAGCGAATGGGGGGACTGACGCAACTTGTTTATCGTGAGAAGTTATCGTGGAATTCCTTGTTTATCAGAAAATAGTTTATCGGAACATTGTTGTCCGATGGTTGCGCCGGAACAGGACGTTCCGGATACGATAACCGAAGTGCATGCGGTCCTGCCCTTTTAGAACATTGCGAAAATTAATATTATGTGGAGCGTCTCATGAGAAATTAAATTGTCTAGTCCAATATATGTACAAATATTAGTCGCACAGTGATCGAGGATCGGAAATAGGCTCTACCATGGATCCATACACTTGTACTCCGTAATGTGGTTCAAAATCGGACCACCTTCTCTCCGGTTGCCATTGACAGTAATGGTAGGCAAATATCCGGAAAAAACTGTCAACGAGGCGATTAGAGGATCCGATAAGTTCTACTCTTGCAGACACAGTGGCATTTCCAGGGGAAACTTGGTTTGGGTTCTTTGTTCACAAGCTTTTGAAGGACTACGCAGACATGAGGTTTGGTTCAGGAGATGTTGCTACTGATGCCGCAGCGTTGTCGACTGATCTGGCAAAAGAAATCGAAGGTAGTTAAATTGGATGCGGGTGTCAGAAACGTGACTAGGCCAAAGTTGATCGGACAGTGTATGAAATGGAACAAAAGGAGATCATAATGTCATCAAGCCTACAGGATTGTTCATAATGTACCCATTGGATACAATGGGAATTGCCCATCCCTGTCAAGCAGAAATCCCTGGAGAATAGCATCAAGATCCAGATTCGATAATTCCCAATTCGTTTGCGGGAAGCCATTTTCCACAAAAGTTGTCCCAACAGCCTGGGTTTTATTAGGCGTAGCCACGGATTCATCGTGAACAGTTTGCAGCTGAACCGAATTTCTGCAGATTTCTCCACTCGTCGAATCATTGACAACGATATTAACACCCAAATGATCCATGAGCCTGTCGAGATTCTGCCTTGCTTTTATAGCCGCGGCATAGATATCTTTTTGCTCTTCCAGAGTATTCAAACAGAAGATAAGGGATTGAAATGAAACTGAGCCTTTCCCTTTATGCGCCACGATCCGTGCGTGGATGGTTGCGCTGACATAAGTCGCATATGATAGGACGTATGGTGCGCTCCCGATTGAATAGTGCTGTGCATAGTCGCGCAGAATTTGGACGGTCTGGTTAGCAGCGGCTGTGCTCGCTGTGATTGACTCATGGGCAACTATAGCGCTGCTGTGACTGTCCGTAATAAATGGTCGCTCGGAGAGAATTACCAGGGTGTTACAGAGGGCTCTGCTCTCGAAGTTAGTAATGTGCACCAGGAAACCAGGAGGGTTTACCAACAAAAGACAGAGGGCCTGAGGTAGGACAAAACCAGGGTCACCTGAATGGGCAATATAGTCCATCTGGGGGGGAAGTGTTTTCCGCCATTGGCTCAGGTCAGATTTGATCCTTTCGCAGACATTCATTTTCTGGCTTAGTCGAGCGTTTGGGGTGGACTCAGAGTAAACCTCACACATCAAGTGCTCAATTATAACTGACAATTCGCACAGCTTCGTTAGCAAGGATACATTCAATGCTGGAATGCCCAGTTGCTGGTGGTTTTTTTTGTATGATATGCTGTCAAATTGCTCGAGCTCATCATACTCGTCTAGGAACTTCAAAGGCGTGTTAAAATCTCTTTTCCGGAGGAGTGAAGGTCGGCCCTGGAGGAGGCATTGGATCTTGTCAATCGCTAATAAGGTAGATGAGTAAATAGAATCCGAATTCAAAAATAGTTTGGAACTTACAATATGCCCCCCAAACAACCCGCTTTCGAATCTCTAGCTGCTCCGCAGACGTGTTGTTTGTCGAAGGCAGCACATGTAGACCAAGGTCAATGATCATATTAAAAGCATTCCCAGCGTATAACCACGACAGACTTCGTTCGTCACATCTCGAGAAGAGTGCATTCGACATGATCAGCAGAGCCTGTATAGTAGTGATCTCGCTTTTATCAAACTTATCGCGCAAGAGCTCCACGAATCGCTGTCGATACATTAATCCTGCCGTGTTTATGTCATCTGGATCCGTGCGGACTTCAGGTCTGAGGCAGTGTTTGGAAACAACGAAGAATATAGAATTGAGTAGTAGCTTTGAGAAGTAAGGACCTCCGCACGCCATGTCGCGCATGAAAACGGGACGGTGGATGATTTGCGCGGTATAGATCTGGCGGCTCCAATAGATGGAGAGCAATTCCATTCCTATGCTGGGGTCTACTCCATCAAAGTCGAGGCGACCAGCTATGAGATTCAAGCGCTCCAGTTGCCCTTTGAGGTGATTAGTTCTTGGCAGTAGTATGTCTTCTTCGAGAGGTAAGCTTACTCTCTTTCGCGGTCTGCGCAAAGAGTAGATGTCCAGACCATTCTTCCATGGCATGAAAATCATTGACTTGCCCATTATGTTGCTGAGGACTTGATGTTTCATAATATGCCGTGCTGGTTGGACCGTGGTATAGAGAGACATTGCCCCTGGGATCACTTGCAGGCGGTTCTGCAGGAATATGAGAGCCGCGCGTCCCTACACTTGCAAGCGTCCTAATACTCCTTTCAGGACCCGACATTGGAGAGCCCACTGAGCATGGTGGCTGCGGGGAAGAAGCTTGCTCCACTGAGAAGCCAGGAGCCCCATGTTGCGCGACTGGTGTATCTCCAGTCTGGAGGCGCTGGCGAAGAAATGCATTCTCCGACTCCAATCGTGCAATTCTTTGATTTGTTGGCCTGCCACAACAATAATTAACCACCGCATAACGAAAACGTAAGGCCCGATACTAACCTCGGCTTATGTTGAGCAGGGCCTTGCTGGCAGTCAATACCTTTGGCTATGCAGTTGCCACAGGTTGGCTTCACAGCGTCGCACTTCAACTGTTTCTATTTATTAGCAATAGTGCTGCTAGGTAGATCAACCCAATGCACCGTACCTTTTTCTGACGGCAAAACGTACACGCCGCCGATGCGCGGCCGAGACTTTGTCTTTTCGGCATTTTGGCTCCCGGCCTCGGTTGGAATGGTTTGTGACCAGCACCGGATTGAATTCACATTTAGTGAGGCACTTTAGGTATTCTGGTGTGCATGTCTATGCTATGGAAGCTCTTCAATGAGAGATTGAGTTATTTACCGGAGGCTTGAGGATTCGTTGCTGTGGGGTTGACGTCTTGGTCCGAGCGGCTTTTGGTTGGTTCGTTTGACCTTGTAATATCATTGGTTTAGACGGGCCCCTATGTTCTATGAGTTCCTCGCACTCTCTCATTGACCGTATACATACTTCTTTATCGGCATTTACTTGCACAAGAATAACTGCCAAGGCCTCAAGAGTACGCGCCCCGGTCGCTCAGTGGGTATAAAGTAGCGCAAACCCGGCCGAGAACAGAATGTAAAGTCCAAATATATATATTCCATATTAATGTACGTAACTCATTAGATATAATTTTACTCGTAAAATTAAGGAGCAGGACTCGTATCTCCACTCTGCTCAAGCTTCTTCCCCTTGTCGCTGACCATCTCATCTAACTCCTGTGTCGTGCCTGCTAATTTATTCGCCAATCGAACCGTCTGGAATATAGACAGGTCCTGCTGGAAGAGCTCTTCAAGTTTCTCCAAACTCTGACCCATTGTCTCAGGGTAGAAGAAGAAGACGGTCACCGGGAACGCAAAACAAAGAACTGTATATACAATCCAGTACTGGTAGCCGATACTTGTCATTGCGATTGGGGTGATCATCTGCACAACGAAGTTCCTGCATTGAGTTAGCATATGTCCGGACGAGCAGGGGGTGGGTTTACATACCAAAGCCAGTGATTTGCCGTGGATATCGAAGTCATAGCAACGCGAAGGCGTAGAGGAGCGACCTCAGTGCAATAGAGAAAGCTTGGACCCAAGAAACCGATGGGAAAGAAGAAAGCGAACAGAAAGATGAAGAAAGTGGTTCCGATGGCAGCCCCATGGTTCTCACTGGCGTATTTGCTCGTGATGGCTATGCACATCATGCACAGCGTAATACCAACGCCACTGAACAGAAAAAGTTTCCGGCGTCCGAACCGATCAATGGTGAAGAAAGCGACAAATGAAGCAGCGAACTTCCATGTCAACATGCCTGCCGCTAGGACTCGGGAAAGGTCGGCAGTTAAACCCAGACTATCTTGAAAAATTGTCGTGCAGTACGTGCTAATCGCATTTGCGCCGGTCATTTGAACCCAGAATTGCAATCCGAGACAGAGCATGAACCGATAAAATAGTTTGCCGTCTTTCATAGTGAAAATGTCTTTGACTCTTGCTGCATTTTGGGCTGATTCTTCAAGCGACGCCTCAATGCCAGCAATCTCGTGTCTGATTTCCGGATCTTCAGAATCGATCTCCTTGATGCGAGCCAGGATGAGGGCTGCTTGGGTGGTGTGACCGGCACGGACAAGCCAGCGAGGCGATTCCGGGAGGAGGAAAATGGACGCGATTGGCATAAGCGAGAAGACACAAGGAATCGCCATTGGCACGCGCCACGAGACAGAATGATGGTCGATGTAAGAAAATCCGTAATTGATCCACTGGCTAATGGCATAACCGCTGGTGATGAATATACCATCAATCACAACATGTGCTCCCCGATCCGCTGCGGGAGAACACTCAGACTGCCAGACCGGGACTATCGTGCTTGTGAAACCAATACCAATTCCAGTCACGATCCGTCCGACCAGTAACTGAGCGAAACTAAACGAAGTGCACGAAAGAAGTTCACCAATGAACGTTAAAAGTGCCCCGACAAAAATGGCTTTTCTCCGGCCGAGGAAATCTCCGATGGAAGTGCAAACTAACGAGCCCGCGGCACCTCCAAGTGTAAAGCAGGAAACGTAGACGCCCTGCATCACGGATTTTTGTGACTCGGTCTCTCCGGTAGCGTTTATTGTGTCGATTTGGGGAAATAGGCCAGTCCAGCTGTCGAAGCCGAGTAGGCCCCCGACGCCCACCTGATTATAACCGAAAAGAAAGAAACATGGGAAGACCACGAGGATGACTTGGGTCAGCTGTAAAGAGTGTCCACGAAGCATGATGGGTAGTTGTGATGGATTAAAATTTTTTAAAGAGGAATGATATTAACAAGCGAAAGAGTTTATCTGAAGAACCGGTCTCTGGACGGTGGCAGTTATATAGGGTTCCTGTTGTATACCCAGATGAATAAGACCCTAACACCGCAAAGCTCGGATGTGCCGTGAAGGGAGTATACACCGAGGACTAATCGGTGGGATAATATACGCGACCCAGACTTTGACAACCTATTAATGGAAGAGTCGAGCTCCTTGCATTATCAGCTCCGATGCCAAATGCCAATACTACGGTAGATCTCATGCTGCTCTGAAACATCGCCGCAATCTACTATGGAGTGTAGTGAACCTAGTAAGACTGATTCTTTATCAAAGATTAGATACATGGGCAGGTTCCTTCATACTTTAATGCGTCTCTGATAAGATATGTCCATGAGTTTCAACGGCTTCCAGATCGTACTAATAGGAATACACACAGTAGTAGCAACTGTATCTTCATGCTCTGCTCTCGCGGTTACGTTGACATGGGCCCATGCGTCGGCCATATGGCGGTAATGCTGTATGTGCTGTATGAACTGTGGGGTTATGCAAGTTTATCGTGCATGCAGATCGACCAAGTCACGGCATCCAAGACCCTGATAATGCGGTGAGCGAACTCGAAGAGGCGGTGGTCTTGAATGCGGTATACTATTATTTGTCCTATTTCACGAATTTAGGAATACTAGGGGGAAAGTAATAGGTATCGCATTTTCATTATTTTGGTGGATGCGCTGCAAAACCCTGGTACAAGCTCGCTATCGAAAACCAAATAGCAGTGGGCGAGTCCGAGCACTGCACTCTGCAGATATATCTGTGGTCACAATGTGGCTGCAACTTGCCAGTGTGCTTTCAAATTTGTATTAGAGCGCCTATCAAGAAAGTGAGAAACGAATCCCCCCCTATACATGATGTCGAGCGCACCGGACTCATTCGGAATATTATGTCAATGCAAAGATGCCAGATCGCTTCATTCTACCCATCGCATTATTCTGTGTAGGCGCTGTATACACGACTCTTTTGCTATAAATCAATCGCGTATCAATTTTTCCTGCTGATACGAAGGCAGACTACAGATAAGGGCCTGGTTATGCCATTTCTCGACGAGATATACTCCTTCTACAATAGCTTAAGTTCTCAAGGATGGCATTTATTACAGCCAATGCGCAGAGTCAGCCGTATCCGATCCAGGTAGTTGAAGTGAACCCAATGATGAAGCGTGTCGCGCCCTAACCAATACAAAATGGAAACCGACTTCCAGGTGTATGCAGCACAACCTGCATACATCTAATCTTGCATAGGCCCAACTCCCTTGCATCGAAATTGTATAGATTTCTGCTTTTATTCCTGTTTGCAACATCTATGAGTTGGTTCTGCACAAGGGATGCAGGTAGATAAAAATGGAAAGAGTGAGGCTTGTTGACAACGAATGAGATTGACTTTGTTCTTTACACTTGCAGTCACTTATTGTTATCGGATTTTTTACAAGTAAATTGCTGTATTCCATAATCATATAATTTATTCAATAACGGGACACAAATAAGCGAGTAAATTTTCCATGATTTCAGGCCTTGGATATGCAATCTTGGCAGCGCAGCCCATATTTCCCGATATGTCAATTTAACACGATGCTCCTCGTGTCCCGTATCTGTGCGCCTTCGTCGCATTACACCGCAAGAGCACCGACGTCATGGTCAGCTAGCCCAGCTTCATTTGCTCTCGCTTAGACTGAAATCCAGCAAGTGAAAGCAAAAATGCGGTAAATGAGCTCGAGCTCGCGAAAAAGGCGTTTGTCGGCAAATTTACAAGGGCAATAAAAGTGCATCGCTTCGTTGGCACTGGTCTCTACTATCCGCAGTGTATCAAGGAAATGGGAAAGTCAATCGGAGCCCATTGTGAACAGGCAATACATAGGTAATGCTATGGGGTGCATATATACTGGGAGCCACAACCTGTCATCCAATGGGTTTCAGGACATGCAGGGGTAGAAGGAAATGAGAGAGCTGATGTCACGGAGTACGGGCATTCACCAACAACGCAAGATGTTTGTAAACTTTGGCCTGTTTGAATATAGGGCAGGAACCCCCGTCGCACACTAGATAGCGCAGCGCTGGCAGGCCCAGCTTCCTTCTTTCCTTCTCCATGTTAGTATTTCGATAGAGAGTCTACCAATAGATTTATATTGTTCGAGACTGTCACAGCTGACCAGGCAGCAGGGCAGGCAGCCAGTAAGCCTCCAGGAAGAAGCCCAAGAGAGATCTCTCTGGCCTTTGCCTGTAGAGCCCGAACAGAAGCCATTAAAACACGGAAGCAGAGATGGTTCAACAAGAAGCTTAGCCAGCAATTCCAACAAGGTCAACGAATATACAGGCCACAGAAGAACTGGTGGCTTGATCCTACAGCTCTAGTAGCTCCCAAGTATCTGGTAAGCCGCAACTCTCAATTGAAGTCAGTACATGCAGCTATTGGAGCACACATACATCAGATCCAGGTCCAAGATGATGCAACCTGTAAAAGCTGTGGCCTATCAAGGGAGTTATTACACCATCTTCTCTTTCAATTCTGGAAATAGCAACACCAACGAAATAAGCTCTATAAGGACCTGAAGATGTATGGGGTTATGAGGCCCACTGCTGCAGAGGAGCACCCGCAAGGACGACTTTTAGGAGATCCTAGAGCTACCAGAGCGCTGCTACAATTCCTGGCAGCACGCGTGATAGCACGGCTTCAGAAGCTTGACTGGCTATACGAGGTCAGTAAAGCCACTGCAAAACAGACACGGTGCTGCGTAATGGCACTTTTCTGCTTGCGGGCTCGGGCTATTAAAGCCATTCTGCCGCAGATCTCTGTCCACAACACCGCCGTTGAGGACATGTTCATCCTGATTCAACAGGGGCGTTCCAAAGGCCTCTTCCAAGGCAGGGCGACACTAGTCCACATCCAAAGCTCCTCCAGATGCATGGTACTAAGCCCGTGGCTATAGTCAAGCAGTCTGTTATCGTCGACACCGCAAGATTGGGCACACCAAGAGAGACCTGCCCTGAAAGGGTCGTTGGGGAATGCTGGGAGGTAGGATAGCCGTAGGAGGCCAGTGCATCAAGGTCTGTTCATAAATGTACACGTAAAGGCTCATATGGCTGAGGAAACAAGGCCTAGGCTCTCTGGATCTCAACTGGCACGAAATACTGTTGAGCATTTAGTATCACACCACCAGAGAAAAAGGAACAATCTTACACTCATACTTGCTGTAGCGAAGTATGGCGTAGTCAATCTGTAAGAGAACAAAGATATTAATGAGGCCTGATAAGAAGAGATGTCAAGAGAAGGTGTGGAGTATGGAGTACGGAATACGGAGAAAGAAGGAAGTATGAAAAAAGGAGTCGGGCGGACACATACCTCAGGCAGGGAAGCGGCATCAACCTCGCTTTCTACTTTTCCCACCTCCATAGACGACGTGGGTCCAACATTCAAAAATAATCACCATTGCCTAACTCTTTCACTTTTTGTTATCATTAAAATTTATTGTCACTAAGACCGGGTTGTAGCATACTGCTTAAATGGCACTCCATGCTGAGAGCTACCGCTACTGCAAACTACCAGCCGAACTAGCACCCGAGCTTGGATGTACGTCCAACCTTCCATGAATTTGGGAAGAGGAAGAACTAACCAATTACCTGATTAAACAGATAGTATGGGTCTCATGCTACATAAAAACACCCACCTTGCTCGGTGTGTGTGCGACGTGCAGCCTGTAAACTCTTCTGGACCGGATACCGAAGACGGGCTTTTGAAAATATCGTTAGCAAACAACGAGGCTTCCGTACTTAATACACACTGCCCTCGTGGCATCTGGCCACCCTAGGAGAAAGATAGTAGCAATAGGTAACGCACCAAGACGTGGAAGGAGTCGATTACACAATCATGAACCACGATGTCTTCAACAGCCCGGTGGCCTTAACTATCATTCGTCTTCATGAACTTCTCGCACATCAAGCACGCGGCGACCACCTCATCCTCCGTAAAGAAACCCGACAAACCGCAAGCCTAATACTCTGCTGCCCGAAACTCGAATGAATTGTGGTGCTGGCGTTTACTGAAGTTGAGAGCTGTAGCTCATTGCTACATCGGTTAGGGTTGATTTAGATTACGCTAGGCCACTCCGGCAGAGTGCTTCAGGTTGTGGCGGTCGCGAAGAAGGCCGAGATAAAAAAAAAACACAATAAAAAACGAAAGCCTTGTCTCAACAGACCATAATGGTACCGGTTGTGCACAATTAGGGGAAATTTGGATCTGTGCGAACTGCCATCGAATTGAATCTTTCCCTTCGGGAAAACATGGATATGTATTTAGCCGTCGGATGTAGTCCATCCCTGATCACCCGGCTTCCCACATCTGTCTCTTTTTGTTCTTTTTCAATGCGAATTCGACACCCTGGTTGAATACCAGAACCTGCGAACGGAGACTTCTTGGCACACAGCATGACAGAAACAGAAGCCAAGACTCCGGTCGAGTCGCAGGACGACGACAAACACGAACCAAGTGAAAACACTCCCGATAGTGAGGGGCCACAGCTCAAACACGGGAAATGGTATTTAGACTCTTTTCGTAACACCAAAGGTCATTGAGAATGCTAATATAGGCATTATATATAGGCGTTATGTCATGGTCATAGCGGCTGGTTTCCTAGCGATGTTCACCACCTGCGCGCTCATTTTCACTTTCGGGGTATGGCAATCACTTTATGAAGAAATGGCCACGCAACCAAATACGCCATTTACCGGGACTTCTACCGCACTCATCAACTTGATTGGTACGTTAGCAATTGCATTGATGTCAATGGGCGGCCCATTTACCATGGTCTGGACCAAGTTGTACTCCCCGCAAGTGGTCATCATCGTTGGAGGATGGGTGTTCGGGATCGCATTCATTCTCGCCAGTTTCAGCAAACAGCTGTGGCATTTTACTCTGACCCAGGGTGTTCTACTGGGGGTAGGTACTAGTATGACCTACGTACCAACGATGGCTGTCGCACCGACATGGTTCGATAAACGACGCGGACTGGCCATGGGCATGATTATCTCCGGCACTGGTGTAGGAGGAATGGTCTGGCCGCCGATCCTAAGTGCTATTATTGACAGCATTGGATTCAGAAACGCATTGAGGATTGTGGGTTGCGTTTCCGTAACTCTGGTATCGCTTGCCGGATACAGCTTGGGATGGGAGCCGGACTTCGAAAACCAAGTTCGGGTACAGACGCAGGGAATGAGTCGGGTGAATGGATGGATGAAGATTCCGCTTATAAATTGGCGTGTCGCACGTACGGAACGATTCATCGCTCAGGCTTCGGGTTGCTTCCTGCAATCTGCTGGATACTCGACGCCCCTGTTCTTCTACGCGGCGTTCGCCAGGGCACTCGGGTATAGCAACACAACAGCCACGAACTTCATTACTGTCAGCAATGCGTCAAACTTTGTGTCTAGAATCATAATCGGCTACGGCGCCGATAAGTATGGACGGATCAATGCGCTAGCCTTTACGACTCTACTTAGTGCCATTGCTGTATTTGCCTTCTGGCTTCCATCGATGTTCAAGGATTCGGCTATCTCTAGCTCCAGCGCGGACGGACTGTTTATTACATTTACGGTTCTATACGGTGCCTTTGCCAGTGCCTACATATCGCTTTTCCCAGCCTCATTGATCGAGCTGTTTGGCGTGCAAAATTACACCAGCGTTAATGGTTCCTTGTATCTCATCCGTGGAATGGGTGCTTTGATTGGGACACCGCTAACTGGACTGTTGATCCCAGAATCGAAGGCTCTGGTTTCGCCTATTAGCTACGAGCGAGCAGGAATAACGGTTGGGGTGTTATTGTTCGCAGCTACCGTGGCGTGTTTTATCGTACGGATCGAAGCAATGTTGGGATCACCCTGGCGGTGGAAAATGTAATTCATATTTAGCACTAATTCTTCAATACAGCCTCAGCCGTAATATATACAATAAGATCAAACGCCGCGCAATCCCTTCCATAACACAGCTAGAAGCAGAACCCATTGAGATCTTCAATCCTCCGCTTATCCACAGCATGATGTCTATTTTCCTCCCACACCTGACCGCCCTCTCCAAACTGATTCGACAAATGTCCCAGGAAGAAGTCCAAGTTCTCCTTGCACTGCTTGAACTCGTTCTGGAAACACTTATAGAGCTCCTGCACCTTGGGCTTGGACGACGCATACGTCACCTTATTTGCAAACACAGAAAGATACTTCTTGGTATGCGCGAGATCCGCTTGTGCATCAAGCTCCCATCCCGGCTCCAAGTGGCCGGGGATGATCTTGGCCGGGCTGAGCGAAGAAATGACGTCCAGCGATTTATTCCATGCTTCAAGTAAAGCGGGGGTTTCGACTTCCTCGACCCTGAACATAGTTAGCAATCCCTACTCCGTCTCAACAATGTGGAAAGCGTACCAAACATGCGTACTCCTCCCATAAACCGTATCCCCACAAATCACCGTCCTCTCGGCGGGTAACCAAAAAATAGTATGATCAACTGAATCCCCCTGCAACGGGCCTAGCAACATAACCGGACTCTCTGGATTTCCCTGCAAGACGAAGAAAGTAAATTCGAATGCCTCCGGCTTCCTTGGCGCTTCGGGAACACTCTCCTTGCCGAAAATCGACGGCCAGTATTTCACTTTATCATCGTATTCTCTGTTGATTCCCGCGAGGACGTATGGTGCCGCGTAAAATTTCGCGGACGGGAATGACTCGAGGATGGGATTTGCGGAGAAGAAGTGGTCGGGGTGGTGGTGGGTCACGAAGACGGCTTTGAGGGGTGTGGTTGTTGTTGCTTTGACCCAGCGGACGACTGATTCAGCATCTTGAATGAGGAAGGGTGGATCAATTAGGACAGACTCAGTTGCACCAACGATAAGGGTTGTGATGCTGGACAGGCCTCTAGTTGAGGAAGAGTGGTGGTAGGTTTGGAGAGGCATTTTCACGGTCTCTGCAGGGTTATTTTGTTGTAGGGATACAATTGTACTGCCGATAACGAGGTTTAAATACTCCAAGCATCTCCATTGCAATTGGCCAATGGCCCTCCCATAATGACCGAGGATCTCGCCTATGCCGTTGAGGGGTCAAAGCTTACTGAAGAAATACACCGGGGAAATATCCATCCCAAGCAGGGAAGTGGGCCATATACAGCTCATCGTCGGCGACAGAATGAACTACAAGGGGAAAGCGGTCCATCCCCGCAGGATGAAGATGTTTAAGCTCTGCCCCACTGTGCCATTGATTCATGCCGATTGGTTGGATCTATCGGAAAACCCCCTGAGTATATACTCCACGAACCGGAAAATACTCAACAAGTGCAGGCACGGCATATTTTGTCGGGGTATATGTGCATGGTATATCTATTTAGATCCGGGGTTGAATCGTCCGACTACGTTGAGATATACTCAGGAATTTGAGTCAGTATGGCACAATTCATTCCCAACATCACCCCAGAGTCTCTGGCGGAAAAGGTCATCCTAATTACTGGTATGTACAATCAATCCCCCTAGCCAGCGCCAGTTAGTCACTGACTACCTATACAGGCGGAGCAAATGGCATTGGTGCCAGCCTCGTCGAGCTTTGCTGCAATAACGGTGCCTACGTCTGTTTCGGTGATACCGCGGCACATGCAGGTCACCAACTCGCACAGAAGCTCTCCGCATCGTCTACTTCCAAGCCAAGGGCATTATTCCACCAAACTGATGTTACGGAATACGATTCCATTTTGAATCTCTTTGATGCCGCTCTGGAGACATATGGACACATCGATCATGTCGTCGCCGCGGCCGGAATTCAAGAGATTGGCAATTGGTTCGACCCCGCATTGACACTTGAGGACGTTCGAGAGGTATGCCACTTCTCTCTCTAAGTCCAGTGTACAAATACTAACAAACCCCAGCCCGCGACTACGAAGGTCCTGGATGTCAACCTCTATGGCTGCCTCTACGTCTCGCGCATCGCGAGCGTGTACCTCCGCCAAAACCGCCCACCGAACACAGACCGCTCCATCACCCTAATATCCTCCATCGCCGGCTTCAAAGAATCTCCCGGTCTCTTCGTCTACCAAGCATCCAAGCATGGCGTTTTAGGCATTCTACGCTCTCTCCGCCAATACCTCCCGTTCACTCTACACCAACTCCGCATCAATGCCGTTTGTCCCTGGATGACCACCACGGGAATGGTGAAGGGGATCCAGGATGATTGGGTCAAGGCGGGTCTTCCAACAAACTTACCTATGGATGTTGCAAAGATTACTGCGGGGTTAGTGGTAGATGAGAAGTTGAATGGGACGTCAATGTATGTTGAGGGTGGACGAGGTTGGGAGATAGAGGGGAATTTGGATCGGTTGGAGCCGCAGTGGCTGGGAGAGGAGCCGTCTAGGTCTTTGTCAAAAGGGCAGGCTGTTCTAGGGAGTGGGAGTAATTGGACTAAATATTGATTGGTGTTTTTTTAGTGGAGTTGCTTGCGCTACGATATTATCCAGTACGAGTACCGGACCGTTGCTTTTTTAAAACGGCTTCGTGCTCAATAAACGGTATACCAAGATGAAAATAGCATAAATAAAATTCTTGAGAACCACTTCTAATCCCAGCTTTAAAAACGGTATGCTATTGTGCGGTTTGTCATGGTCTTTCCATTTCGGCCATATTGTACTCCGAGCGGCCGACCTCAGAAATCCCCCTACAACCCTTCTATGAATCTATGGCTATAAATATGGCCACTACTGATCATTTTTCTTTTGATATAGCAAGATTTAACTCCAATACATTAATCGACATCAACCAATTTGACACCATGAAGGTCGGAATCGCGGGAATCACAGGCAAATTCGCCCGCCACCTCGTCACATCTCCTTTAAAACGACAACATAACCACGATTAAGGGCTACTTTCGCAATTCCAGCAAGCTTCCAGACACCTTACGCTCGTCTTTGAAGCTTGAACTCATCCAGGGTAATGCCTTCGACAACGATGCAATCCTTTCTTTCGTCCACAGCTGCGATGTAGTCGTTTTCTGCTACCTCGATGACGACAAACTCATGGTCGACGGACAGAAGCTCCTTATCAATGTTTGTGGTGATGAGCCATCTGTCACCTGGTACGTCGCTAGTGACTGGGCGCTGGACTACACCAAGCTCGAGCTGGGCCAGCTGTTTCCCAAGTGCCCCATGATTCACATCAAAGCGTATATCGAGACGAAGCAGGATGTTTCTGGTGTGTATATTCTGATTGTTGGATCCATGGAACCTGTCTTCAGTCCGTTCTTCAACATATTTGACCCGGAGAGCAACACGTTCCAGTACTGGGGAGAGGGCGACGAGGCTATGGGAGGTATTACATATGATGATGCTGCGAAGTTCACCGCTGCGGTTGCTGCAGATCCTAATGCCTCTGGTATTTTGAAGTGTGAGAGGTCCTCATTGTCCATGCTGCTTCATGGTTATTGATAGCATTTACAGTCGTTGGTGGTTGTTCTAGCATCTACAAAATCGCACAGACTTTCGAAAAGATCTACGGAATGCCTGCGACTGTAGAGCGACGTGGATCCCTAGATGATCTGTACAAGCATATGCACGAGTTGAGTTCTAGCAACCCACAGAATGTCTATATATATGTGTCACTGTATGTCTCTATCAATCATTTTTTCCGACGGAAATATTGACAAGATTGTTTTCAGATTCTTCTTCTATTACTGGATCAACGATCAGACACTAATTGGTCCTGAACTTGTCAATGCCCGGTATTCTGAGGTGAAGCCGGTCGATTATGAGGGTAACATGTACAAGTGGCCGCGCGAGCCGTTGGCGACGTCCTTTTTCTCGCTGACCATGTAATGTGATAGAATTCATAGTAGCTTAAATAAATCGCACGCACTTGTACAACTTTATATTTCCAAATTATGTCCTACCATTGCGCAGAAAATCCCGGAACAAGTTCATATACGCCACACCAGTATTTGAATCATCCATTGACCAATCCACATGTTCAGGGCAACCTTCTGCCACACGCATTGACCGTCCATGTCTCCTGGTAGCCCTTTCCATCAACCGCGTAACCGCTTTCAGTACAATTCCCCTTTCCCGAAAGTCCCTCTCCTTCCACCTATTATAAGCCCCTTCTACAACCGTCCATGCGCGCAAGTCATCCGAGGATTCCTCCCGATTGCATAGCTCAGAAAGTACGAATGCAATTGCATGCCACTGGACATACCCCTTAAATAGCCAGGACCATTTTGTGGTTCTCTCGTCGGTTTCGAGGAGGCACGCAAATTCTGTGACCTCCACTGCCGTCCGAAAGAGTTGATTGCGCGTGGAACTGTCTAAAGGTGGGAAGACATCGGATGCTAAACGTGGGAAGTGCGCAACTAACCATGACCGGGCAATGGCTAACCGAAGAATGGTAGCGGTTACCCATTGTATTGGGACAGACACATCACAGTATTGCAGATATTTTTCTTGAATATGAGTGTGTATCTTTCTCAGTTCTTGAAGAGTTTGCTCCAATGGAAGACTCGCGGAAGTACGGGCAAGTCGTCGATTATGAGTTATCATTTCACATCGCGCGAGACAAAATGTCATCTCCGTGAAGCGAGCCTCTGTACTTGAAACTTCCTTGGATTCTGGAGATATTTCCGCATCGTCAATATTCGATGGTAACCCGGTATCGACACTGTCCTCATCGATCCCGCTGCTAATTGCATGATACTCGCATATTTGAATATCCAGTAGGTAGATATACCACCACAGTCGTCTCCGCATCTCACTCTCAAATGGACTTAATCTGAACTGAGTGCCATCGCGATGCAATCCAAGACCCCGTGCTAGTCTAAGTGCGACTGCAGACATGGTCCAAACGAAGTCCGCATCTTCCGGTTGACGGAGACAAGTAAGGAATAATACCATTGCTTGAAGAACGGCTAGATTGCGCGTTGTGAGGAACTCAACTCGCGCTAGTGCTTGCTGGACGGCGAATCGCATGCGTTGGCGTACTGTTGTATGTTCTTCACCAAGGTAGTGGAGACACTCTGATGGCTTTAGGCTGGTGGCCGCTGCGAAGTAAATAGAAAAGACGACTGATTCAGATGTCTGGTCAATGTATTCGGCATTGGTTGATGCTTTGTATATTGATTTTCGAATGCTGGGTTTGTGGAAGATCATGACCATTGGCGCTACCCGTTCTTCGTAGATGTTTAATAAGAACTGGCTTTGCGTGGTGCCTGGATGATAGTGGTGAAGGGAATTGGTGATGGATGAATATCCAAAAATAAATGCGCTGCGAGAGTCTTTTCCATTGCCTTCTGCTGATTGTACTGGCGAATCTTCCACATCATCTTGAAGTTCCTTGATCTGCGAAACAGCTATCAACACGAGATCTATGTACTCTCATGCGATACTAACCCACCTGATCTTCAACATTAACCAGAGCATCATGCGTAACATATCGACTATACCCATTTCCAACAATCAACCTTCCTCGCTGCCCACCTGCAGCATTCTCCGGTACCACCGCATTTTCTGAACACGAACGTTGATTGACTCTATTAGCCTCCTCGGTGTATTCCCTCAGCCCTTTAACCTCATCCTCCAGACGATTCAACCGTGAAATAAGCTCAGCTTTCAAAGGCCGTTTCTTCCGTCGTGGTGCGCGGCCTGAGCCGGGGAATATACATTCGAGCTGCGACTTTGAGCAATTAGTGCATGGTTGGGATTTGTCGCAGCGGATTTTTTTGCGACTGCATTGTTGACAACTTCGCCGATTGGGGTTTGCAGTGGGGTTCATTTTGACTAGAGGGAGGGGTTCGTGATGGCTTCTTCCTGATAGAGGCGGCCGTTGACGTTGCGCCACTCCCAAGACATTGATTAGCGGCCTTCACAGCATGTAAGAACGTCGGCATTAACTCCTCGCCTTCGGGATTTTGCTAGATAATCTGTCTGTGGAGCTTTGATCAATCCCAGATCAGTGGATTCATTATTATCAATCAAGTGACCTTGAATCCCAGATTTGGCTATTCCAACGCATTTGTCGGCGTGGTGGCGCGGGCTTTATTTCAACCCCGAAGCTCCGAGGATGATATAATGCACACCTCTGATCTCTGCAAATTTTCACTATCATTCGATTTAGGAAATAATATGCTAAAACAAATAGTATTTAAATACCGTCAATGTCACTCACAAACATGGTGTATTGCTACAGAGAAATTCCTTGTCGTTCAACATCGCATTGACGACAATATTAGCGCCTCCGATATATTATATCCATCACGTCCAACATGGCCGCAATACTCATCACAGGCGCAACCGGGAAACAAGGCGGTTCCTTGATCAAGAACTTAGTCTCCCGGAAAGCTCCCTTCGAAATCTTAGCTGTAACCCGAAACACTACCTCCGGCTCAGCCCAACGCCTCGCCAGACTATCATCCAACATCCGGCTTGTCGAGGGAAACCTGGATGACCCAGCCGGAATATTTAAGAACGCGCGTAGTTTAACTAAGGATCCGATATGGGGGGTATTCAGTGTACAGGTAAATCACACCCACTACCCAAAACCTGACGAGCCCGTTGCTGATAAAATCTGCAGGTCGCAATCGGCAACAGCGCATCCGAAGAATATCAAGGCAAAGCCCTAATCGACGAATCGCTCAAACAAAACGTCAAATACTTCATCTATAGCTCCGTCGACCGCGGAACAAACTCCTTCGAAAACTCCACCAAAGTCCCGCATTTTATCAACAAATATAATATCGAGCACCATCTCGTCGACAAGACCAAGAACACGGAAATGCAATGGGCGATCCTCCGCCCCACCGCCTTCTACGAGAATCTCGTCCCCGGCTTCTTTGGCAAGGTCTTCATGACGTCCTATGACATGGCGCTGAAGGGGAAGCCACTCCAGATGGTAGCAACGAGTGACATTGGGTATTTTGCGGCGGATGCGTTTCTCAAACCCGAGGAGTACAAGGGCAAAGCTGTTTCGTTGGCAGGGGATGAGTTGACGTATGAGCAAGCGAAGCAGGTATTTGAGGAGAGGACAGGGCAGTCTGTTCCGCGGACGTTCCGGTTCCTTTGTTCTATGTTTATGGCTTCGATGAAGGACATGGGGTATATGTTCAAGTGGTTTCATGATGAGGGATATAAGGCCAATATTTCGGAGCTTAAAAAGGTGAATCCGGAGTTGAAAGATTTCGGGATGTGGTTGAAGACGGAGAGTGAGTTTGAGGCACGGTAACTTGCCCAGTGGTATGAAGATATCCAGGCTTTTCATATATACCTAGCGTTAATCATATTTAATCCACACATCTTATGTACTCGATCTATTACTATATACAAGATCAGAACCAAAATTTACATCCAAATCAACCCCAGACCCAAGTATAAAGTTACAGCTTAATCCACCTCCCCATCCACTCCTCCACAATCCCCTTCGCCTCATCCACCAACCCCAGATCCAACAACAACTGCACCGTCCCACGCACCGCCGAATCTAATGCCGAGAAAATCCAAGCATGCGTATAACTTGTATGCTCTCCGATGAAGATGCTTTTATACTCCGTTTGATAATAAGCAGGCAAATACAAATCCTGCTGCCCGACAAGCGGCGAAGCCCATGCCCCCGCCTGGTGCCGGTCAACCTCCCAACACTGTCTGTCATAAATACCAGTGAATTGCTCCGCGGCAATTTCACCATGTACTTCGATCATTGTGCGCTGGATTAGTGCGACGTGTTCTTCGTCTGATAGGGCGGCTGTGGAGCGCGCTTCTATGCCGGAGATGTAGGAGGCCAGGATTACGCCGGGGCCCGTGTTATTCATTTTATAAGAGGGGTAGCAGACGTTTCCGACGCCGGCGACATCGACGGTGCCGCAGCCACCGTAGATGGGTTCGGGGAGGTGTTCCCAAAAACGGGTTTCGTACATGAGTGCCATTTTGCATGATTGACCGTAGTTTAGGGTCGAGATTGCGCGGCTCAGCAATGATGAATATTGAGGTAGGGACCAGAGACGGACTTTGCTGAATGGTGCGGCGACAACTGCGTAGTCGTATTCCTTTGTAATAGGAGTCATGGACAGGGGATCTTCGCGCCATGCAACGGCGATTTTTCCGGATGTCTCGTTGTAGACGAGGCCGTCAATCGTGCGGTTTAAGGTCAGTCTATCGGAGACGAGGGGGTAGAATGCGCGCGGGAGGGACTCGAGACCCTTGTCGATTGTGCGCCATTCTGTTGCTGCGAAATAGACGTCTTCGTATAGCCACATCGGTGTGTCTGTCGTGCCGGCTACATAGTCGGAAATATTTGCGTCGTAGCCCAGTGCATACCGCAGGTACCCAGCCTCAGACCAGTGAAACAAGCCGTTGTCAACGGCGTGTTTGTGCATCTTGTACATGTTCGATGCAAAGTTACGGATCGTGCTTCGGTTATTCATGCCCGTGTAGTTGTCAACTGCGGCCTCTGCATTTTTAGCTGCTGTCGCATTCGATGACGCTGCCGTATACACAAGAGAAGAGTTGGCAGCGACATCCGCCGCGCTCGGAATCCGGCCATCAGGCAAACGAACACCACCGCTATCGGCAGGGACATTCGGGCTGCTCTGAATCCAGGGAATGAAGTTCACCTGTAAATCCGTCTTGTTCGCCTTGGCATTCATCTTGTTCAACACCCCAGCGAGCTGGAAGACCATCCGATGATCCATAATCTGCAGTGTCTCATTCGTATCCGCGTATGTGATACTCACAGGGAACCGCATTGGACCCATTTCCTGATATGTGTAATCCTCTGGTGATGAGTTGTTGAGATACTTCGTACGAATGCGACCACCGATCCGTTCCGAGGACTCTATAATGTGCCAATCATGTATGCCAACAGACTCGAGAAGGTGGCTTGTCATAAGACCGGACATACCGCCACCAATAATAGCAACGGATGTATTCTTCGCTTTGGAAACGACAGCGGCATCTTGTTGTTTGGATTTCATGTATGCCACGCCGTCGAACCAGGGCCCTTCCATATTAGCTAGATCTGCGAGGCTCTCGCGCTTGTTTATCGGTAACGACACGCTGATAGGCAACGAGCGGCCTACCAGAAAAGACTCCGAGAATGCATGTAAACATTGTAAATGTGGTGTGTCAGAGGGCGTGATCCAAACAAGTCGTTCCAGGTGCGCATCGCGCTTGATGAATACGTTTCCGACGTCGTGGTGCCCTTGGCCGGCTTGCTCAATGTCGCAGTCACCATATACAAGGCGCAGATGTCCTTCGAAGGCTTTATCGACGACATCCACGTGGATATTGTGTAATGAGTCTGGTGTTATATCGATGGGGTTGGAGAAGCGGAGGACTTCGACGTCGTGTGGCACAACAGCGGCGAGGGTAAGGCTGGTGAGCCCTAGGCCCAACAGGGCACGATGCAGATGGCTTTTCATGTTGGGCTCGAGAGCAGAAATTGAATTGATGGTCAGAATATCCAGCATTTCAGGTGTCAGACGGCCATTATATATCCATCTCAGCGCATCCTATATCTTCCACCCCCGTTATCGGCCTCTCTTCGGACAAAAAGAATCCCTAATCATACATAATCATAGCACTGCGCCTTGAATAACGCGTACGCCGTTCTATCGGCGCATTCGGAGCCCAAATGTAGTTCCTATCCATCTCGGAATCCCCGTACAGGCAGCGAAACCCGTCTTACTATACGGAAACGACGAATGCGGAGAACGATACGATTCGTTCGTATTCGCAAATTGTGGGGAACATCAGCAATGCGATTCGTTATATTCTCCGAATGCCCGGCCTCGTATCTATAGCTTACTATATTCTTTGTTCGTATCAGATAAGACAAGTGAAAGGGAACGATCGGGTATCTCTGCCAAGAGATGTAAATTAGGGCTCTTATCGCTCGGGCGGGGAGATTGAGGGGGCTACTGGGGTAGATATGTGGTTTATTCCATGAAAGATATGCTAGTCTGAATACAGCTAGAAGAAAGAAAGAAAGAAAGAAAGAAAGAAAGAAAGAAAGAAAGAAAGAAAGAAAGACAGACAGACAGAAAGAAAGAAAGAGAGAAAGAAAGAGAGAAATACGATATATCAACCATCATTGACCAGCAACCACACGTGGCCGCCGGCGTAAAGGAATCAATTTCTCATGGTAGAGGGTAATCAGATGCTTAGCCATCGCGATATCATTGTAACACACACCAGACACCGCAGGTACTGGAAGATTTGTGCAGTTTCCGCAACACTATACGCCTCCCCCGGAAATTCCACGCCGGGATACAAACTCTCACTTAGACCGAGAAACATAAGAATCAACCTGGGAGGTCCCTTCAGTTTGTTACTCTGGCGTGTCTCCTGATCGGTTGTCTTCACAAAGGGGTAGATGACTTCTATACTCTCGGCCAGATTTAGAGCGCAGCAACATCAAGATTCCGAGGTGTGGGACTTCAGAACCAAGAAGACCGGTGGCATCCTCGCATGCACGGCGAGACCCTTTTTTTCAAACAATCTCCGAATATATCATTCTGTCTTTTTTTTCTTTTTTTTTTTTTTTTTTTTTTTTTTTTTTTTTTTTGCCTTTGAGCTCGTCAAATTCCTTATACCAACCGTCCACAGTACCTTGGTCATCCGCATTTCCCCAAGGGTGGGGCGCTGCAACCCCGACTGGACAGTATTCTTAATACGCCCCCTCCTTGACAATCATGCTGAGTTCTTGGATGCAAAATTATGTCGTAGTATGGCGACGTCAATATCTGCGGTGGTTCTGGCATCCATGCCCACGTAGATGCACGTGAATCCGCCGAAAAAGGAGTACGGTACATTGTGCTTTCTTGACAGTAGAGCGTGCAGCGAGGGAGGTCGTCCATGGAGGACTTGGGGTATTGAACTATGTTCAGCCAAAATAAAGGTCAGCTCGCATATCCCTTGTATTTTTCATGATGGATGGAGCAAGCGAAGCTCACGTTGCTGGTACTCCGCAGTCTCTCGGTCAAGCGTCCTCTTCAGCGCTTCCAACTTTTGGCAGCATGAGCTGTTTGGCCATACAGCGGTATACCTGACATTTGGAGTAGAGGTTTTCTGGTCCCAACTCACCCGGAAGTGTATTCTTCCATTTCGTACATCGATGGGACGAATCAGTAGGATCTTAAGGACCAGTATAGACTAGCAGGAGTTTTGGTAGCCGTGAATTGGTCAGCTAAGCCTGAAATGAAGGCTGTCACGAGTAGACAAGTCTGCCTGATCTTACCTGAGGGCCCACATGTGTCACCTTTGCCAAACAAACCAACAACAAAACCAGCTACGCGCTACGACGATGTTAACAGAGCAACGCCATCTCTCATGGATCCCAGAGATCCTCAACGAAATCTTCCAGCACACAGATCTCCCTACGCTCCTAAATTCCCTGTGTGTCTGTCACAGTGGCACAGTATAATGAATGAGGTGAATTGCGTCAAGGAACATTTTTTTCTTAAAGAGCAAGGACGCTATGTCAAGAAACTACAGACCTTCTATGATGCTGCCCACCATCTCGAGTATTCTTTCCTTGACCCTGCTTCACTCCCCAGTCTGTGCATCCGCTGCGATGAATTGAAGTTAAACAATGACGGAACCTACGAGGAAACACCAGAGCCTTGCTTCTTCGACCCAAATGTCATGGTCTATCCGAGGATCTTTGAGAATGAGAGACAACGAGGAGGGCGAGGATGAGGACGATGACAATGACGAGTTCTTCTACAACTTCCACCCTTTCCATTTTGACTTCAGTGGGAGTCGTCACTACAATGAATCTGGCGCAACTCTAGACCGAATAACCGAGGAGGATTCAGCGATCCGGAAGGCATCCTACCTGTGCGACGAAATGCATTGGGAATTCACTCGTTATTCAAAGCTGCATCCTGTTAGTGATAAATTGAAGCTTTCGGGAGTCGCCTCATGGAGACTTTCACGGTAGTATGCTATTATCACTACACTGATTGAAACAATCAACATGGGTACTTGACAGCTAACCAATGTCGCTATAGTACTTTCAAGAGAGATAGTGTGACCTGTATCGTTCTACGTGCCCCTGGAAAACACGAATCCGCATTTCATCTCTATAGTTAAGCATGAAATGGAAGAAAGGGTCAATTTGCTATGTGTCAAAGTCTTGACGGTTGCTGCAATGATTCTTACCAGATGAAGCGGTTTACTTGTTTGTATATTCCGGTAAGCTGGCTATTCATTTACCTCGGGTCCTTCCTTTTATCTAAACATCACTAGGTGGACATCCTAGCAGAGTACTTTTCAAGACATTTACATTCAGATCGACACAGATACATTCCACAGTTTGAATATAAGATTGAGATAGTGATATGTAAGCAACCCATTGCAGGAAAAGTTGAGCTCCGAGGTGTCAACATATCAGAAGTGACTACCATCTGAATCGGAATAATGGGAGCACAAGTAAACCCACCCCAGACAGCACCACCTCATGGTGGGCTGGCTATACAATTGCGATTGAGTATGCACATGCTGTCTCTTTGTTCCAGCATACACTTGAAGCTAGACTTCTGAACGGGTTCAAGCGGTAACGGAATTGATCTTCTCCGCTTTGCAGGGGTAGAGGAGGAAATAGGGTTCCTTCTTCATTTCTATAGAGAAGAAGACAGCTTCAATAATAGAGCCGTTCTGCCGCAGTCCGCCCACCATCTCACTGGTGTTACCGGCTTATATTGGACATTGCAAAAGTCAACACGGCCGTCCATGCCATGGAAGAACAAAATGAATGGTTAGACCGACGTTAATGAGCCAAAAAAAGAATGAGAGAAATATACTAGTGAAAATTAGATTTTGAAATTGGGGGTGGGAAGTGGAGGAGAAAGAAATTAAATGCGCATAGGCGACTAGGCATCATCAGATGTGATCTTCATTATGTCTTCAATGGATACTCTACTAATTCTCTCAAGTGCCATTTTAGATTAACGATGGCTCTCAAAACCTCGATGGCCAGAAGATGACTACAGCAACGCCAACCTTCCCTTCTTCTTCTTCTTCTTCCCCTCCTTCCCCTCATTCGCCAGACAACCTTCTATTTTCTCCAACGAGCCTGTTGAGTTGACTGATAGAAGTGGTATACTTTTATGCGTTTGATGCCATTCTGCGAGGTGGCGTTGTGTCGTCGAGCTGCGGTCCTCCTTTTCTCGTTTCATTCAAATGTGATCAAGTTCTAGTATTTCCAACGGACAGAGGACCCTCCTGAAAACAGGAGCTTTGCATAGGTCACGGAACTGGGATACTCGTGCTTTTATTCTTAGTCCCGAATGCTTCAACATCGAGTGGCCTACTTTTTGTTTAAAAACACATCAAGCATGCATATTCGTTTCTGAACTGTCCAGCCACTTTAGTATTATACATCTTATAAATTGCCAAAGAAATCCTATCCATTTGCCATTTTCCTTTTATCACATAGACTGAACAAACGCAAACAATAAATCAATCACTTCTGATAATCCTTGATGAAATTCGTCCCCGTATTCGGATTACTGTACTCCCGATGCACCCTCGCCGTCCCATCATCAAGCCGATCCACCTCCCTCAACTGATACGTCCCGTCCGGCAACATCCTCTCCCGATGATGCTTCGTCGCATCCTCCGTCCGATAATCATAATGCTCATCGTACGCCCCCGTCACAGGGTCATACGCCGTATGGCCACCACCATCCTGCACAGCGATGTCTGAGTAGTCAGAGGGGTCGTAGCCGCGAATTCCTGAGGCGGTGGCGGTGGCTGGAGTGGAGTAGGGCTTTGGATCTGAGGTCCCGCGAAGGCCGTAGTCGGTTATGGCATCGTCTTCGTAGGTGCCGTAGGTTGTGTCGCCGGTGTAGGCGGTTTGGGCGGAGTTGTCGATGTTGTTGATCGTGCGAAAGGTGGTGGTTGAGTAGTCTGTGGTGTCTGTCATCTTGTTTGTATGAGCTATTTCTGGTATGCGATTCTTGATGCGCTGTCTATTTTGTCTATCTAGATTCCAGTGGTTTTTATAGACATGCGTGGCGTTGTCAATACAGAATGATATGCCACTGACATCAGAATAAAGTACAGAAAATCGCCTTCGATGTCCATATCGGTATCTGATTCGACCTCAGAGCTGCCATTGTTCATTAGACACCGTCCCCGGAAACTAGGCGTCATCCAACCTGCTCAACAAACTTTAGATGATGCGCTGGTGAGTATGCGAATCGGACGCTGTTCGCTTAGAAGACCCAAGTCCGCGGTTCCAACCAAACCACCCACGGCATTTCTGTAGCCTAAATAACCACGAGATAATCACGTTATTCCCAGTAAGGTCTTTCTGCACGACAAAGCTAAACATAGAAACCCTCTTGATTGACACTAATCTGCAAACTATACCGAACTACGGTTCCGGTCTCCGCTCACTGTCACTGCCACATGTAGTTACCTCGGTGGTGCCTTCAAACATCCACTTCTGCCTTCAACACTGCCACTCCTCGTATGCGTATCTATCCTCGTACACTCGTACTGTTTGCTAGTAAAGGCAGCGCTTACTCAGACCCGATCCGCACACGTCATGCCAAGAGATCCCAGCGTCTGCGGGGAAATACCAAACGTCATGCCAGTCATGGTTCCATGTGCTTTTCATTTCCGAGATTGCCGGCTTATATAGACATTCTCCTCGTCGAGGCACAGTAGACATTCATAGACTTACTACCATAATTATAGAGACAGGAGCTAAAATGGCCGAGAATTTCGCTCTCGCAAACCGCGTCCGCCATCTTATCGTACAACCCTCCGACGCCGCGCTCGATCCGCCGGAGAGTTATCTATTTGTGCAGGATGGGCTGATTATCTCGTGCGGTGTGATTTATGCGCTGTGCTATTTGTTTTGTATGATTCGGGCATATAGCGATAGGACGCTGCCGGGGAAGGATTGGGGGAGTATCCAGTTTCTGTACGCTCCCTTTCTATTCTTCATACATCAGATGGCACTGATAGCGAGGTGACAGCGCCGGATGCATGGCCTACGAGTTCTTTTACGCCTTCACAACAACAACAACGCAGAACGAGAAGATCTGCTTCCTAGCATGGTTTGAACTGGATATCGCATTTACGTCGCTCGTCGTGCGCCGTATATACGGCCCCGAACAACGAAAGAAAATCGTCCGGAACATGATCCTCATGTTCACTGCCTGTGTCGCGGGACTGTACGGATTAACGAAATACTACCCTGACGAGCGCGAACAGGTCACCGCATACTGGACGGGTCTTGCACTGCAGCTCCCGATTGGGTATGCTTGTTTGTATTTTTTGTGGAGGGATCAGGATACCGCGGGACATTCTTTGGAGATTTGGTACCCTTCCCTTCCTTCCCAGTACATAACTGGTCAATGAAGAGACTTGCTGATAAGGTACTTAGGTTGACAAAGTACATTGGTTGTTACACGGCGTATGGCGTGTTCTTCTGGCGGTACTGGAATGTTCCGCAGAACTGGGAATATGTGGGGTCGCCGTTGAGCGTGGGGATTATCATTCTTACGTTGATTCCCGAGACGATTTATCCGTTTGTCTATATTAAGATCCATAATGAGAAGGAGAAAAAGGAGAAGGTGCAGTAGTGTGCGGGTTGGAGTTTTGATTGGAGTGTGATTGGCTGGATTGGATATATGCTGGAGCATTGGGTGATGTTGATACCCGGTATGGTATGCTTGGATGGTGTGGGATAGTATTTACGATGGTGTTCTGCTGGATATAGAGGTTTCTGTGTATAGCATTGAGCAAGTCAGACATGGGTGTTTTTTTTTTTTTTTTGGACTATTTGAGACACGACGCCTTTGCACTCAGTGAATCAACCGCATCTTCATTCTATCTGATATTTATTCTAAAATACAAGACCTAGACATCAGTCTCTCGTTCTCATCACCATCATCTTTAGCACTTCGTACCATACTCAATTCATTTCAGAAATCAATAGCACCAGTTCATATCACAGCAGGAAACATCGACCTCTACACATATCCTGCATAATTCCCTTTAGGAGCAAAGAAACGTTCTTCTCAAGTCCAGTCTGCATCTCATGCTACAATGTTCCACAAACCTAAGTTGGATTACCAGCTTATTCAGGGGGAGTCCGCACGACTCAAAACTGGAATCACAGAGCGGAAGATGTCCAAGAACTGGATAACAAAATGGAATCATCTAGAGGACCTAAAAGGAAAGGTCCCAAATTATGCAATTAGTGATAGGATTATCGAAGAGGTAGATGAAGCTTGAAGCAAAAGCCAGGACACAGCCTTGGCTAAATACAACCGACGGGATGGACAGCAATCCAGTACTTGGGAAGTAGCTCATACATGGGATTTGGAATCGCTGCCTGTTTTTGATACGGGGCCAATGCACTCTTCAGGCAACCCGATTCCATTTTTTATTTGCCAGTCACAGAAGATAGATCCTTCAGCTAAAACAGACATTGTTCAGTGATTCCAACACGAGTTCCCATGAGATGTGACCACAGTAAAAACCGTTACGGAATTGATTGAGAGGCTAAGCTTCAACAACAGCACACAAAGCAGTCCCGCTTACTTCGAGCACATGACACGAAAGAGCGTATTAAATAAAAGTAACAAACGCTATCACACTTGGTGCCTCTTCTCCATACAACCGGAAGAACCAATTTCTCTGGCTTTTGCTCATTTGTCTGCGTCTAATCGGCAACAATACGTGGACCCGATACTATCAACTCAAGTACCTAGGTTCAAAATACTAGAGTCGAGCCGGAGTCTCCTTGTATCAACTGACTCGCATTTCTACTTTTAATAAATTGCACCTGCTATGCCTATGGTAGGTCTTTGCATGAGGAAAATGGACAAAGAAGCTAGGGCCAACGATGACGAAAAGCAGGCTCTCGCACGTTGAATAAACCACGCTCACTTCTTGTATCAAATTTATTCAAGACTCCAAATAGAATGAGCAGTTGATAGAGGAAGACCAGTAACTAATCGACACCACGGATGGCCTGTTGGTCGCTGTTCCAATCCATGCTCGGTCTCCTATGCCCCAAAATAATAACCGGTGGGGTACCCCGGCAAGCTTACATGTGGAATACAGTCCCTGCTCCGAGTCTGTCTGTCTATATGCCAATGGGAATGAAACGAGTCTCAGGAGGCATTTACGGGGCTAGCATTCCTACACTCATGCTGCCAGTTTCAAGCACTACCCCCCAACACAAATCAGTAGTGCCGAACCCGGCTCCTCCGTCCCCAGCCGGACTGGTGAATTACTTTCAAGCACCTATGAAAAAACACCGGTACAGCCAGACACAAGCGGATATGGGAGAAGGAATCCTACAGCACTCCACAAAAAGGAATCATTGTCTACAGTCCTACTCAATCCAAACTCAAGTAACACCTATTAAATGCAATCCCATTGATTTCAATCCACCATTATCAAGTCATGCAATTATCCGAGTAAACCTATAATACCGCTCATAACCCATAACCAGAGACTCATAATCCCGAAAAAAAAAAAGTGTAGTATATCACGCTCTAGCGATAGACAATCGTCAAACACGTAAAGTCGAGTCGATTCGTTTACCGACCAATAACAGAAGGACCCTTCCGGATATCCTTATCAGCTTGGTGCGAGGAGTTCTACAACTTGTTAGCATCAACTCATATCCTCGGGATAATAGAAGGGGGTGAAGGAGAACATACAACAGAAGTTTGATACTCCCCTCTCTCAAGGATCTTCACCATAACTTCATCTTCATTCGAAGTCCCGAATTCACTTTCCAAAAGGCCTTTGCTGGCACCGTCGAGCAAACCTTGGGCTCCGTGTCTGTACATCATTCGTTAGCTCTTGTTCCCTTTCATTACTACCCAGACACTGGGAAGTGCTCAGTCCAAATACAAGAGGGAACGTACTTATGAGTAACAAAGACCTTCCACCCATTCAAGACCTGAGCAAGGGGAATGGAGCGGTCATTGCGCCAGTTGTTGAGGGCGGCGATGTCGTCGACGAAAACGACAAAGTCGTCGTTGGCGCCCTTATAGAAGACCTTGGAGTTCGATTCGTTGCCACGAGTCATTGTGGTGGTGCGTGGTGGTTAATTGAGGTGTGTTGAGGATAGGAAGAGGTAGAGTAGAGTAGAGTAACGGTTAAGTAGGAGTGTCGCGTGAGGTGATGGAGTATGACGTCACCAACGTATGATGGTCGGAGTGAGCGGAGTGAAGGTGAAGGGTAAAGTAGATATGCTTTGTGAATTAGATGTCTTATAGAGTGAGAATAGAATAGATTGACTGAAGTTGAACTGTGTGAGAGTCGAGGTCTCTAAATAGGGAGCTGTTCACTGCTCGCGGCACCGACGTCATCGGCCGAGCTCTCCCCACCAAAAACAGCCGGATGGAGAGATGACGCCATACAACAGACAACATACTATGATACCGCTAATAGTAACAGTATAGCTATCCACTCTCACATCATAGTCTGCAAGGCGCCCCGTAAACAACTCCACCATATGTGCAATTCCAAGAGAAAGAATGGAATCGAAGTCCTCCGTACAACATACTATACTAAGAATAATCATCGGTATACTACCACAGTTCATTGCATCATGAGCTTCACGCCTCACTCTTACTCAGCCATGAGCCTGTTCGCTTATGTCTCCTGGGCGAAATGGTGTGGAAAAGGGACCCGAACGATTTCCAGGTAGGACTCCCAAGGACGCCGTAAGACTTGGATCCTTGGCTGGCTGTCCGAGTAGCCGATGTGGTTCTTCTCGACATTTTCCCGAGCTTGAGGGTACTCGCTGGTTGATTCGCTTCCGGGGGCGCTTCTAGCAGAACAAATCCTTTTTCATCGTCATATGGGAACAAATCGTGGAGCGGCCGCGCTACAATGCCGTCCGTACCCTTTGACAGGGAGTCAGTACGGTGATGATCCGTTCCGGTTGTCGTGTTCACGATCTTGCTTAGAGACACGGACCGCTTGGTGAATGTCGCATGGACACTCCCTTTCATCTTCTTATGTCGTTTGTCTTGATACCCCAGCACCATTCCAGGAAAAGGGAGCACATCCCGAGTATATTCGTCGGAAATAAACTGCTCCAAACGAATGCGGTCCTGTCGTCTGGTCACCAGTGTCAAAGCTGCCTGCGGTGGCATAACTCTCGGCCTTTCAATTTCTCCTTCAACAGGGTGTACTGCCTCCGAGCTATTGGGATGGTGCGTTCTCTCAATGATCACATGTTGCGAGTTGTTGTTGGTGCGCGATGTCGACAGGGAGTGAACAGACGATTTCCGGCCTATAGCAGCACTCGAGCGCTCAAATGGTTCCACATCGAGCGTCAGCACGGAAAACCTCCTTGGCTCAGGCACTGGCTCGACCTTCTGTGTCGATTTGACGATTTCAGACGCCCATTGCCTTTCCTCCGCTGCCGTGGATGCACTCAAAACAAACTCGTAATGGTCATTCTGGTGGTGGAATACCAGCTTCCACGAGAACAAACATTCGTAGCAACTTAGACCTGCAGTAAAGTCAGTATACCGGCTAGGAACCATTGGAAAGTTGCGTACCTTTGCCATTTCTCAAGCAATCGATTTTCAAATCCCATACATAGAGGCATGCCACAGGCTGGAGCTGACGGGACTCTTCCACATATTTGGCAAGGAGGAGGTAATTATCAAAAAGGATGCATACCATATATGTACCTTTTATGTGGTCTCCAGACTGGTAAGTCACATGTAGAACACCGCACATAACCATTGGGCCTAGCTGCTTGTAGATATCTCGCAAGGCACCCTACATTTGGAACAGCTTTTAGCAACTAGTCACCGCACCGAGTATAAAAGGGACCTACCGATTGGAAAGATCCTAGTTTCTCTTGCAACCCAATCGTTTTTCGTATTCGATCCTCGTAGGCAAGGTTACCGGTGGCGGAATTGACTTTGTCTCCCAGGGCTTTCATGATCTCCAAAGCTTGTCGGATGTCATGGTCGGCAGACGGACAGTCGCTGCTGAGCGTAAAATCCGACAATTGCTTGAGCAAAAGGTGATATTTGCAGACCCGCTGTATTGGCTAGATTTCAGTCAGTATCGTTGCACATATCATTGGATGGCAGGAACAACCTTGATGAGAAGATCGTTCAAGGTCATGGATCTGTTCTCTTTCGGTCTCCGACTCTCCATCGGTGTTACTGATCTCGATAGAGCCTCGATTCCTTGATCGAAAAGTGCCCAGTTCGGTATGGACTCTCTCAAAAACGAAAGATCCTTTTTCAGCAGGTCCTTATTGCTGCAGAATTTCACATAGGCCCCGGCGGATGTTGACTAGAACAGGTATTATGAGCAATGGAAGACATCAAACGAATGACGGTACTCACCAGGGTTTGTATCACACGTGCGACATCGCGAGCTTCAGTAGGATCCGCAGCTATCAGCTTCACGCGAAGGTTGAATTTTTGCTTGAAGTTGCGTGTTCTGAGGGATCGGTTCTGTAGGCTCCTAAAGCCTCGTAGACTCGAGTGCTTAGAAAGCCCGCCAGATATCAGATTGGCAAGCTCAGCATCAGTAGTGGCTGACTTTGGCGGCGAGACGTTCTGAAGCTGGACAAGGAAGTGTTCGTGGATTTCGCGGAGCTTTTGGACATTATGATAGATTGCTGGTCTCGTTTCGAAGAGGGAGAGGACCTAAGCATTAATAGTCAGCTAATACGCATCAGCATTTTTTTCGGATTGAGAACACACGCCAGTCAGGGCCTTCAGTCCTAGGACATAGTCTGACTCCGAGGTGAGTATTTCTTGTATAGCTTGACGTCTCTTGATAGCACGTCTTTGAGCATCGTCGTCGATGGAGGAACTGCGGACTAGCCTCAAGCCTTCGATATCAGTTGACCTCCGCTCAGTCGACCTCCGGAGCTCAGAGCTAGAACTGCGATTGACGGTACTCTGCGTTGTCCTTCTCGATCTGACGGCACTTTGGCTCATGGCGCTCAACGAATTTGTCTTGACTGTTCCCAGTTGTGAAGAGTAGCCTGACAGCTGCTCCCATTGTTGGTCCTGGATAGCATGGTATGGTGACAGAACATGGTCGAAACTATGGTCCCGTGAATCGTTCGCTTGTGAATCGTCGTCCCGTGGCTTGATTGGTGGATCGTTGTGCCAGCCTTCAACGTATTTCTGAGGTCGAGGGGGTTTTTTGCTTCGCAGGTAGTCTATGAACTTCTTGAAAGTGCTAGGAGACCATGTCGTATTCATTGGTTCCGGTTCCTGGACTTCGGGAGCGTCCACCAAATTGGCGTCTGATTCGGTATCCTCGATCACCAAAAGGGGATTTTGTGAATCGCCGTTGTCGTCAAACTCCATCATGGCCCATCTTCTAGTAGGAATATTAAAAAGGTCCGTAAAATTATCACGGATGTAGGAAGTTTGTAGCGCAACGGGAGAGATGACAGGCTGCCCATATGGGGAAACCACGAAGCCACAGGGTGGCATTGCCAGCCCGGTTGGAAGTTGCACCAAAAGCCAGCTGGGAAGGAGCGACCACGCCCGAATGCATATAAAGCCATTGTGAACTGAACCTTTAAAGTATCAATGTGTTACAAATGCATTACAAGTATTATGTATGAGTGGCAAAATATATATGTACTGACCATGTTTTTTACAGCAAAATGTCATACAATAAGGAAAATGTATAAAATAACCAATAACACAGTATAAATAATAGTTACTGAAGGTAAAAAAACATAAAAAATAATAAGCAATATATTTAAGCCACCCAATTCACTCTATATATTATGGATGACATGCCAAGCTAAATCCCCCAGATCTGGTAGACCCACTGATTTCTTTAGCTATCACCATATATTAACCTCTTCTTCGCTCATCACTTCTCCTCCTTTCGTTAAGTCATTTCTATACCCACTGATACCTCTCACTATCCTTACGATGGGTATCTCCATGGAAGAGAATATACACGCTCCTATCGTTTCCTCCGGCGAAACGTCTGGAGGGGCGACTCCTCCGAGAAGCAACATGTTTAAGCTCTCCGTGCCAGACTTGATGCTCAAGAAGGAGTTGATCGAGCACAAAATGTCGACTCTCAGCGGCGTACTCAAGTCGGTGAGTCGTGTCGCTAATTCTCTGGAATTAATTTGAAACGACAATATTGACGTACTTCAGCATGGTGTTAGTATGGATACGCCGTTGATGACCGAGGATGGTTTCCCGCGCAACGATCTCGACGTTCCCCAGAGTATGCTTTTTATTTTCTTTTTGGATTTATCGCATGCTAATGGAACATAGTACGGACCACTCGCGCGCAGATCATCCATCTGCGAAACGACCACAAGGAGGTTATGGCGCATGTCGAGCAGCGCGTCTACGAACACTTCAAGCAGCACGAACAGAATAACTTCACCTCGCCTCCCGCCTACACGACAATAGCGGCTACTGCACCACGCGCCATCCTTCTTGACGATGCTACTCTGACCGCGGGTCCGGCTTTCGCAAAGGTTACCGGTGTCGTGTCAGGAAGCCCGGCAGACCAGGCTGGCTTGGAAGTCGGAGATACCATCAAAAACTTTGCAGGCGTGAACTGGACCAACCACGAGAACCTCAGCAAGATTGCGCAGGTTGTTCAGAAGAACGAGGGAGTAAGTAGCCCCGGTGTCTGCCTTGGGAGGGGGACTGCGGCAATGGTGTGATTCAGAGCAGATCGGCTGATACATGGTATAGTGCGTCATGAACATCAAGGTCTCCCGGAAGGATGAGTCCCGCGAAGGTCAGGCTAAAGATGAGTTGATGCAAATCGTCCCTCGTCCTGGTTGGGGTGGTCGTGGCTTGCTGGGCTGCCACATCGTTCCGATTTGATCGCCTCGCTTATCGTGGCCAATGGTTCTGGACGGAATGTAAAAAAGATAACAGTGAAGAGGCTACTTTGTTATGAGGAATGTGACATGGCTCTGTATTAGCTTTCAGGATAACGATTACTACGGGTTTAGTTTAATGATTGTTCTGCAAGGAATGGCAGGGAGTAAGGATCCGGCGTTCGAGTTTAGGCGTACTGAGACAGCACACGTGAATTCAGTCACCGAGTATTGTTGGCTAGTTACTCATTCTTTCATTGTACTGTGTACTGCGTATGTCGTGTCTGCCTCGCAGTTGTCAATTCCCATCTAGGCTGACATCCGGACTGCACTATCCCGCGGGGCATCGCTGCCTGGGGCTGCAACACGTGATCCTGGCGGTGGGCGACCGAGTCGGGGCAAAAATTCCATCACCAACAAGCGGTCTTTCTCCCTCTGCATTTCTTCCTGGCTTTTTGCTTCAACTCCCCCCTTTCTTCCATTCTCGATCATCGGTCGCGTTGAAAAGTTGACTTTGATCCTTTTCTACAGCCCCTTTTACGACTGTCTTTTTCGTTACTCAAAAGTCACATAATTCATCATGGCTGAAGCGCAGGCCCCACCAACCTTCAAACTCGTCCTCGTCGGTGACGGTGGTACTGGAAAGGCAAGTATTGTTGGATTTTGTTGTTGATTCTCTCAGGATCGATGTGGTGCTTGTGTCTATAGTTGCTGTGGACTCATGCTGCTCTGTCGTGTCTCTTCCTCCTGTTTGCCTCCGTCAACAAAAAATTTGTTTACCCGAGCCGGTAATGCATATCAGTGGGTTTTCAATCACTAACATGTCGAGTCTCTACAGACCACCTTCGTCAAGCGTCACCTGACTGGTGAATTCGAGAAGAAGTACATCGCGACTCTTGGTGTCGAAGTCCACCCTCTTACTTTCACCACCGTATGCCCCGCCATCCCAACCCAAAACCCCGCTCCGACCGTCCCACTCTCTATTCGTTCGTCCCGACTAACAAGCATTGCAGAACCTGGGTACCATTCAGTTCGACGTGTGGGACACTGCTGGTCAGGAGAAATTCGGTGGTCTCAGAGATGGTTACTATATCAATGGCCAGTGCGGTGTGATCATGTTCGATGTGACCTCCCGTATCACCTATAAGAACGTTCCCAACTGGCACCGTAAGTTTTGGATGTGTTCAGTATATTGAACGCCCACCGCTGACTCTTCTAGGTGACCTCGTCCGTGTCTGCGAGGGTATCCCCATTGTCCTGACCGGTAACAAGGTCGACGTTAAGGAACGTAAGGTGAAGGCCAAGACCATCACCTTCCACCGCAAGAAGAACCTGCAGTACTACGATATCTCCGCCAAGTCCAACTACAACTTCGAGAAGCCTTTCCTCTGGCTTGCTCGCAAGCTTGTTGGCAACCCTCAGCTGGTAGGCTCGCCTTTACATATGCGTCATGGAGTGTTATTTAACAGTAATCTAGGAATTCGTTGCCGCCCCCGCTCTTGCTCCTCCCGAGGTCCAGGTCAACCCCGAGCTCCTCGAGCAGTACCGGAAGGAGATGGACGACGCTGCTCAAATGCCCCTCCCCGACGAGGACGACGCCGACCTGTAAGCGGCTGGTCAGCGCGAGTCTTTGGAGGATTTTCTGTGATTCTTTCTCGTGGCTGCGATGCTCCGCAACCTACTAGCTTCGTGATATAAAGCCTCGAATAACGAATGCAACGATAGCGGTCGGTGGATGGGCCCGAGGATGTTTGGCACGATTATGCATTTGATTTTCCTTACAAATAGTAGTTAGACACATTTCAATATTCTTTTGCTTCCGAACGACACGAAAAGCAAGTCTGAGCCAATGGGCTGAAATCTAATCCTAATCTGTCTGATATCTACAAGAAAATCACCTACGTAGAATGCTGAAGTGTTTCAATGCAAAGTGAGACACTTCACCAAAATATTTGACGTAACATTCAGCAACGGGCAAATAAACAACCATAAAAAATGAAATGGGTTCCGTCGGAGGTTCAGGGGAAACCGGAGGAGTCGATCATCCGACTGCACGAGGCCTATATGTAGAAGACCCAATTAAAACGAACGATTGATATACTCTATCTAATGTAGCCTAGAGTACACGGGTGCTTGAGTGCTTGATGAGTGCTTGACTATCTATATGTGGCGAACGCTGGCCATATATCGGAGGTTCGCTAGTCGGACTAACGTTATCCCTTTGATCCGACCTATCAGATCTCATCAAAAAAAACAAATAAAAGTCACTTGATATCACCTGATATACTCGCCTGAGGCATAATGTATACTCATCAGTCTTATAAACCAATTGTATGTATGCTCCTATACGAGCTTGATTTGTGACTTTCCCCTTCCGGATGCCACCGCTTCTATGAGGGTGCTCAGTGGCTTGCTCAGTGAGTATTTTCTATCATAGGTCGGTACTCAGTGAGCACTCAGTGAGCACTCTGGGCCTACTCAGTGCCTACTCTGATTCGGATTCGGATTAACTCATACCCGTCCCAGCCAGTTTTAATCCATGGCTATGCGGGAACTGCCCCTCCGGCTGTAAGCCGCCGGGGTAGTTTTTGATACCTACTTACATCTATGGTGTGTGCTTTTCTTGAGGGCTCGGCTCCTCTCAGATTCATGAGAATCCGGGGCTCCCCGGGCCCTCTTAGGTTGCTATGTACCCAAAGACCTCAGTGCTCTGCCTAACTTGTTTCCTCCTTGTTCACGGCCCCGAATTGCCCAAGGAGCCTGGTTCTCAGCATGAATTTGGCTGCACGGATTGCGAGCTTCGGCGTGTTCAGGATTGTCCTCAGGTTCCCTCCTCCTTCTAGTCCTCCGCCTGGTTTTCCCAGGGACTGCTCTCGAAGATCCTTGAAGATGGGGCATGCCAGGAGTACGTGCCGCACTGTCTGGGTGGCCTTCCCACAGCAGCAGTCTCTGTCTGGTATGTCTGGCACCCCACGCTGGTAGAGGTAGTGTTGGAGCCCTATCTTTCCTGTGCGCATCTGGATGATGACTGCTGAGTGCCCGATGGAGACCCTGATGCATCTTCAGAACTCATTTGGTTGGGGCTGATGTCAGCTCATACACTGCCCATCCATGTGGGTTTGTCTGCCAGTCATGTTCCCACAGCGTATTTATTGCTTCCCGAATTCTGGATTCTAATACTGTTCGGAGAAGCCTCTGCTGAACTGGTCGGGGGGCTCCAATACGGCGCCGTGATGTACGGCTGGATATGCTCCAAATCCTAGAATCTGGACTGTCCTAGCCTCCACATGGCTAGTTCACTGATTCTCTCTAGTGGACTCCACTCCCAGGGGCGCCAGCCAGGGCGGATGTGCCCACTCCCTATGGCTTCACCTCCATGTGCTCTCCTCACCTGATCTCCAGACTGGCTTGTTTCAATATGTGTTAGCGCTTCCAGTGCCCGTTTCTCCAGGAGACATTTCATAGGTATCTGACATGTTTCTATGTCCAATGCTGCTGTTGCTGTGGCTCTGAAAGCGCCTGTCATGGCTGCCATGGCTCTGTTATGGATTTGGGTTAGAGTCCAAAGGCGTGTCTGGTGATGTTCACTGTCTGTTTTGAGGGTGTGCCATGCTGAGCATTCATAGAGGATTGCCGGAAGCACCACAGCTTGGTAAACCTGGCGCAGCTGTATCAGACCTGCTCCCCATGTGCTTCCTGCAAGCGTTGCCAGCAGTTTTAGGAGGGGAGTTGCTTTCTTTTGGACGTGTCTGATTTGGTCCTCCCATCGGAGTGCTGGGTCCAGGATGACACCCAGGTATGTGGCTGACTTGTTGGGTTTGACCTCTGTGTCTTCGATTCTCATAGTTTGCGTTATGTCGAATTTCATCCTGAAGCGGGTGAAATGTATGAGCTGGTATTTCACTGGAGAGAATCTTGAGCCATGTTTCCTTGCCCATGTTTCAGCCCTTTGGTGTGCCTGCTCAAGGCTCCGGCAGTTCTGTTCTGCTGATGTGCTCCTTGTGAAGAAGTAGACATTGTCAATCCATCCTGTTGTCTGCATATCCTTGTCCCTAGCGGTCTCCAAAAGATCCGCATTGTAGAAAAGGTACAGGATCGGTGATATTGGTGAGCCTTGTGGGATTCCCACATCCACCTGGTACATGTCGGATTCTATGTCACCCATCCATATGGTGGTCGTTCTGTTACCAAGAAAGCTTGCCATCCACCCTACTGTGTCATGGTCTATCCTCCTCTTTTGCAGGCTGTGAAGCAGTTGTGCATGTGAGACATGGTCAAATGCACCTGAGACGTCGAGAAACAGGATACTAGCTATGTGGGATGGGGTCATTTTCCAGGTTGTATGTATTCTTTCCAACAAGATATGGATCGCCTTCTCTGTTGAGACTCCTCTCCGTCCCCCCAGGTGCTGTGTTGGCAGTAGGCCATATTTTTCGACTGCATAGCTGAGCCGCTTTGCTATAACTGACTCCATTACTTTGCCCAAAGTGTTGAGAAGCGCTACTGGTCGGTAGGATTTCAATTGTCCATAGTCACTCTTTCCTGGCTTCCTGAGCGTGACTGTGATAGATTCCCGGAAGTGCTGGGGGCAGTAGTACAACTGAAGACAAGCGTTGTACAGGCTCTGGAGAGGGTTTGCTATGTATTGTGAGATGCAGTGTAATAGGTGACTTGGGATGGTGTCCTTCCCTGGCGCCTTATTTCTGGGCATGCGCCTGATCGCTCCGGTGGCTTCATCTAGGGTGATCGGCGGGAAGTGTAACGGTTCTGGGTAGACTTGGTCCTTGGTGTCTTCTAGGTCGACCTCCGGAGGAGGTGGAAAGAAGGCTTGTTTGAACAGCTCAAGCTTCTTGGTTGCATCTGTTTCCATTTACCCATCCGGTCGTTGGAGTGGTGGTATGCATGCTGATCATGGCTCTCTGTTCCTAGCCCACCTTGCTGTCTTCCAGATACCCTCTATAGGGCTTGTCGCATCTTTGATTTTCCTTCTATGGTAGTCCCGCAGGGTCCTTCTAATAAGCCTTGCTTTGTGGTTCCGTGCCTGATGGTATGCTTCCCAGGCTTCAGGTGTTCTTTTGCTCTGATATTTCCATCTCAAGTGTTGCGCGTGTTGCTGGGCCTCTTTACATTCTTTTGTCCATCCTGGTACCGAACGTGGGCTGGACCGTGACTTTGTTGTTGACTCTTTGACAGAATTCAGAATAGCCGCTACTATTGCTTGTGTGGCCTGGTCGATGTCCTGTGCAGTTGCTAGTGTTGATAGGTCTGGCAGATACTATACCAAGACTTGGTGGAGTTGATCTTTATCTGTGCTTTCCCAGTTCCACTGGTCCAGAATCATCCGCTCGTAGGTTGGTTTCGCCAGTATTGTTTCCAGTGGGGCATGGTCTGAGTCATGGTCCAAGTCATCCCGTGGGGGGCATCGGATAAGGCTATCCTGTAGTTGAGATGTGGCTAGTGAAAGGTCGATTGTTGTTTCCGAATCTTGGGCCCTGAAGGTGATCATCCCTGGTTCATAAAGGAGGGCCAGGTCATGTTCTTCAACCAGTCGCAGCACTTCCTCTGCCTCTGGGTCTGTTCTTTGTGCCTTTAGTCCACCCCAGTATGGGTGATGCAGGTTGAAGTTGTGACGACTCATATATGACGGCTCAACACTGCAGCAATGAATGATACATCGCAAATGCTGCTACTCAGCCATGTCGCCAACAACCTCTATAAAACCCTTCATTACCTAGATAGATTTCCTCTTCCCTTTTCTTCGGCCGTTTCAGGAGTCCTGCTAACCGATTCCCATCTTGTGCATCAGGGGAGCGTATTCCCACGGCCACAGGCTTTCCCTCCACGCCAGGCCTCTTGACGCTAGTCTCAAATGAGACTTTTGTTGCTATTTCGTTCAACATCATCGACCTAGACGTTCTCGCTGTGGAGGGAGCCTTTCTTGGCTCCCCCCTCGACCATCATGCTGGGCGCGGTTGATTTGGGGTGGTGTTCCGTATGCTAAGCTGCTTCCGGGCAGATCACTAAACATTTGATCCCGACAGAGTGGTTCAACGAATCAATGAATCGGCCTAAGCGCTAAGCCTACACTCCAGCTCAGTCTAACTCAGAGTAGAATAGCACATTGTATAGATGGTAAAATTACAAGAAATATCGCTTTAGTGTACATGGCCTAGGACGCGTCGCGTCCTAGGCTAATCTTCAGTGAAGCTGAGCCTTAGATCCCCGGTCCCCGGATATACAGCTATATTGAAGCCTTTTTTCAAGGAGGTCATATATATTGAGCAATAATGTCAGGTCAGACTGAAGTCATATCACGTCTTTCAAACTTCTTTAATAACGTTGATCAGGTAGTTATTTCTTTTTCCCGGTCTTATTTTACATGTTGGAGGCTGGAGCAATTCTAAATCATAACTAACTGCCAACTGGTCTCTAGGATGGAGAAGTCACTCAAGATGAATTCAACGATGCTGACACTGATGTGAGCGATGTTGCATTAGATATATTGGTTGCAGCTCAGTGTTACAGACCTAACCACATCAGCCTCACGTGACTATGCGGGGAGTGTCGGAGTTGCGGCTTAGTCAGGGTTGAAAGTACGTATCAAGCGTATATGGTCGAGGCCTCTGATTCTTGCAAAAGGGAGCTATTTAGGATCCTATATAATACCGCTAACTACCGTATAGAGTATACTACGCGATTGTGCGGTTTCAAAAGCAGAGTAAATACGCTGCTTGCGCCATATGATATCAGCGAGGCATCAATCAGGCATCAGTTGGTATTGCTCGGTAAGGAACCTCTATATTCCGACAGGTACTAACATCGATGATGTGGACCGAAGCATGAAGTTCGTGATGTGGCCATCTGCGACAGTTAGATAGAAGTTAGTATGCACTCGTTGGCAGTCAAGCAATAGTATGCTTCATCGCCAATTGAAAGTGATGCCTATCCTCTGTTCCCTAGACCTCCAAGCCTTCGTACAGTCAGCGACGTTGACTCGCGAATGACCCCTGCCTGAACTGCCCCACTTCAGACAACCTACTAAGGTGTGCCTACCACAGTGGGCCAATCTGTGATAGCCCCACGCCTGCAACTTCCCCCAGCGAGTTGTTGCCATTCTCGGACTGTCTACTATCGAAATCTACCAGCATGGATTTCTTCAGAAACATTTCTGGAGTGGCCACGCATCCTCCCGCTACAGGTGTCCCGTCATCACATTCTCACCCGCGGGTCACGGGTCTGCTATCTCCTGGAGTTCTCTACCTGTCGCCTCTATGCACTGCTTTGCTGACATTTGGCTTTATGTAGAGGATCCATTTCGGTGTCCGCGGACTGAAACCGTCCGGGAACTGGCTCGCATACTCGATGATGAACAAGTAGTCCTTGTCAGGGACACACCCACGTCGGGTAAGACGACACTCGCGAAGCTTCTTGACGAATACTATGAACGGCACGATGTTCCATCAGTCTTGATCCGATCTTAGCCGAAAGGTGGTTACAATCTTTATACCGACATCCTCATCCAGCGTGCGAGACGCAAGGGCCATACTTTTGTCACAGAGAACAATATTGACAATTGCAACATCGTCTTCATTATTGATGAAGCACAAATGTCATACCACGACCAAACTCTCTGGCTTGAGTTTATTAAGTCTCAATTCAGTCGACTTCATGGACCCAGGGTATGTCTCTTTTGCTCGTACGGTAGCCCCACCGGAGGGGCAACCAACTTCGACGCTGGCAGCCCTGTCGGGTTCATCGGTATTCAAAAGCGCGTATCTCTGATAGTGTCCAACATTCGGTATGCTCCGTCAATTTGTCTATTCTACAACAGAGCCGAATTCGATGACGTCATCCGTCGCCTGTGTGCTGATATTCGACGCCCTCTTCCTCTTGACGATGGGGCCCGCGACTACATCTTCGATCTTACAAACGGTCACCCCGGGGCGGTAGAGGCTGTTATTGACATTCTAAAGCGAGTCAGTCGTGTCATGCATTTCTGCATTTGCTTTCAATGTGCTGACAGAATGTCCTTCTAGGTGTATCGTTCAGAAATCAAACACGAAGGGATTACCGTGGAAGTCGATCATATTGCGTCGCTTCTTGATGATGAGGAATCATCGTTCGACTTATTGGCACTGACTGGGTTCTTGCGATGTTTTCCACCCCGCAATGTAGGCACCGCCGCGGCCAATGTTCTTCGGGCTGTTCTAGCTAATCAAAATATCCCATTGGACCGAGATGACAAAGGAACAGAAATTTGCTATAAAAATGGGTGGCTGCATGCAGAGCCTCTTGGCATTGATGCGCAGACCATAGTGTGCATATTCCCAACGAAGCTGCATCTGAAGTAAGCATTTGTACCTCAGGAGGTATATATAGCTTTTCCTGATCTGAACAGGTTTGTTGAGTACTACCTAACGGGATCCTCTGCGCCCTTCCCATACCAAAAATTCCCAAGTATTGAATTTCTCGCAGAGGCTGTCTTTAGGGGATTTTCCCTTCGGAATCTCGCTTCAGCGGCACGCTTGGGTACAGGTGTCGCTGCCCGGCCCGTGGAAGCATCCTATCAAGATGAGTTTTACCGCTCACTACACCAGGTCCTGGGATTTTCGGCGAAGGTGACTAGTGAATGGACTGGGGACAAAGACAATCGTATAGATTTCAGGATCGATGACCCGAGATGGGGAATTGAACTATTGCGCGACGGCAACCGCCCCAGTGAACACTGTGACAGGTTCGTGGGAAATGGGAGTCATACGCCGTGGTTCCAAAATGGATCACTCCAGGATTGGCTCGTAATTGATTGTCGGACTTCCTTTCCACGCGAATACAATAGGTTCATCCCCTTTTTCAGCTTATGGTACACATGGCTAATTTCAGTGTAGGAGTACCAGGGACAAAACTCTGGAGGGCAGTTTTTGCTAGTGATTATACTTCTGTTCAAATCTTGAACGCGAGCAACCAGATTGTTGTTGATGAATTCTCTCTTATGTCTTAGCTTTTACCCTGTAGCGAGCGCTCTCAGTTGTACCTGTTCCTAATGTCTATGCATGGTATTCAGAAACAAGGAAATAGAAATAGTATATCGTGCTAAACTATCTTCTCCATCCTGCCAAGATCCATAAACAGCTTGTACGCGATTTGAGTTTTGAACAGGTTATCAGATACAAAGTCAAGACACTAGGAATCAAGCCCTATTCATTTGCATACACACGTTATTATTCTCAAGGTGCCCTTACTTTGCGCGTTGCAATATTCCGACAGGGTCGTGTCTAGGATATTTATGTAGATTTAGCTCTAGTATCCCAATCCCTTCCAATAATGTTCTCTCAAGGGCGATTTTTATGGATCTCCCCGTGCTGCAACAATTGCCTAAGCGCGTCTTTGTTCAATAAATATTCCTTCCATGCTGACCTGGTCCCTGGGGTTTTAGCTCAGTCTCGCACGTTCGCACTACGTGGAGTTATTATTCCCTGCTGCTGCTGCTATTATCCGATGATCAACTCATAATTTGCTTCCTCTGTCCGTAGCCTATCCAGATAGCAGCTGAAATAAATAATCGACTATTTCCGATCGTCCCCAATAAGCATACTGGACGCAATAATGCCTTAAATAAACTGCCGTGCTGGATTGGGCCCCGGCGAACTTCCTTATCCACTCATCCAGGCCGCCACCGTCAATAATTTCGCAGCCACAGTACTAGTAGTCCGGACAAGCGTGAATACAGTTGAGGCTGCCCACCGTGAGCCCCAATTCTTGCCCACCAAAAATCTTCTGCTATGACCATGGTCATGTAACATGCTTGAAAAGATGAATAGCATCAGAATTGTCTCTAGAAGACACAAGGCCAAAAAATGAAGGAAAAGGTGATGGCCAAGCGAAGCAATGGCCTAATTATGCCAAATAGTTTTTTAAAGTACTGCTCACCCACTGATCACCCCAACGCTCGCCGTTGACTCCGAAGGCATCACCTCAATCACCTCCACCCAACTAGTGTTCACTCAGTAATCACCCTTAGAGCAGCAGCGAGAAAAGGGCGAAAAGAGAGATATGCTAACCAAAAAAAAGAAAAACATACAACAGCCGGGATTCGCTGGTGGTCACCCACCCAACTACTAACCGGCCGGCGTGTGGCTTAAGTACGGCTGAGCGGACGGGAAGCCCTGTTTTCCACACCCTATGGTCGTATGTGCTGATTGTTTTATTAAAGAGGTATATATCGTTCCAGCTGAGTTATGGTCAAAAGTGCATTGGTTAGAGGGTGGTATGGTTGATTGGATGGCCTATCGACTATATGATTGCCGGGCAGAAAGCGAGGGCGGAGGCGCATGCCCCCTAACAACAACTGATCTACTGCAAGCGGTAATGCTAGACGACCATGGTTTTCAGGGCTGCTGTAAGTTTCTTGTATGAAAGCAAAATACATCAAAATAATTACACTACATGTATCAGGCTCAAATATCTGAGGTTCCTCAGTCACCCATTGGTCTCCCGTCGGTCTCCCGTCGGTCTCCCATCATTACCCACGTTCCTGCCTAACCAATCGTACTATATTAGAGATTTACAACTAGAATGTGAGTACCTGTGGAATCGACGCCGGAAATGACCGCCAGTGAGGCCGTTTACGGCGTCATTTCCACTCGGCGTTTCAGCGACCTGTTGCTGCTTTAACAATTCACACACGTGATCTGGCCACTATTCTGCACCCGCCAAGCCCATTTCATAGCACCACCACCCATGCTGTTGGTTTACCCTGCGAACCTCTTCGACTCATCATCGAATCGCCGCCGAAAATGGCTTCCCTTGCTGCCAAATACAGCTGCTCTCTGATTCCTACGGGCTTCCCCGGACGACCGTATAAAATGTCACTTTTTCTCTTCCCTTGGTCTCCTTTTTCTGGCCATTTCTCCACCTCTCATCACACGTTGACAAACTCTCCTTCCCAACCCAGCGTCAACTGTTGCGAGCACTGCCTTCAAAACTCCCTTTTTCTTTATTCATATTATATATGTTTGTCTCAATGACGCCGCCTCCTCTTCCTGCGAACCCCGATGAGCACCAGTACTGGACCGATCCTATCCTGTGCGAGGAGACTCGGACCAGACTTGAGCATTTCCGAAATCTGGGATGGCTTCCTCCTAACTACAAGCCCAAGACACTTGAGGGTCTTGCAGTTGTTGAACGGTACTGGCGAAGGCACGTCATCCCTTCACTCTCACAGTAGACTGGAGGGTAGGGACAGACTAGGGAGTAGGGACGAACCGGTGAGTAGGAATGGACTCTGACGCAATTACCAGAAGCCAAATACCATCAAACGACTCTTATTGTCTACATGTTTAAACAGACTTACGCCCTAGTATACATTGAGACTTTGTTCTAGGAGTAGGCTTAATTGACTGTATGACTATCAGTTCCTGATTTACAACAAATTCAAAGTTCGATTCAGATTGCACGTGAAGACATCTCTTAGTTGGCCTGAAGGTGGCTTATTGAAGTGGATAAGCCTTAACCATAGCTAGATTCTCTCAGTCTCAACCATCAATTCAATCTTCGGCATTTTCGGATATATTCTATTCGGTTGACTAAAGCAAGAGAACTCATAATTTATTTGATGAAGTCGTTTGAGCTCAGCTTCAACGGCACTGGATAGTGGTGTTCCTTCTTTTGTAAGTATTTCAGGTTTCTGTAAGCAACATTGAAGGCATACCAATTCTCGCATCGACGGTGACCACCCGTCATCAGAAGTGAAAGAGAAGATAATGGAGGTCGGTACCCTGTACCAAGATTCAGAAGAAACAAAAGAAAACAACTAAACAACCGAAACAACAACATCTCGTAACAATGCACCAAAAAATTCTTACTCTGTTCGTCGGCGCTTTACCAGATGTTATAAGGCTAGGTGCCCTTACGACGGTGAATGTTCCCCAGGTTCAGAAATATTATTTAATCAGGTTTATTGTCCATATCGAGCCCGAGAGCTATGACAGACCATGATTCATGGACTCGAGGCCAGCAGCTATTCTGGAGTCTCTTGTCCCTATAGGTTCCTGGGGCAACATCCCCCTTCTATAGTCTCTCTGATCCTTTTCCTCGCCCCAAACTACCTGTATGCGCAGGGCTTTCGAGCACAGTGCTCTCCCTGTATTTCGGAGCAAGATGGGTGTGGCCTAGGCTGACACTCAGCTTAGGCTACCCTCCCTGCTACCCGTCTCCTGTTCTAAATGCCTCCTCCAATGCTTCCAGTCCTCTTCGTCATCTCTTCGGGCCCTTTCCGCCATCTGCTGTAGGTGCGCCCGGGGTAGAGCTACACTGGTGCTGGCTAGGGATTGTAGCAACGCCCTCGTAGCTTTGGGATCCCCTAGGAGTCGCCCTTGTGGATATTCTTCTGCAGTAGTGGGTCTCATAACTCCGTCTATTTCTAGATCTTTGTAGAGCTTGTTTCGTTGGTGTCGCAATTGCCGGCACTCAAAGAGAAGATGGCGTACTGTCTTTTTTGGAGGACCATATCCTTGACAGGTTGCGTCTTCTCGAACCTGAGTCCGGTGACATGAGCATAGTGACAGCAGGGAACAGTGTTCGCCTGCAACAGTCCAAACCAAGTACCATCGAATGGCCGGCCCATTGTGAGAGGTACCGCAGTGGTGGCACACGATTTAAAGAGCTTAAGTTGTCAATTTTATCTAATCTGAAAATCTGAAGCTATCAGACCCCTGATATCCTCTATTAACCATGCCACCCAAGCGAGCCTCCTGAGCGCCCTGCCTCAGAAGTCCTTGAACTATCATCATCCCTGTCAACAGTCCCATACTTTGCACCTGTACACTTTCAGTATATCTCACATATTATTGGACAACCCCCCCCAACACCCGAGTCATGAAGAATATAATGTAACAACTTTGCAAGATTATCATGACCAGAAAGTAAGGTGCTGGATATAGTATACATCATATGCACAACCGTCCATGAACACAATAAAGCCCTTAGTCAATCACCGAGGCAAATTCTTCTGACCTCTCATGCGCCTTGAGCCATTGGCTCTTCTCAAGCTCCTTTTTTCCTAACTGCACGCTATCATACTCCTCTCCCATTACCCTTCTCTCCAGCCGCCGTTCAATAACCGATACGTCATTTTCGACAATGTGTCTCTTCCATATGCGTGTATTCCGGCCCTCTTCGGTCCACGACCACGGCCAGGCTGCATGCACAAATAACTGACTGAGTCCATGGACTTTCAATCTTTCAAGAGGGCGCACGATGCGCATGTATGCACTAGCCACTTTGGTCATGCCTTCTTTACGGGTAATCTTCTTGCGGAAGGGCGAGGCATAGCTAGCATCATAGAAGTCTGCAAAGTAAATGCGCAGTGTCAAGTTAGGATGGTCCAGCTTTTTCATAATGTTATCTATTGTATTATCCCAATCGTGGAGTGCTGAGCATCGTGGTGAGAGATACTCTTCATCCAATGGTGGAAATACAAATTCCAAGAATCTCAGGCGGGGTAAGAAATGTGCAGGAATAATATCCTGCAAGAAAATAGATGCTTCAAAACGCTCCAAAACTGTTTTTGCAGGCTCACCATACCCATCAATCGGAGCAATGATGAAGCGATTCTGCGTGAAAAACACTTCTTGCGCATCGTCCCGTAAGGCCTTGCTGACAAGAAACAGAGGGCTAGGCGGGCGCCAACACCGACAATGTTTTGAGAAAGCGGAATGATATCGAGAACAAAAACACCCATGACCATCGAGGTTTTTCCAGCATTGTCGAAACTGGCACCCATGGTGATCATCAGGATCGCAATTCCAGTCGCAGCCTCTCACACCATAGTGCAAGTAATATCCATCACGGGGATTCCAGTCAACTTGACGATATGGCGTAACGAGATCTGTATGCTGGAGGACCTGGAGTCGTAACTCAGCGGGTAAAGATAGAAAGGGGAATGGTGTATGTGGTTCGGTAGCAACATTTATTGAATGGCCCGTGGATTGTTCTGCCGCTCGGTGGGCCAAATTTTGGATTGAAGGATCAATGTCCCTGCTAAGGCGGATATTGCACTCAGCAAGTAAGGGAAGGCCCCGGTTCATTAATGGCGTGACAACAGCAACAGCAGCACTTGTATCAGCGACATCACAAATGAAGTATAGATGAAGACGAGATGGTTGAATATATGGTGCAAGATGGTCAACAGTGCGGTGCCATTCCAAAATGACTTCTTGGTAGTGCGGTGACCTTGCACTGAGAGGTCCATCATGGTGGGCACAACCAGGGTGAGAATGGTTTGGCCGCTCCTTGCAGCATGGCCACCCTGGCTCACAGCTGCTGACATTAAGAAAAATAGTCAATTTAACAAGAGACTGAATAGCAGTTGGTGTTAATCTCTGCAGTCTCTGAAGGTGGGAATTTCGGTATTGGTCGATAAAGTGTTTCGTTGAGTACACAATTGGTGCCAGCTCATTGTAAACCAAGCGGCATGCCAGTAGCAAGTTCCGGCAGTTTCTGTCGCATTCTGTGATTTCAAAATAATGTGGTCTGGCCAAGCTTCTCGTGGGAAATTGGACCTCATCGCGTGGAATAAGATGCTCATAGATCCGTTGGCGAATTGATAAGGGAAGATCTATGAATCGTGGGGGATGTGGAAGGCCTGACATGGAGAAGTATGATAATTAAATGATGATAATCAACTGATAATAGTGAAAGCATTAAGTAAAAAGGATTAAAGGAACTAAAGCTCCTAATTACTCTGTGAGAGCCAGAGGAGAAGCATACGGCGATACACTCGAAAAAGGCAATTATAGGAGGTGATGAAAGTCGAGGTGGATCAATAGTTTGTCCGATTATCGAGGCCGACAGATCCCTCATATACGGACACACACTCGTTTAGATAGCTAAGCACTCATTCTACCATCAATGACATCTATAGATATCATTGTCACCCTCCGTGTAATCTAAGTTTCTTCTTCATATATAGCCTCGTGCAGTCCGGATAATCGACTCCCCGACTTCCCCGACTCGGAGTTAACCGCCTTATTGGTTTATCCGTTTCAGGAGGAAGCGGTCGGAATAACAACCCTCCGAGGGTAGCCTGTGTATCAGCCTTACTAGAACTGCAGGGGTCACAGAAGCAGCTGCTGAGCCGCACAGCCATGAGATCTAGACATGCTTCACACAACAAGAATCCAAATTTGGTCGCGGTGCATCCTGTGAGGCTAAATTTAACCAATAAGGCATATTTCCATTCTGCCCTGGTGGTGCAGTGACGCAGTTCTATCTCAGCCGAGCCTAGACATGTTACAGTCCCAGCTTCCAAGGCTCAATTGAATTTGTAGATCACGATGGATGCTGGAAATACGGCCTTGGAAGAGAGGTATAAAGGAGTTATGAAATTCTCGCAACAAGTCTTAGCAAGAAATCCAAGCACAGTTAATTCTATTCATTCTAGACTTTCCTCGCAGCCGAACCAACAGTTATCTTGAGTACCTTCAATATGCTTTTTCGCAACGCATTTCTATCCCTCCTTCTACTGGTCAGTTAGTCCCTCCTCGCTATTGCCGCGAGGCAGATGAACAGCGAAGGCCAGGGAGGACAAACAACTTGGTACCAAACTGGCAAACTTGAATCAAACAAAGACTTCAGCGTCGAAACCCTCCAAGACATAGCCAAAGAATTCTACGAATATGTCATCGACAAGCCTAACGCCAGAACCAGCAGCACTAACGCATGCATCGTGGCTGTCTTTGGAGATCGTCAAACCCGCAAATTCACCGCATCGACTATTCCCCGAGGTCCCGTTAACGCCAGAATGGGCCGCGAAGGACGGCAAAAGGCGCCATTGTGGTACCATCAGATGCAGGCTCGCAACCGTCTCAGGAGCTCTGGTGGTGAGTTTCATGCTGAAGATGGTGCCATGTTTAGGTGGGAATCCTCCCCCGACTCCCACGGGCGAACCGGCCATGGTGTTTATCTCAATGACCCCATCATGGGCGTTTATGGTGACCCTGGTTTCCGCAACCCTGGCGTCAAGGACCTCAACCCCTGTGAAAAGTGTTTGCCCGTTGTGGGAGCGCTGGATATTGGATACCATGATAGCAATGGCGGACGCAGCAGCCCAACGTATTCGGATGGAATTGATGATGAGGACATGATGGAAGTTGATTGTTGAAGGCTTATTGCTCACTGGCTGGTCTTGGATAGCATGAGAATTGATTCATGCAACAGATAAGCTGACGTTGAGGCATTGAGCCGTCAAAATGGAGCTTTTCGTCTTAATAGTAATTATTGATCTTCTAAATTGATTAAATCTTTCATAAAAAAATTTGGCTTTATTATTCCTAGGAACACATTTAACACAACTGGAACCAATGGTCACCGAAGCAGTACTCATCTTAGGCTTGCTCCACTCAAGTGGCCTTAAAAAAGTACTTAATGTCAGAGTGATTGGTTGCCAGTGCATCTCTCTCTTCATATGCATGCTGTTGAAGAGCTATACAGGCAATGAGGTAGAGCACCTTTGCAAAATTCAATGCTCATACATTGAGAAAGCTACAAGCTGCCGTCAGTCAAGATCCAGAGATTGATTTGACCACACAAATGCCTATCGATTACACCGGCCGCCTGATCAGAATGCAAACTAGCAAAGAGGTCCTTGGTAAGTAAAATGAAGGAAATATTGGTTCCATAAATTGACAATCGTCCCTTGTTAGAGATATCCAGCAATGGATCTCAAAGGTCTACGAAGCTCAAGGAAGAAGAAATACGAGAATCCCTCAACCCGTCAGATACTGTGCATATATTATTTCCTCTGTCTCGAGAGGTGCTGAGACTTGTGGAAGACATCTCCAAGACTGCAGAACCTTTACCAAATTGCCTTTCTCAACGTTTGTTTGAAGTCATGCAGGCGAGCGAGGTTCTATGGAAGGCCCCATTTCCACTTCACAAGATGGTTTTCAAGTGTGCTGCGGACATTGTTGTTAAAGCGGTGCGGGATATAGATGATTACACTGAGTACACGACTTTGCAATATCTCGAGCAACATATACCAGATTGTCCGGCTCCGAGGCCTCTAGGATGCGTGCAAATGAGTGGAATATCACTTGTCTTTCTGACTCACAAGCCATCGACGTCCCTTGGAGAGGTATGGCAGGTCCTGGACAGTGACCAGAAAGCTTCGGTCAGGGATCAGTTGGAGACTATTTTGACAAAATTAAGATCGTTGCCCTATGTAGATGGGCGTCCTCTTGGAGGAGTGGCCGGTGAAGGCTGCAAAGATGCCAGAAGGCACCTTCGGCGGAGTGACAAACCAATCAAAACACTTGGTGAATTCGAGGATTTCATGTTCTCGAGTTCTCGCCCTGGCGGTTTGGTATTCGTAGAGTTGCTTCGCCAGCTTTCCCCATGCTTATCCTCTCCTCCAAATATTGTTTTTACGCACGGTGATCTTCGGCCGGATAATATTACGGTAGAGATCGTCGACCGTAATCGATGTGTCGTTACCGGCATTCTTGATTGGGAGTACAGTGGCTTTTACCCAGACTATTATGAAGCTGTTAGGTGCACCAATTGCTTGTCGTCGTGCGAGGACAACGACTGGTTTTTGTTTCTTCCTGATTGTAATTCGTCGAAACGCTATACTCATTGGTGGCTCTTAGATCAGGTGCGAGAGACTAGGAGTATGTGACACCGAAACAAGATTTAGTATCTTGCGCTTGCGAATGTATCATTACAAAATTGCTCCCCTCTTTTCCCTCAGTATTTCTCTGGCATCGCGATAGTCCTCATCATCACGGTCCAAAATAAATTCGTCTTCCAAATTGTCAAGAATGTCCAGCACATAGTCCTGACAGTCCCACTCAACCGTCTCATTGTCCACGGACACCGTCTCTGCAGTCCGTTTCACAGTTTTTACATCGGCTTTTCTGATCTGAAATCCCATGTGGCAGAAACTCGGGAAGCTGCTCTAGAAGCTCACAAGACCACTGTACACAGTGGCGCCGACATTGTCGCGTACACAGACGGCAGCTTGACAGAACAGGGAGTTGGAGCAGCAGTAGTTTCATCTCTGGGGCGCCAGGCAGTTCGCATTGGCTCCTCAGCTACCCACACGGTATATGCAGCGGAATTACGAGGCATAGAAATGGCCCTCACCCAAATATGCAATATGGGTGAACTAGCGTCCCAGCGCTCCCGAAAGGCCTATACAGCAATCATCTTTACAGACAACCAAGCGGCAATCCAAGCGTGCTCAGTCCCAGGAAGGTCTTCTGGCCAATATATCCTGCGAGAAATCACACAGACCACATCTCAGCTACAGGAACGCGGCTGGAATATACAGCTGTACTGGCTCCCTGGTCATGAAGGCATCTACGGCAATGAGTATGCTGATGCTCTTGCAAAAGAAGCTGCTAATTCTCCAGCATCCAATGGCCCCGAGGAGCTCACTCTCATGGCTAGCACCCGAAGGATCCTCCGCATAGAAGCAGCCAATGCATGGAAGACTGAATGGGCTGCTTCCACCCGCGGGAACTCCCTCCGTCGTTTATGGAAAGAACCCTCAAAAGCACAAATGCAGCTATACCAAGGCCTACGGAGAGCCGCTACATCAGTCCTCATTCAAATGCAAACTGGGAAGATTGCGCTGGCCAGTTATCTTGGTACCTTTAAGGCTGTTGAATCAACCGAATGCTCTTGCGGACGTGGCCTCCAAGATACACGCCACGTTCTCCTCCACTGTACAAACCAGGCAGGACCCCGGATGCGCCATCTTACACAAGGGTCAAGGCGGGAGCTAGATTACCGGGCCTACCTAACACGGCCAGACCTGGTACCGAAGGCAGTGCGTTTCATGCTTGAGACAGGCCTCCTAAGCCAGTTTCAGGCTTTACCAGCCACATACCGAGTCACAGCAACGGACAGGAAACAACCGGCAGTATAGCGCAGTCAAGGTTAAACGCTTGCAAAAGTAGGGACGGAAACGAGACAGTATCCAACAAGCCCATGGACCTTCGTGGCCATGGGAACAGCAGCACAAAACCAGCAGCACGGGACATACAACATGCGGAATAAGATATCAGGATATGTGTATAAAGGCGACGATGTACATAGACTACCATTACGGCGGCTTACCCGGCCGCTCCGCAGGACTTGCCGCCACTCGGCCTACAGGGCTGACAGATGCGTGTATGAATAATAATAATAAACTCCCTGGACGATGCAGCCGCAGTTTCCGAAAAAAAAAAAAAAAAAAAAAGGAAAGGGGGTGGCGGAGTTCAAATGGCCAGGAATATGGGTGAGTGCAGAATATGGGAGGGAGTTTGGCAAGAGAAAAAGATTTGGGAGGAGACGAAGTCAGAACAGTGAGGGAGGGCTCTTTTATATTGGAGGCCAGGCGGGCAGCGTTTACAGTACGGTGTATCGGGAGGCTATACCAGAAACGGCAAAACTAACTGAAACAGGGGATTCACAGGTCCTCGTTTTACAATACTAATGGTTAACCTCCGAACTCCAGTCCATCTATCCAAATGATGACCCAAAAATATGAGTGCCCGTTCCCATACTGTATGTCCAGGCACAGCCGGAAGGAGCGCCTGGTTTGTCATACTGCTCAGCATCAACGATCTCTGGCACGCAGTTACAGCACCATGCGGAGGGAGAGACTGGGGCTTTTCCAGCGGGCGAGAGCCCCGACTAATTGTATGCACGGTGTATGCGCGCACCTCTATACAGAAGTCAACGATCTGTTATGCTTCGACTTCAAACACCGAGTCACTTACACCTATTGAGCAATAAATGAGGCCAGCGATGAATGCGAGCCAGGACTAAGATAGTAATGTTTGTTTCTCTTGCTGGTGACATGGGCATAGACAGCTCCTGCCAATCATGGTTCTAAATTCATTCTTATGTCGCCCCACTGCTGCACTTCGTGTCCCGCATAAGGCTGAGCATCTGCTGAAATCACGCGGGCGTAGAGTGTCATTCCCAACCCGCAATTCCCGTTCCCAACCCTTCCCATCCCGCATAGGGTAGGGAATTGGGACCAATCCTCAATTTCCGCAGTGGGAAAGGGGAAGATTGGGATTTCCCGCAGTTCCCGTTTACTCCCCTAGGGAAGGGTCGGGTTGGGAAATGTGGGAAATGAGAATAACTCATGTTCCCGAACTTCCCATTACATACTATTACAATACTTAATTTAACCATGGTCAGAATACAATACTTAGATGAGTTCCTCGTGCGGGGCTGATTTTTGATTGGTTGGCCGTGGTTATGTAATTATCCGGGGGAACCTCTTCAAGCTACAAGGAAACCTCAACCATCGAGTTAGGAGGCTACTATCAGCTCAGTAAATATTCATTAACGTTGCCAATGATTCTTATTTTAGATTATCAAGTGTTGAGTTCAAGATTCAATTATTATTCTTGACATAGTCACTGTTAGAACATGCCCTTGATGAACTTTTTTGGGCCATATCTATAGGTTGTGCAGTAACCTTGTCCAAGATATATGTATATATCGTTGTGACGGAGCCGTAATTTCCTGTATCAAGTATTTTTGATTTTTCACTGCAGCACCTGCCACCAAAAAACGATTTAAAAAATATCAGTAAATAGAGAGGAGCCCACTTTATTTTATATATATATTTTTTCAGGACAAGAGGATCGCTGATCATAGATATAACGCGGTGGTGTATTTGCATCGAAACCACAAGGCTACAATAAGGCAGGCGGGTTGGGAGTAATGGGAACGGGAAATTCCCACATCCCAATTCTAACTGTGGTTAGCTTAGTGCATCCATAAATGGCTAGCGCCTCGATCTTTGGGAATTATGGGAAATTCCCGACCTTTCCCGGCGGGAGGTGACACGCGGGTTGGGACTAAGATGTCCGTTTCTCTACCCTACCCGACCCGAATGCAACTTAATCTACACATTGGGTTGAATTGGCAAACACCACATCATGATTGCCTGCCTACCTGCAGGACAATATGGAACCACATCAGTGTTAGAGCCCGCAGTGCCAATAACTAGCTATAACACAAGAGATTTCGTTGAAGAAGGAAGAATGTCCGACCGGACAGCTAACATACATGTGTACGCCGTGCAGCTCCCATTACTGATCATACCGCTTATGCGACAGGCGCAGCCTGTGACAACAAGGGAGCAGCTTAGGTTGGAGACTAGAGCATTGTGCTTTGAAATGGAGGCAGCCAGTCTGATATTGGACTTTCCCTGCATTGTCATCTGCGGCGTTTATGTGACGGCTCAGCACAGCGCCGTTGTTGACAAACATCATCAACATGGTAAACGATGCCATGCGAGCAATTAAGATAAACGGCTGCTTAGCGAGACCACACAACCTCTATAAACCTCTTTATCTAGATAAGCCTTTCTCTTTCCTTTTCTTCTTCAGATATGGCTACCAGTTAGTTTATATATGAATATCATTCGTTTTATCTACTTGCTACCGAGCCCGTGACAGCCTGCCGGCGACGAGCTATCTAGTGTGTGCGAGGGTTTTAAAGCGATGCTCAGTGAATGCTCTACCCCAAACAGGCCAAAATAGTCAAACATGCTATACAGCTAGCGAGCGTCCATGCTCCGCGACACAGTACTTGATAGAGTAATGTATATCAAAAGTCGACACAAGTAGAAAAGAAAAGAATAATGAGTTCTCACGGACTTACAATGAATAGTAAGTATTTGAATAGTATGAGACAACAGACAAAGCACGGTTGCAAGGAAGGAATACGATGCTATCTTAGGCTACTCAACCCTCTGCTCAGTCCCCTACTCAGTGATCAGCCCAGGCTGCTCAGGGCATGCTCAGGTCTATGCAGTGAGCAGAAAGCGGCGAGGGGTGAGCACTAAAACGGAAAGGGAAAGCCTTCGAGCTGTCCAGAAAAACAAGTACGTATGTCTATAGAACCATAGTCTAGACATGTCTATGTAAGTCTAGTCCGTACTATACAACCCGCAACCCTTCTCTTCAGAAGCCCGCTCTTCCCTCCTCTTAACAACCCACCCCCCAAGCTGGTCCCAAACAGCCCTCTTCTCCCCAATGCTCATCCCAGCAGCCAACCCACTCGTTGTCGTAGCCACAAACACCCTCGCCCCACCCCACCCCTCACAAACTCCCATATTCTCCTCTACACCCTGCCAACCATACTTAAACTCCTCCTTCTTTATCCCCCGTCCATGTCGTACCCTCCACACAGCCTCCCAGATACTCTTGCCAACCAAACAAACAACTTCGGGCTTTTTCGTGGCAACCTTGACTTCGAGAACGGGCACACCAGCGTCCATTTCCGCTTTACTCAACATACTCGCATCCCTAGTTGGTCGTTCAACGATATTCGTATTCCCAATGTTGTACAATTCTGGTAACCGGTAGGTGTCGGATGGTGGATGCCGGATATCCGTTATCCGGGACCAGTGCAGGAGTTTCCAGAAGAGGTTCGAGGGATGGGCGTAGGCGTGGCCCGTCGTGCCGGTTAAGATGCCCGGGTTTACGCCCACGAGGAGGAGGGTTAGGTTAAGCGGGATTGTGTCGCGGAGGAGGGAGTGTGAGACGGGTGCTTGGGAGGGGGTGCGGGAGCCGCGGCCGCGTTTGGTTGGCTTTGTCGCTGTTGCTTTTGCGGTGGTCGTGGATCGGGCACGGGTGTTCGGGGATGACTGTGGCGATTGTGTCTGTAGTAGAGAAGCTGAGCGCGAGCGAGTTATTCGTACAGGAGACTCAGATTCCTCCGGAGTGGGAGTCGCTGTGGCAAGTCCTTTTCTTCGCTTCGACCGCGACGAACCATGATCAATAGGCAGATCACCTTCGGAACATTCTTGCGACGATGAATCCCGTTTCAGGGTGTCCTTCGCAGTCTCTTTCGCGAGACTCAAGCCACTCGATGCAACGACATTCTTCGTATTGTGAAAGTATTGACTTAATCGGCCGTTAAAACTGGTTATTTTATTCACAGGGACATCATTGTCACCGTATTCTGCATTCCCGCGACTGTTTCGAGCGCCAACTGTCATTTGTTGCGAGATGTGTGGTGTGGCAAGTGTAGGAAATGTAGTAAGAGATGGAGGACGGTTTTGGCATTCGCCGTCGCCGGTGTCGGTGGCGAGTTACTATATCGGGTATAGTACAGCGTCTTATCGAATTTCTGCTTTGTAGCATAAAAATTGAATCATGAACTTTCGCTGAGATCGCCAGCATGGATGGTCTCTTTTTCCCTGCTGCAGGGTCTAGATCCGGCTCTCGTATGATTGAAGTAGATATGCACAGAGTACGAATATGAAGAAGATTGCGAGGTTCTTCTTAATTCTCGCTATTACACCCTCCTATCGATACTGCAGCAGAAGCTTAGACCCCATATGTCACAACAATGCTTACCCACATTGTGTACCTGATGGTAACTTAAGTGACCTTTTCGGCAAACAGTGTCGGCGGATACGTTCGCGTTGAGTATGGGAATACTTTCAAACACTATCCATTACCAATTAGACCCTCACACCCATGCCTCGACACACTTCGACATGGTGGCATATAAAACACCCTTCGGCACCAAAGTAAACGCTATATGAACCCTACCAGTGAAGTGATGAAGTTAGAATTCCAAGTCGGATAATCAGGATACCTTAGGGTGCTAGCCAGCGCCCTAAGATTATGTGAGTTCGGTTAATGTCTAGCATATAGCACGAACTTTCTACTCTGTGGCGCATTGTGACGAAGGAATCTAATAATAGTGTACTGGATTTGTGATGGATGGATGGACGAGACGATTGGTTTTACTGACATTTTTTTGGCCACGATATAGCATATGGCAGCCAAACGCATGGTAGTCTAGTGGGATATGTGCCTGCCTCGAATGGTATAATCATTGAAATTGCTACAGCTGGTCTGTTGCTGTAAATCTCGTCGAACCGATGGAAAATGAAATCTCTGAAGATGGGTATCTAACGCCTGGTATCGTAATTCATGTAAAACCATATATCATTGACATCTGGGTGTGCAAATCAACTACTATACCGCAACAATTTTCCTCGGCAGCGTCCACGGCTCAGCGCACACAATCTATCCAAGTCAGAATCACCCATTCATAAGGAGAAAGAGCAAATACATACCTCCCCCTCCGTATAGGCCCAGAAATAAACCCCCATCCCCACCAAATAATAAAGTGCCGGATGCGTCCCCTGATAAAGCAGCGCCGCGAACATCGCACTCAACGGATAAACAACAAGTCTCGTCTCAATACTGCGGTGCGGAAATGTCCCCGCGACACACTTCAATGGCCATTCCCATGCTAGTCCCACGAGGCCCATGAGCAGGTTGAGGATTTGGAGGATCGGGGCGGGTTTTACGGCGCCGTTGAGGTTTTTCGTCACAAAGTCCCAGAGGATCTTGGGCCAGATGAAGCCTTCGATTGCACTGCCTATTTGGACTGGAAAGGACAATGGGTTAGTATGTGATGGTGTTCGCGATTGCGAATTTTATGGATGTGGACGTACAGGCTGCTGCTGTGAGGATGATCAGTCGTGCCCAGTGGTTTTTGATAAGCCTGCCCATCGCAAATGTGTTTGGGGATAAAGGATATCGGGAATAGATAGTAACGGTTTGAATATTCGTTCGTCCGGCGAAGTGTTGCGAAGTCGATTACTGTCTTTTGTAATGTAGAGGTGTCCTCCAGTCCCAGCTGGAATCAAGCGTGAGTCCCTCGGAAACCAGATTCATAAGTCGAGTATTATAGCAAATAGTCATACGAAAAAAGTGTCATACAAAAGTATAGTTGAGCGGCATAATAATATAAGAACAGGAAGGGAAAAAAGAACGAGGGGGAATCACGATAAAAACACCCGACTCCTCACCATGCACATCTGCAACGGCGCTGAGGATTTCACTTCGAACCGCTCTACGCACCAATCACCTTTACCGCGCAGACCGGGATACAGATATATTTCTTTTCTTAGTTTCTTCACAACAAAAGCACTTGAGCCCAGCGATTGGTTCTTAGTCGCCGGGGCGAGCGCACGGGTGAGGGAGAAAGCAAGCGATTCGGACGCATGCTGTATATAATGCGTCTATCAGTTCTTTTCTATGGACCAGGCTGGCTGGCCGGACGAATGAGGGGTGCTACAGCGACTCGACTAGGCGTGATCGACCAGGAGTGATGCAGGAAGACTTTCGGGGACGGGCCTAGCGGACGAGCCTGGGGATTACCATTGGAAGTCGGCTTTTCTTTTTATTTTTATGTCTGTCTTCCCCCTCCGGACCGCTATGGTAACAAAATATGTCGTGAAGCGGCCGAATAGTGATCCAGAGCATCCGAAGATATATCCGATTTGACCGTCTTTCAAGATAATATCCACGGCGGACGTGTGACGACAATTCCAACTGAGTTTAGCTCTTCAGACCCTCCGTGACTAAGTGTGACGATACGTCTGTCTTGCAGGACCGCCGAGCCAAATAGCCAATGTTCCACGTTCTCGCACTCATTCGGCCGACCATGTCGCAGTTAAATCATGAAACCTCGGAAATTGAGAGCAAAATATAAACAAGGAATGCTTGATATAATGCTATGTTGGCAATACATGGGATACCTTGTTAATTGGCAATGGCCACGCTAAACAAGCAGGCATTTTGTACTCCGTCCGGAAGAAAATACACATCCCGCTATGGGCTACTATTGGCCAATGCTGTGTGATGGGACTGGCGCTTGCAGAATGAACATAATTGGCCGAAGACAGAGTCAATGCACGCGCAAATCACGACTCGGCCATTTAACGTGCGTATCCTTTGATGCGCTGAATGGGTATGGATTTGCCAAGCAGAATGACGGCCGGAGATGGATTCAGAAGGGTCAAATACGCCGGAACCACATGGTCTTATGTTTTGGGGTTGCCGGGATATGGGAACTTGAGAAAATGTCAGTCTGGGAACTACCTGTTGGCGGCCTCGCAAAGTCAGAAGAGGCGAGACTATCAATACGGGGGCTGTCAATGCTGGCCCGATCAAGTAGCGCATCGGAAACAGACCACTCCCCTTAAAGGTAGCAGGCCATGATCTCGTCTATTGATCCGGCTAGGACATCATACGATAGCAATACTCTGTACTTGGCCCGAGAATACGAAGAGCAATATCCACAAGGCCAGCAGGAACAACTTTATACGCCCAGGGCACACCGCCAGCCAGTCAATCCAACGATGTGTAATTCCTGCCCACAGTGGACGTTGGCGCTGTAAATAGCAGATCCCCCCTCATAGTCGCCCTGACCCCCTGCAGCCATAACCATATTGCCGGGGACGCTCGAGAACCTCACTTCTTTCATCTACTTCCTCATTCGGTTCTTTTTTTCTCTACTGACGTATTGTGCTTTGCTCTGGTTTCTTTGATGATGGCTTGACCTCCGCGATGAGCAATTCTAGTCAACTCATCAAATCGGTCCCGGATGTCGACTGACTTGCCAATTTTTTTCTACTGATAAAAGGCCAGGAAATATTGCATATGCATTTGCAAAATAAGATTAGGCACGCGAATTACAATCAAAGGAGAAGAGAAGAATCGACCAGAAGCTACCTACGTTTCCCAACAGCTATTTCCGGCAGTTGGCGTCCGTTCTTGGTGAAGGCGACGGCCTTCGTTGTACGATAATATCGATTCAACAATTATCTTTTTCTTACGATTATTTTGTGGGTGTCGGGTCGGAGACGAAACTCTCTGTGTCTGGAACGACATAACAAGCACGATATCCAAACATCTCACGGACCAACTAATACGATAATTACTGTTATCATCGCCGGTCGATGATCGATCTCTTTTTTGTCGCATAAGATACCCAACATTACATCTTCCTCGTTATCATGGCTGTCACCACGGAACAGCCCTTCTGGGGTACTCACTTTACTTCCGCTAAAATACTATTCTATTCCCTTTTCTGGAGTGTACATATTGCTCTCTTCGCCGCCGGATGGTGCGTCAACCTCTTTCCAGTATTAGCAATGGCTAATAAGTTTTAGGCACATTCAAGCGTCAGACTCGAGGCTATCTGCTCTCAACACATTACAGTACTCTGTCTGGATATCGAGAGGCTCAGCTCTCGTGCTCTCACTCGATGCAACGCTGATAATGCTGCCCATGTGTCGGAACATCCTGAAACACATTAGGCCTCGAATTCGATGGATGCCGCTTGACGAAACAATATGGTTCCATCGGCAAGTGGCGTATGCCATGTTGTTGTTCACTGTTATCCATGTTGCGGCTCACTATGTCAAGTGAGTCCCTACCGTCATATAGGATATGCTGGTATCTGACAATAGCAGCTTCTTCCACGTCGAGAAACATCAGATTCGACCTGAATCGGCAGTCGAGATCCATTTCACCCAAGCAGGGGGAATAACCGGCCATGTCATGCTGATATGCATGATGCTAATGTATACGACTGCGCATCATAAGATTCGGCAACAGTCCTTCGAAACATTCTGGTATATGCATCACCTATTCGTTCCGTTCCTGCTCGCTCTATATACGCATGCCACTGGTTGTTTCGTACGGGATACAACAAACCCAATATCGCCATTCGCAGGTCAAAAGTTCTGGAACCACTGTCTAGGTTATGAAGGCTGGAGGTGGGAACTTGTCGGAGGAGGCATCTACCTCATAGAAAGATTCTACCGCGAGATCCGCTCCAGACGAGAAACCGAGATCACCAAAGTAATCCGCCATCCATACGGTAAGTTCCCTCCCCCAATCTCCCAATTTCTAAGCCACGGTTCTGATCGGTATAGACGCAATGGAAATCCAATTTCGCAAACCAAGCATGAACTACAAAGCCGGCCAATGGCTCTTCCTCCAGGTCCCCGAAGTCTCCTCCACCCAATGGCACCCTTTCACCATCACCTCCTGCCCGTTCGACCCCTACATTAGTGTGCACATCCGGCAAGTCGGCGATTTCACGCGCAGCCTAGGAGACGCACTCGGTTGCGGTCCCGCGCAGGCAAAAGATCTCGAGGGTCTCGATCCAATGGGCATGTACGAAGTGGCCCTCCAAAACGGACAGATGATGCCGAAACTGCGCATCGATGGACCCTACGGAGCGCCTGCGGAGGATGTATTCGAGAATGAAATCGCCGTGCTTATCGGTACCGGGATCGGTGTTACGCCGTGGGCGTCCATATTGAAGAATATCTGGCACTTGAGATCAGCACCAAATCCACCCCGCCGCCTCCGCCGTGTCGAATTCATCTGGGTCTGCAAAGACACCTCCTCCTTCGAATGGTTCCAAGCGCTCCTCTCCTCGCTTGAATCCCAATCTGCCACCGCAGCCGCATCCCAAGGAAGCGCCGAATTCCTCCGCATCCACACATACCTAACACAACACCTCGACGACGACACCACCGCAAACATCTACCTGAACTCCGTAGGTCAAGGCCTCGACCCTCTCACTGAGTTACGGAGTCGGACGAATTTCGGACGTCCTGATTTTGAACGACTGTTTACTGCGATGAGGGATGGAATTGTTGATCAGACGTATATGTCTGGGCTGAGTGGGAGTGCGAAGGGTCGTGGGGGTTCGGCGGATATTGGGGTTTATTTTTGTGGACCGAATATGGCGGCTAGGGAGATTCGTGAGGCAGCGAGGGGATGTTCGAGTAGGGAGGTTAAGTTCAAGTTTTGGAAGGAGCACTTTTAGCTGTTTGCTTGCCTGCCTTCTGGGTTTGGTTGATTTGTTATTATGAAAGACGAATTCTATTGTTTGTTTAGGAATTTTTGCTGGTTTATCTTGTATGTTACGTATTGTGGATGTCAATAAAGCGATACCACGACAGTAGAATGAACTCAGAGCCCTAGAAAGGATTGCGGGTTCACATCTGCATCTCATCACTCTCAGCATCCTCCGGCATATCAATCGGCAGGTTACCACCCTCCTCCCTCCAGACAACAATCTCATCCAATACACCCTCAATATCAACATGAACCCTTAACTCCTTCTCCACAAAAACATTCCAAACCCTCCTCAACTCCTCGAATCCCATTCCTTCTTCTTTCACCTTAACCTTGCCACTCGTATCTGCATTCCCATGGCGCTGTTTAACAACATCAGCCCGAAGATGCGTAAACGCCAACATAACCAACTCCTTCGACCAGGGACATGCGCGGACGGCGCGGTAGAAGATTGCTTTTGCGCGGTTGACGTTACCCCGCGAGAGTTCGAATAGGATGTATAGTTTCCAGAGGGTGAGGTTTGAGTGTGCCCCTATGCTACTTGTGTTGGTGGGACGGTCAGGGTACGAAGAGTCTGGGGTTGGATCAGCGAGTGCTTTTTCGAATGCTGCACGGACCGAGTGCAGTGTTGAGCCTGCGTAGACGGGGCGGTTGAGTTCGGTATAGATGGAGAATAGATGCGATGTTATTGGAATTTGAGTGTTCAGAATGTTGTTGTGTTTAGCTGCCTGGGTGGTCGCAGTGGTGGTGATATCGCGGATGACACCGCGGACGCGTTCTTCGATGCGGTTGCGGGATTCGTTCCAAGCAAATAGGGAGAGGAAGATTGTGTTGTGCGGGTGGAGGGCTATGCTTTCTGTTAGGAGGGCGCGGATATGTGCGGGTTTATAGGCGTTGCCTTGGCTGATGTGGTGGTAGAGGAGTTTTGCGCGGGATTGGTGGAGGAGTTCAGTCGTGAAGGATTTGAATGAGTCGTGGGCTGGGAGAGTGCTGAGCCTTGTGAAAGCGGCGCTATAGGGCTCGAGAGATTTCTCCAGATTCAGTGCATGGGTTAGGTATGATAGGATAGCTGAGCAGTCTGTGTAGGCTACATAGACGCTTGCTTTCCGAGCAGCGAGTGCGTGTTCTTGGGAGTCCGACAGAAACTGGGAATAATCAGAATGCATCCCTGATGGTGACTGGGGTTGACTTACACTGTGCATTTTCAGCAGGTTTGTCGCGCCAAATGTTGGCTGTGAAGCCTCTGCTAGCAACTTCAAATCAACGTTCTGCTGAGGAAGAGCAAGCAGAAGGTGAGAAGCGCGAGCAATATCACGAGGTTCTAGGCATTCCCAGAACCATGTCCGCCATAGGAGGCCATTGTCAATTCTCTCCTGATCCGAAAAGCTCTTGCTCATAGAGAGGGTGGTCGCCCAAACGTGTTCCGCAGTCGAAGTGTTTCCAGATCGGCACTCCATGAGTGCGTATGCGTTATATAGATGTAAGTTTGAGGATCTCTTCTTCAAGAGCGATTTCGCGAATTTCTTGGCTTCTTTGATGTTGCATGCAAATTCTAAAGCGAGTGCATATTCAGCCAGGTCATCCTTTGCGGGATTCGCCTCAACTAAAAGTCGAAGGGCTCTGCGGACCCATTCTGGGTCAACGTCGGACTGCGTGTTCACAGCGGCCTTAACCCATGAGTCGAACAAGGAAAACCAAGTTTTCTGGTTCCCAAAGAGAGTGTCAACCGTCTGGATAAAGTTTGTATGCGGGAAGGATAATGGTGCGGCCGTAGAGTTGTCCGTGTTGGTCTCTCTGGGGAACCAGTCCTCAAGTCCAAGTTCCGCGCTGCTCATGAACTCGTTTCGCAGAAAGTTGTCACCGGCCCAACGCTTTGTTGTCTGCATGTTGCTTGGTGATATTAAGGGGGGGAGGTGGCAGAAGTATAGGAAACTATCAAGCAATACCTCTGCGAGATTCGGTGCAGTTGGATTCCAGAATATCGATAGAACCTCCCAGAGGTCGGAGGGGATGATCACACGATAGGGATCGTCGTCCTCCAGTTCATCCAAACTACGTGCTGGTAGCCGGGCATTCGCAGTCCGTTCTCTTTCGGATGCTATCCATGACCTGAACACTGATTTTCGAGAAATCGGTTGTGTCGTCGAGAGTCCTTTTGGATCCATAGCAGCGCTGCTCCCGCTCTTCCAGCCTTTGGCACCGGGTTCACCGATTCGAGCAACTTCCGATTCCCAAAATTCCATGAATTCCGGCAGCACCTTCTCTCGGTCAGTTTGCAACGTGTACCCTCCCGGTCGGAAGAAGGTCAATTCAAGAATCCCCTGCCAGAGTCCGACTGCATGCTCTGCGAATCCAGACTCCCGCATGAACAGCGTCATGCGTAGGAACAGATAGTTCTGAACATACGCCTTTTCAGGGCCATTAGGACTGGATTGGTTCAGTTTCAGACACTCGATAAAAGTGGCTAAACACCGTTCATAGGTGAAGTCTAAAAATTGTGTTTGGCGAAAGTCGAGATATCTAACCCAGAGGCTGATGAATTGAGAGTTTGCCTTCAGCGTAGTTTGCCATCGCTGCAAAAGCTTCTTGGTGTCCCACAATTTTGCGCCCTCTTCCAGCAGACCTAGTAAGAGACGCTCCCTGCCAGGGTGTTGTCCAATTTGTTTCAGTGCCTTTTCGTATATCGACATTTTGATGTCTGCCAACCCTGTTCGCTCTGCATAGGTTAGAGGACGAGATTCCTCAGCACCAGAAAGAACCGCTGTTTGATGGTCAATTAACCGGAGCCATGCACCGACATCCGTAGGGTTCCCTTGAGTCCTCCGCGTCAGATCCGCATTGGTCTGCTTGATTTCCTCATTCAGATCCACCCTGAACCCTTCGTTCTCGGAGTCCGTATCCGACACTGCTTCCAGGTCGCTGGCGATATGCTCCTCGGGCTTGGCTTTACCGTGTATCGAACGGTATGCGAATTTGTCATCGTCAGAATCCAGTTCCTTTAAATGATCCCTATCCCCTCGATAGGATGAAATGTTGAGAGACAGGTAGTCTTGCTCGTCTGCGGTAGACTCCGAAATCGGCTGTGGTCGCACCCGAAGAAGCTTGCCTTTCTGCTTTCTTAATCCCGAGAGTATATTCTTTGACTTCAGCTTTCCCGAGTCTGCGAATTCGGCGGTCGTCCTAATCACCAATGCGCCTCCCTCCGATGTATCACGATCAATTCTGTGATTTCGGGGGAGACCAAGCACGCCTCCTCGACCAAACCGTCGATATGCCGGCACATTGTATCGATGTATGGTGCCATATATAAGGTTGTATCTGTCGCCTTTGCGATCAATCACGAACAGATCGGTATCCTCATCCTTAGTCTCCTTCACGACGGGTTTAGAATCGGTTCGACTCTCGGATGCGACCTCTCCGCGATGGCTATGCCTCCCGTGAGAATGGCGATGTTCTCTTCGTTCTTTACGATGCTCCCTTGACCTCGACCGATCACGATGGCTTCTACGCCTCGAGGAATGATGCCGGGACCTTTCATCTCGCCGTGCGGACTCGCGACTGCGTTCGGAGGGCCGATCAGTTTCCGGCGGCGGAGGTTGGGGGAATTTAAAGCTGGAAAAACGAGGGACGGGCTTCTTGTCCTGGGAATCCATAAGTGGCTGAAGGTCTGACTGAATTTTGCAAAGACATATACTCACCTGGCCAGAATCCATACTGCCATCGCGGGCAAATCGGAGAGAACGCGGTGATGTCGTTCGCTGGCTGGAAAAACTCCGCTCCGAAGCTCTTTTTGGTTGGAGGAGAAAAAAAAAGTTACTCCGAGCTTCAAATAAATCTTTCCCTAAACAACTAAAACGCCCAATCGCTGCGATATCCTGGATATTTGAGGAATTTTTGTTGCAGAGGGATGGGCGTCTTATACTTACTGTGATAATATAAAAATAATTCCTCACGATGGCTTCCTCCCTCGCCGCCCAGCTGTCGCAAATTGCGGCTAAGTCCACCAACCAGTTGAACCTCAAGGCGCAGAGACTCGCGCATTCGCAATCGCTTATTTTCGACAGGAAGGTCGCTGGCTCGCAAGATTTCGATACCGTCTTCGAAATTTGCTATGAGGGTTTCCAGGAATTATGCCAGTTGGATTCCCGGTATACCAGCTTCGAGCGCACGATTTTCAGCGAGCAGAGCAAGGCGGAGGACCGGACAGAGATGACGGCTGCTCAAAACCAGGAGCTTGATACTGTGATAGAGGCTTTTCTTGCTCTTGTTGGAGGGAGATTATTGCTGAGCCCGGCTGTCAAGGCCGTGGATTGGCTCGTCAGACGATTCCGGTACGATCACAATAGCTCTAGGATGCTCATGCGCAAATTTCTCCCGGCTGGCCGGCTAACACAGGTATAGGATTCATGAATACAACACAGGAGCCGTTATTTTGACCTTCCTTCCCTACCACACCACGCCTCTTTTCCTCAATCTGTTGTCGATCCTTCCGGAGACTCTTCCCCCGACGTTCAAAGTGCTCAATCCTTACAAGAGAGGCATGATCAACCCACCGCGGCATCCTCTCGTGCATAGCGCCACGACAAATAGAGCGTTTCTTACAGACCTGAGCAATTATGTTCTCCAAACGAGCCGGATACGAGCGCATCACCATGCACTTTTGTCATTCTGGGCAGGTATCATGACGGAAGCTGTTGCCGGAATGTTGGACGCTGCACGCTCAGGACGGAGAGGCGTCGAAAAGGAAAAGCATGAGGACATCATTTTGCGGGTGCTCCCGGTGTTAAACGATGCGTTTACCATGAAGGATGTTTCGGAACTGGTCATTGGATGCTACATGGTCACCGTGGTTTTGGCACAGAAAGCTGATTTGCAGGATGAGGTTCTCGATACGCTGATGAATGCGGTTGTCGGCTCGTGGACAAAGGAAACTATAAGCTCCGGTCTTGTCTGCGTAGCCGTGCTTGCGCAGCAGAGGTCCAACACAACCATCCCGAAGAAGGTGTTCAAGGAAATCCTTCGATTGGATAACCCGGTAAAGGAATTGGCAGAGATTAGAACTCAGTATCCGTCGTCCAACCTGTTGCTGGGAGTTGTGGCCAAGTGCGTGGAGGATTTGACCAAGCAAAAGGACTCCGCACGTCTCGATATGCTGTCCGTCATCTTCCAGAATCAGCTTCTCGAAGGGTCCGATATGAGCAAGGGAATGGGGATGGTTCTCCATGCTGCAAGTAATGCCCACAAGGATGGCGCAATGCCCCTCGATATCCAGACTCGTCTTTCCGACATCGTGCAAGTGTTTGGCCAGTCCGAGGCCCTTCAACCGATCTTCCAGCGCGCCATTGCGGAATCTACTCTCGACAAGACCGCTTTGGAGCACAATTTGCAAACGGTCATCGAATCTGCTCCTGAACCCAAGGCAATTGAGGATGTGGAAATGGGAGATGCAGAAGAGGAAGAGCAGGACAACTTCACGCCAGCCCTTGAATCTTTGTCCAAGGAAACCTCCGACGGAGCTTCATTCTTGACTGCTCAATCTGTTCCTCTATTCGATACTCTTGTCCAAACTTTCGCCCTCGCAGCTGGATCCTCGGAGAAACATGATGCTTTCACGAACCTGCCTGTCCTTGACAAATCCAATGCGACAAAGACACCGCGATTCCTCTCGTTCTTCATCAGAGTATTCACGGGCCCGTATCCAATTGGCACCAAGGTTGCTGCTCTGAGCGCAGTCTCGTCCGTCCTCGAGTCGGCGTCTGATTTTGATTGGCAAGGGCTTTTGCCTTTCTTGCTCATCGCACTGGCTGACCCATCCGAAAGGATCCGCCGGGATACTGCTGGTGTTTTGGCTATTGCTAGCGGTGTCTCCAAGAAGGGCAAGAAGGATGACGGCAAAATTTGGGCAAAGGATAGCCTCTATGGCCAGGAAAAATCCAAGAACATCCAATGGATTGCAGGTCGCGATATGCATAAGATCTTCGAACGCGCTTTTCTTCCCGGCTTGGAGGAATATGTCCTCGATCCCGGCCATGTGAACAAGGTGTTGGAGAGCACACTACGCTCTCCTGGCAAAGACACGGGTTCATCCGATCTCAAGAAGCCTGTTCGACTTAACCTTTTCACCTTCCTTTGCTCCCATGCCGTTAACGTCCCGCTGTTGGCACCGAAGGTTGCCCTGCTCAAGCTACTCAACAACATTGACAGAACTGGGGGTACGACCCGTACCAAGGAATTGCAGCCTGTGTTGGGAGCGTGGCGCGACTTGAATGAGACCGATGCCAAACGCATTTGCGAAAAGGAGCGTTTGGCTATCCATGAAGTGGAAGAGCAGATCATCCTGACTGTCACTCCCAAGGAGAAGGATGCTATTACACTTCTCTTGTCCTACGTGACCACCAGATCCGAATCCGCGAGAACTTCGTTGGTTGTCGCCATCTTTAACCGCATGAAGAACATTTGGTCGCGGATCCCCGAAGACCGCCAATTCGAGGCTGCAGAAAAGCTGTTCGAGATCTCTCTTGGGCTGTCAGCAGGCGAAAAGTCTCTTGCCAGCAACTGTAGGGATGTCCTCCGCAGCGTTGAGCTGCCCGGAAGCATCCTTCTCAACTTCTTGCACCAGATTCCTGTCTCTCTTACCGACGTGGAATCACTCGGACCCGCCCCCAAGAGAAGACGCACAAGCCAGAGCAACATGGTCGCAATGACCGTCAAGAACGAAGCAGAACTGAGCAAGCTCATGGACAAGATGACCTTCATCTTGGAACTCGTGGACAGCTCGACTCCTGAGGCTCACCCGGAGTTAACAGACGGCCTGTTCCAGACCCTTGCCGCTCTTCTCCAATTCAAGTCGCAGATTCAGTCTGGAATGAGCTACCTACTCAGCTTGGCACTCGGAAGCCTCCTGGCCATTGTCAACCGCTCGAGACAATCCGGCAAGCCGCAGTTTGACACTTCCGTCATTCGCGCTGACCTAGTCGTCGACTGTGTCCGCACCACCGAGAGTCCCCAGGTTCAGAACTCCGCCCTTCTTCTTGTAGCCGGACTGTCGTCTGTCGCCCCTGAATTAGTCCTCCATAGCGTCATGCCGATTTTCACGTTCATGGGATCCAGCGTCTTGAGAAAGGATGATGAGTACTCAGTTTCCGTGATCGACCAGACGATTGACCAGGTGGTTCCCGCTCTTATCCAGTCGTTGCGGAACCAGAAACGTGATATCGTTTCTGGTACCTCGGAGTTGCTTCTCAGCTTTACTGCTGCCTTTGAGCATATTCCTTCGCATCGTCGTTTGCGTCTGTTCCACGCTCTGATCACCAAGCTTGGTACCCAGGACTTCCTATTCGCTGTTCTGGCTATGCTCGCCAACAGATACGCCGCAGACAAGGATGTTTTGACCTTGATGACTGGTCTGGTGTCAGATGCTACTCCTACGGTTGAGCTTACCACGTACAGCAAATACTTGAACTTGGTCACCGACTCTCTCTCCTCCAAGCCCAGCATCTCCCAGGTCCTTCTCGGTATCGGCAGTGATGACGGCCGTGAACCACCAAAGGTTGCAGTCGACTTGCTGCGCGACTTGTCCCACCTCTTCAAGCACTCTTCCCTCAAGGTCAAGATGGCCAAGGCTTTCGCATCGGAGGAAGACGACGCCCCTGCACAAATCCGCGCTCTGTTCTCGCGCATCCTGGAGCAGACCCTGTCCATCGGCGATTCCGCACAGAACATGAAGCCAGTCAGCCTGGCTGGCGGCGACGTCTTGGGTGCCCTCTTCGGTACCCTTTCCCTCATCGACTTCCTGGATACCATCGAAGTCCTTCTCGAGCGCCCCAGCGACGACCTCCGCCGCAAGGTCCTGCAGCTTTTGGAGGGTCGTCTGCGCCAGAACCCCGAGCGCGACGGTGCTTCGCAAACCCGGATGCTCGACTTCTTGCCCACATTGGTCCGGATTATCCAGTCGTCGCCTGATATCCTGCTCAAGCACGCTGCTGTTTCGTGCGTTGACCGCATTACCGACAAGTACGGCCGCAAGGATCCCTCGAAGGTTGTCGACGCCGCACGGGTCGTTGCTAGTGGAGCATGCATTGGTCAGAAAGACGACCGGATTCGCATCATGGGTGTCTTGTGTCTTGCGTCGATGGCTGAGGTGCTTGGTGAGGCTATGATCCCAGCACTTCCCGAGACGCTCACTCGCTCGTTGGCGTTGCTCGAGATCAGTTTAGAAGAGGGCAAGGAGAACCTTAGGTTGCATGACGCAGTTTTCTCACTGTTCTCGGCACTCTTTGTTCACCTTCCATTCATGGTCTCCGCTTCTCACCTCGACAAGGTCCTTCTGCTCTCCTTCAAGTCTGCTGAAGCCGGTATCGAGGAGAGCAGCGACGAGAGTCGCCAAGAAGCGCTTCGTTTGATGTCCAGAAAGGTCGACGTCGCCGCTACATTCGGCGTAATGGACCGCAACTGGTCTGCAGCCGTGGCCGCCGGCCCCGACGCTACCCGCGAAACCCTTGAATCTCTCAGCCTCGCCATTGAAAAGCACCCTAAGTCCTCTATCATGAAGAACCTCCCTATCCTCTCCAACGTCCTTTTCAAGGTCTTCGACCTCCGGCGCGAACAACTCGCCTCCGGCTCCAAGTCCTCCTTCGACCTGTCGGATCTCGACGAGATCGAGGAACTTCTGAACGAACTTACGATCAAGATGATCTACAAGCTCAACGACACCAGTTTCCGGCCTATGTTTACGAAGCTGCTGGAATGGGCCACGGCTGGGTTGTCGAAGAAGGATGCGCAGGGTAATCTGGCACGGTTGACTACATTCTACAAATTCTTGCAGGTCTTCTTTGGGTCGTTGCAGTCTATTGTTACTGGCTACGCGAGCTACATTATCGAGAATATCGTCACTGTCTTGCAAACAGCCAAGCCAACGGACAAGAACTCCAAGCCTCTTTGGTTGGCAACCATGCGCATGCTCCAGCATGCCTTCGAGCATGACCAAGACGGTAAGTCTCTCCCCAACATAATTCATTAAAACACTGTTACTGACGAAAGCAGAATTCTGGCAATCCCCCTCGCACCTCAACCAAATAATCACCCCCCTGCTCTCCCAACTCTCGCACGCAACAACTCCCTCCACGGCAACCGTGATCAACACCGAAGCCATCCCCGCCATAACCGAGCTAGCCACCGCCGCCGACTCCACCGACAACCACAAAGAAATCAACACCATCCTCATGCAATATCTGCGTCCCTCCTCGGCTCTGAGTAACAAGAAGAAGGCCGGCGGCGACAACCCGCATACGCGTGTTGCGGCGCTGAAGGCTGAACAGGCGCTTACGGAGGCGCTGGGAGAGGAGTGGTTGGCGCTGTTGCCGGAGATGCTGCCATATATTAGTGAGTTAATGGAGGACGAGGATGAGGAGGTTGAGAGGGAGGTGAGGAAGTGGGTTAAGCAGATTGAGAGCGTGTTAGGGGAGAAGTTGGATGATATGTTGACTTAGCCTTCTTTATTGGTTTTTGAAAAAGGATTGGCGTTATGTATTTGAAAAATGGTTTGGGTTTGTATAGAATTTCATTTATTGTTCATATGCATGATATATATGTTTGTCCTTCGTTTCAGTTCATGACTTGGCATCATAACCATAAACCATATAATACAGTCATCACACATCACAACCCCTGACATACTTATTCAGGAATCTTATGCTCCTCAACACCCGCATCCCACCGATACTTCGAAGCAGGATGATCAGCCGGCGGCCCAGACTGTCCCTTCTTGCTATATACATTCTCCCGATACGTTCCCTTGGGCACGGCGTAGTCATCGTGGAAGAGACCTCTCCGACGGAGTTCAGGGAGGAGCAGGTCGATGACGTCCTTGAATGTACCAGGTTTGACGGCGTAGGCCTGTCATACGTCAGCAAGGATCGATCTTGGTGTGATGGGGGCAGGGGCAGGGGCAGGGTCTTACAATGTTGAAACCATCAACGTCAGCCTCATCAACCCATTTCTCCATTTGGTCTGCGACTTGCTGTGGTGTGCCGACGGCTGTTGCGCCGAGACCACCGACGGTGATGTGCTCGCCGACTGTCTTCTTTGTCCATTTGGGGACTTCGGGGGTGGCCTTGGACCAGCCTTCGACGGCGGACCTGAATCATCGACCTTAGTATCATCCTAATCAAGTTCAAAGGGGGTGGGGAAGACATACCGAATAGCATTACTCTCGACTGTCCGCAGCTCCTCATCCTCACCATACGTATCGAGATCAATCCCAGTCCACCCACCAAACAGCGCCAACGCACCATCAATAGACCCTAAACTCCTAAAATAGGCAAACTTCTCCTTCGCCTCCTCCTCTGTCTTTCCGAGAATCGGACACAGTAGCGCCAAAAATTTAATACTCTGTGGATCTCTCCCAAACTGCGTCTTTGCCATCTCCCGAATCTCCGCAATATTCTTCTTCACCACAGACGGGCTATGTCCACCAACAAAGATGGCTTCAGCATGCTGCGCAGCGAACGTCTTGCCTGCCTTCGATGTACCAGCTTGCAGTATTAGAGGCGTGCGCTGGGGAGACGGCTGGCAAAGGTGCGGGCCGGGGACTTCGAAGTATTTGCCTTGGTGGTTAATTTGGCGGATGCGGGAGGGTTCGGCGTAGACGCCGCGCTGGCGGTCGAGGACGACAGCGTCAGAGCGCCAGGAGGATTCCCAAAGCTTGTAGGCTACTTTAATGTATTCTTCGGCGACGGCATAGCGGTCGTCGTGCTAGTTTGCATTAGCAGAAGGATCAGGACATGTGATGAACGGACTTACGTTGGGTTGATGGGCGTAGCCCATGTTGCGGGCTGCGGAGTCGAGGTATCCGGTGACGACCTTTGTTGTTAGCTTGGGTCTTTAATGCTTGGGGAGGGCACGCACATTCCATCCGACACGACCTTTGGTGAGGTGGTCGACTGTCGATAGCCGACGAGCAAGGTGGTATGGAGGTTCATATGTTGTTGTGACAGTGACACCGAAGCCAATGTTCTGAGTGGCAGCAGCCATGGCCGGGACGACAGCCAATGGCTCATTGACAGGCCATTGAGCACCGGAGACAATAGCGGGCTCAAGGTTCCTAGGGCCCTTGTAGACATCATAGCCGCCTGCGTCATTAGCAAAGCATATACAGGTATAGGACGGGGAGGGAAGGCTACCTAGGACATCGGCAATGAAAATGCCATGGAATTTAGCCGATTCGAGCAGTTTGGCTAGTTCAACCCAGTGGTCGACATCATTAAACCGCCACGACTCATCCTCGGGATGTTGCCAGAGCCCGGGGGACTGGTGGCCACTGCACATTTCCACAAAGGCATTGAGGATGAGCGACTTACGCCCATTGGCGGGAGTCTCGTTTGCAGTCATGATTTACTGTGATTGAAAATTGTGAAAGGGAATTGCGTGATAGACGGTGTAAAGGCGCAGACGGCGGTTGTTATATAGTATAGCCGGCCCAAAGGATGTTCAATTAGCACGCGGATTGGGAAGAAACTCCCCGGAAGGTCGACTCTTGTTATGTACTCTGAGTAGGTTGTCTCGGCCGTGTCGCATTTTTCTGATGTCAGGCCAAGTCTATGGAGGCCGATTATGGCGGTTGTTGGTGTCGTCTGTATAGCACAAAAGTGGGCCGTGATGACGCGATATGGAAGCGAGATGATCGTGCGGAGGAGAATTGGAGAGCCAGTCCAGTTAGAGAGGCTTATTTCTAATCGTAGATCTTTTGAGCTTGAAAGGAAGCAATGCAAATAAAAAGGTTTAAGCATGGTGATATTATGGTCGGGTTGCGTGCTATAATAGTACACTCCGAGGTGTCTCCGGTATACAGAGTCCTCTCGGTAACTCTACAGAGTACTGGGAACACTTTGAATTAAAGTATATAATAGAAACCCACACGTCAAGACCATGCATCATCACGCAATACTCCATGCATTCCTACAAATCCTCCCCGTCTGTGCGGTTCAGCTCAGGCCAGGAACCGTGGATACGGTCCCTTAACCGTCCACCCGAGACTCAATACTAGCACTCATGTTCCGTAAATCACATAGCTCCATTTCCCTAGTGAGCACCTCATATGCACTATCCATTATACCACTGTGGAGCCCGAAGAGGAATCACGCGGCGTAGAGTTCGATCATGCCCTATTTGCGGCTGTTGGAGATGGACGCCCGTGGCTAGGTAAGCCCTCGTCGCGGATCTTCTGCCTGCAGGAAATCATTTAAGGATAAGCATCTGGACGAACTCTGCTGTATTTTGTTTCTCTGTGTTGAAGTGTTGGCCGACTGCAGTCTACAAGCGACAAGACAATGACGGGTCTACAAGCACGCGATGGAGGTGCTACTATCCAGCCGCCGCTGCCTCAGGCGGCTGGTTATGTGGTTGTTGTTGTGCTAGGATTGGTGGTAGCACTTGGTATGCTGCCCGACTTGGATAGGATGGATTGATGCTGACAGAGCAGTCATGATGTACGTGACAAAAATATTGAAGAACACGACCGGAGAGGACACGAAAAAGACGGAAATGTATGTCTCGATACCACATGGCTCGGGATTCCGACACTAACTGGCCAGGTTCATGACGGCAAACCGAACAGTCCGGACCGGTTTGACCGCATCTGCTGTGATTTCGGTGTGTCCCTCCCCTCCCTCCGGCCGCGAACAGCACTAACCCGCACAGTCATGGCTCTGGACAACAGCTATCCTAGGGTCCTGCTTCACAGGCTACGACTACGGCGTATCAGGACCATTCTGGTTCGCTGCCGGATGCAGTCCCATGATCGTCTTCTTCGCTCTGCTGGGTATCTCCTGCAAGAGAAAGATTCCTGAAGCTCATACTTCTCTGGAACTTGTTCGGATCCGATATGGTGAGCCCTTTTTTGTCTGGATTACTTTAGATGTAGCTGTTAATGAAGAGTCTTGTAGGGAAAATCGCCCACGCTGTCTTCATGGTCCTCTGCCTCGTCAACAATATCTTTGCTAGTGCCAACATGCTCCTCGGTGCTGCCGCGGTCATTGCAGCTGTCTCGGGGATGCACATTATTGCAGCGACATTCCTGATTCCCGTTGGTGTGACGGTGTATACCTTTGTCGGCGGTATCAAGGCTACGTGAGTTCCCTCCCTATCGATTATCGATCATGGGACCGTGGGCTAATAGATGACAGCTTCCTTACCGACTACTTCCACACGGTCATCATCCTGGCCATCTGCTGCTACTTCAGCATCAAGGGATTCCAGAACGACCATGTAGGCTCTGTTGGCGAGTTGTTCGATCTCATCCAGAAGGCTGGGCAGGCGCATCCTGTGTCAGGAAATTCGAATGGCTCGTACTTGACCATGACTTCTAAGAGTGTACGTCCTACCCTTATATACCCTACTCGTGTTTCCATACTAACGAACCAGGGTATCCTCTTCGGCATCCTCCACACATGCTCCAACTTCGGCCTCGTCATCGTAAGTCTTCACCACCTCCACAACGCACCCCATGCTAACAAACCAGATGGACACATCCTATTTCATTAAATCCTTCTCCGCCACTCCCCGCTCCGTCGTCCCCGGCTACACAATCGGCGGCATCCTCTACTTCGCCATTCCCTGGGCCCTCGGCACAGTAATGTCCTCGCTAGCCATCGGCCTCGAATCCCACCCCTCCTTCCCAACCTACCCCCGCCGCATGACATCCTCCGAAGTCAGCGGCGGACTGGTCCTGCCATATGCTGCGATCGCGATTGCGGGTAAAGGTGGCGCGACGGCTGTACTCCTTATGACATTCATGGCTGTTACGTCGACGTTGAGTGCGCAGGTTATTGCCGTGAGCTCGATTTTGAGTTTTGATGTTTACCGGTTGTATTTCAAGAAGGGGGCTAGTGATCGGGATATCATTCGGGCTAGTCACCTAGGGGTTATTTTCTTTGCGGCGTTTGCGGCAGGGTTTAGTACCATGTTGCACTATGTAGGGATTGATCTTGGTTGGACGCTATACATGCTTGGTAGGCCCTCCCCTCCCCTACCCTCAGCCTCATGAGAGTGCTAAAAAGAACAGGAGTGGTAACATGCCCGGGCGTCTTCCCAATGGTCTTCACCGTCCTCTGGAAACACCAATCCAAAGCCGCCGCCATCCTCTCTCCGATCCTCGGCATCGCAACCGGAATCGCCGTTTGGCTCGGCACAGCACACCACTTCTACGGCTCCGTGTCCGTCTCCGCGACAGGCGGACTACTCCCCTGCGTCTATGGAACCGTTGCGTCTGCGTTCTCACCGATCCTCTACTCGGTTGTTATCACGCTGTTTAAGCCGCAGAACTACGACTGGAGTAACTTCCGGCAGGAGAGACTTGCGTTGGAGAAGGTGGAGGGTGACTTGACGACTGTGCACAAGGATGGACATGGGCAGGATGTTAATGACTCGTCGTCTGTGGCACAGGATCAGGAATATAGACCTGGCCCTGAGGTCGAGCAGCACCGGAATGAGGAAGACGGAGCGCAGCCCGCGCCGCAGGCTAGCAAAGCCAAAGAACTGAAGAGATGGACAAGAATTGCCGCATTCTGGTCCGCTGCCACGTTCTTGGGACACTGGGTTATCTGGCCGTTGCCGATGTACGGTTCAAGATACGTTTTCGAGAAGAAGGTACGCTTTACCCCCCTTTCCCCTTTATACCCTTATTCACAACTCCCAAAGCCAAAACACATACTAATAAATGCGTGCAGTTTTATTATGCCTGGGTTATCGTCGCCATAATCTGGCTGTGGATCACCATGCTGGTAACAACCTTCTACCCGATCCTCGATGGCGGATGGCAGCAGATCCGCGACGTGTACAACGGGTGGAAGAACAATAAGCGCGCGGCGGGATCGATTGAGGGAACTGTGCCGGGTAGTCCGCCGAGTCCGGAGGAGGTGGAGGTTGAGGGAAAGGAAACTAAATGATTTTTTTTATAGAATGGGGATGAGGGGAGGTGTGGTGAAAGTATGGTATGTAATGGGGATATATATGGATCTGTTATGAGGAATGGCTGTTTGTTTTTTGCGGTATACCCCTGATATGTATCTGGAAAAGGCGTGTTAGGATTGTGATGGATATAGCTATTATGATAGTGTTTAATGTTAAATACGCCATAGTTAACTATGCTAGTGCGTGTTCGATGATAGTGATCTACTCAACTATTTCCTATAGTTAGAACTTCCTGTAGTTGATCTGTGACATGATCGACCGGACTATTTTGATAAGCTTGATGTCAGTCAGTTGTCTCCGGTAGATCCCGATGTGTTTAGGATGATAATCGCTCAGTGTCCAAATGAAGCATCCGTGGTGTCATTCAATGGTAGCAATATATACAGAAAACGCACTTTTTATACAAGGGTATATAACCATCCAATGCGATCAATCCAACTCCAATGCAATGCAAGGCAACAGACCAGACAAAATCAAACGCAAACATCCCTCCTCTCCTGCCCGGCAGCAACTCTAGGCCTATAACTCCCGTACGCTGGCGGCGCAACAGCCAACCCAGTAACATCTCTCGGCGTAAAAAAGGCCTCCATATCCACATCCTCCTCCATCTCCGAAACACTGTCCCCCGCATTCTTCGGGGGCATGTCGCGCGGCGCCATAGTCACCTGGACCGGTACTTTCAGGGATACAGTCGACCCTAGCAGGCACGAGGTATGAGGTGTGTGGTAGGAGATGGATAGGTCGAGGGAGTAGGTTCGCGAGAGGAGGCAGGAGTGGAAGGTTGGGACGAGGGTTTTGGTGGCGGGGGGCGTTATGGGGATGATTAGGGAGGCTGTGTAGTATGACTCGCTTGTCGAAGAAGCCGTCGAGGCGGAGGAGGTTGATGTGGACGAGGAAGAGAACGAGTCCTGACGGGAATGTTTTGTCCACGACGCAGACGCAACACATCTCGTCGACAATGGCACATTCTCGATATACACACCGCAGCCAAGTTGAGCCCACGAACTCGCCCTCGTTCCAGCAGGAAAGTCGCTCCAGGGCTGCGCACTGAAGAACGTCGACGACGTGACTTTCGTCCACACAGTCCCAAGCGCCGGCGGTACTTCATCCTCAGTCACAGGATCGAACCGGAGATCCAGCGTCGCTACCGAGTTCACACTTTCATTGCCGCCACTATTCGAAACGATAGGTCTTGGCTGCGAGGTCGAAACGACGAGACGTCCGCGCTTCGCTCTCGTCCATCCCCGCCGGAGATCCTTTTCTTTCCGTACGCAGTACCCGTCAACTTCATCGTCGGGAATGCTAAGGGGTGGCTGTTCCTCGACGACAGGCATAACGCGGACTTTGTGCCTCTCTGAGCCGAGGACCTTTCTCTTCCCACTACCTTCCTTCTTCACAACCGCAGTTTTGATGAAATACGCAACGCGACACATATCTGGACACATGTCGTCGACCAACACATTCTTCCCCTTCTGTAGTGTAACCATGGTGTCGCCCAGCGTCGGCGGAAGAAGTGTATGCGCGTGCTCCAGGTGCCCATGGTTCTTCGGATGGTTGCATGCTTGCGGGAGTAGGCGGTCGGGAACGACAAAGGTAAACGGAAAGACGTAGGTATTTCCTGGCTGCAGGATGCGAGGGGATGGGTAGTGGTCGATTGGTTGGCGGAGTTTGAGGAAGGTCTGGTAGGCGCCGCTTTGGCCGGGGACGGAGGCGCGTTCGACTGTTGTTCTGGACGTGCCTTTATCCATTAGCTTGGTATGCACAGGGGCGGTATGGGACGGACGTACCCTCGAATGTTATGTCGAGATGGTCAAACGGAATATCATGGTCGACCGTGACAGTCGCGGTGCCGTCGATGCGGTCCCCGGTGGTGTATGTGTTGACGAGGTTCGGTTGTTGGTTTTTCAGGGAAATTTGGATTTTGGGACGACGGCGGAGGTCGAGGTTCACCATCCTGATCAATTGCAGACTGCACTTGCGTGGCTATTCTGTACAATGGTCGTTCTTGCAGGGAGGGCTTGTATATATACGGATTCCGATATAGAACTCCGAGAATAGACGAGGCCCACTTGGTACGGGTAGGTATGGGTACGGGTAGAGATGAAGAGTACGGAGTAGGAGAATAAAACCTTCAAATAACTCAATCGATAGAAACAAGAATGCCAGCCTATATACCCAGGTGCTCGTCCTATGTCCCATGCTCATACCGGACAAAGCACGCCCTGTGACATACCGTGAGGTTAACTTCAGGATCCTCCTGATCGACGTTTCTTCGTCAGCAACCCATAGTACAACCAAGTAACCTCCCACTCATAGCGCATTTTTGGACCCGTGGGGTCAATGCAGCGGCTTTTTTCACGCCCTGTCGATGACTGATGATTCGCGCCCTGCCACTCTGTTGTTGACTCGCCGCTGGACCGACGCTGGTTTTCAGGCGCAGATCATGAACATCGTCCCATTGGTACTGCGCGAGCTGGTACTTGTATGCTATGCACTCTGCATTGGTTCTGGCGGCGGTTGTGGTGTGGCCCGATGTTCTCTACATAGCATTCTCGGGACTACGACAATAGCCGATTGTATCCCCCGATCCAGAATTTTCCGCCCGTAGCCGGCTCGGTCTGGCTGGAATTATGTGAAAATTTTGACGGCGATCACGTTATGTCCGCGCATTACCTGTATGGGACCATTCTGACACAGGGGTGAAAAAGCAAGGATGCTATTGATCACTATCGATAGACTAGTCACTATGATACGTAGACTGCTCGGTATTTGTGTATGTATCGACGGATAAATTACGATCGAATCCGTGGTGCTCGGACTAAATCGTACTCAAAGATCGTCGGGTTCTTCTCGTCTCATACCTGGCACTTATAGAAAGTACAGGCATCCAGCTCTAGATCTTCCAACAGACACAGAAGACCGAGCGAGGCAAGAGACTGCTTTACTCAGAACATAACAGAGGACACGTTGAAAATATTAAATGTATTACTGTACGGGTATCTACTAGTATGCCACCCGCGTTCGCATGTCCTGTTCTCGTTAGCTTTGTCTTCTGTGCTTTTACTTGGGGAGGGCATGCTCACCGATATCTTCCGCTCAATCTCCCTCACCGACCGATCCAGTTCCCCCGCTATCATCATCTTCATGTCATTAGGCAATAAGAAATATCGCTCGCACAGGTCTCCATCAATAACGCCCTTCGCCGGCGCGTAGTAGCTCCGGTAGATCAGGTGGTCTCGTCCCGCCAGCGGTGCATCCTGCGCTGCCAGCTGCATCTCCAGACTCTGGAAGAAATCAACGTCCTCCCGGCTGATGAACGGCACCAACATCCCGACCGTTCCCTGGAACCCGGTCCATACCAGAATGTCCCGGCCACCAGCCACCAGCTGCGAGCGCTGCAGGCTGGTCGGGATGTCTTGGCTGTACACGTGCATCATCAGCTCCAATCGGTTGGCTGTTCCATGCAGGTACCCGCGCTCGTGTAGCAGATGCGCCCCGGATCCGTCTTCGTCTGATTCGTCTGACGTCTTCTTGGGACACCGCACCAGCCAAATGTTGCCGAACTTGTCACCGCCTGCTGTCGTCTCGTAGTCCACCATGGTTGTTGTCGTGGTCCATCGTGGCACCGAGTCATCCACAAACGGAATGAGAACGTTCTCCTGGTACTTGTACACAACGTACGTTACACTCTCGCGAACGTCGCTGACTACAATGCGGCTTCCTTGGGTCTGCAGATCGACAATCATCCTCGGAACAACCGGCGCCTGACACTTTCGGAGCAATTGCTTCATGCCAAGATCGTATATCCGCAGAATCGGGCCGATACCCGCAGCCAGACGGCCTTGGAATGAAAGGAGCGCCAGCGGCGGCTCCTCAACCTTGGTCTTGTGGATGAACTCGAGCTCGCGCCCATCCTCTTGGAATCGGTAGATATGGATGTAGCCACCAGACGATGACGGCGGGCTGACCGTCATGTCCTTAGCAGTACCCACCACAAGGAACGTTTCATCGTCTTGGCTTGTGAATGGCACCGCGGCAATACTAACAGCAGCTTCGTTCTCCTCGAAGTCGATACTCGAGATCACAGACTTGGTTACCACGGGGTCGACCACTTGGACGCATGATGCCCAGTGTCCCGTGCCACGGGGGTGTCCAAAATCTTCCGGCGGGGGCACCGACACATCGCCATCACGCGACTGGGCGTCTTCCACCAACCGTTGCTTGGTCCCCGGCGCCAGTGTGTTGTTATCCGATTCGATCACGTAGAACAACGGTTGCTCAGGATGCTTCAAGAAACGTCTGGGGGTGTATGTGAGAGGAATCGACTCTTGCAGCATGTTGTTGTCTAGGCGTTCGATGGAGAAGATTCTGTTTGCGATTAGCATTCATCGGAACAAATCATTCGTGAACATTTAATTGTGAAATTGATCTCAGCAGGAACAATTGGAGATTAAAAGGCTATAAAAATCCACATGGGCCTTTCGGAAAATTTTTTTCATCATTGATCGATGGAGGGCAAGGAGAGGTGTAAAAAAAAAAGTAAAAGAAACATACCGTAAGTTCTGGCCTTGAATGCCGACCATTCCCTCAATACACTGCTCGCTGGAAAAGTTCCATCCCCACTCAAGACCAGTGTAGTCCAAAGGAGTGAGCATAAAACCCTTCGTTTGGATATCGGAATACCCGAGCCATGGTCGGGAGCTCAAAGCCAGTACAGCTGTCTGGCCCTTGACAGAAACGCGAAACAGCTTAACCGGCTTGACACCAAGGAATCGTGTCCGAGTGTCAGAAAGCTCTCCCGTCACCTCGTCCAGGACAGTACGAAGGTAGACACCAGAGTACAGACCAATATGCAGATAGAGAGTAGTACCCCCCGAGCTCGAGTCAGCCATGGACATGATGTTCAATGAAGACGGGGCGGAAGTCAACGCCTGCACGGACTTGTTCTCCAATGTCGAGTCAGGGTCCAAACTCAAGATGCGAACTGTCGAGTCGTCACACCCGACAGCCAAGAACGAGCTGCGAACACGACCCTCGGGAACCTCGCCCAAACTGAGAGCCGTGACAGTACCTGACATTTGTCGTCTCTCGTCGTATTCAGCGAGAGTTCCATCGACATCCATCTCAAAGTAGACAATCTCGCCGGAACTCAACGCCACAGCGACCTGGCGCTCATTGGTCGCGGCCGCCACAATCGACCGATGCTGCGGGGCAGGCCATTCGTTTACCCGTCGGTCCACAAGAATGTGACGAATACCACGGGGGTGGATCTGGATCAACGAGTCCTCACCAAGCTGCTGAACCGCCAGCGTAGGCGCCGTGGAAAGGAACCCGGTATCCGTAACTTCCTCCACGGTTTCACCAATACTCAGAACGAGTGTACCGTTAGCGAATGAGAGAATAATGTACGCATCGAACTCATCCGTTCGAGTAAGCTTTGTCGTCCAAACAGCCGATGGAACGCTAGGGAGCTCTGACTCGACAATCTCCGAAACTTCCAGTCCATGCTTGAGTGTTCTGAAGCTGCTATGTGCTCCAGTTCCGCACACCGCGAAGATCTGTGGTGCGTCATCCTCGAACATGTTGATGACTTTGCTGTCGATCAATGGATTCAAAGAGTTGATAGAATCCACAAGATTGAGATTCTCCGCACCCCTGAGGTTGAAGTAGACTGGCTCATACGGAAGGCTGGGATCTGCTGAGAACGAGTCACTGGTAAACTCTGTCTCCTCATCATCATCACCCAATTTTTCGAACTGGTAGAATTGGTGGTTTCCGGATTCGCTAGCAACGTAAAGGAAGCCGCTCTTGAGGATCAACAGATGAGACGCAAGCGGAACGGTGTCAAAGTACTTGATTCTCAACCTTCTCACCTCGCCAGTGAGCTGACCATTGTCATCTTCCACCATGTCGATTGTGACCTTGAAAAGATCGCCGTCATCGGACTGCAAAAGGAAGAAGAACGCGCCTCTCATTTTGTGCATCACACCAGCCGATATCGTACGCTTGCGCTCTGGGTTTTCCGTAGGGCCAGACCGACGGGGGATGGGAACCCTGAACGCATCCTGGTTCGAGTGTCGATAGGTAATGTTATCCTCTCCACATACCAGCACACCACTGGGACCATCTGCCCCTCCGGGCACCTGGAAGAGCATGCTCGCCGTCCGGTCAACCGGGTCCGCCCACTTGCGAACAACATGATTGAGACCCAGATCGAGCTCGTAGTATACTAAGGACTTTTCAGCCTCTTCGTATGCCTGGCCTGTTGGATCCTGATCCGACTCGCCATACTCCATCTCCAGAGCCGCAAAGACGGGGTTTTCATACCCGACGTCTAATGCCACCATCGCGAAGACCAACGTTTGTGGCTTGTGGGCTTCGAGTGGTGAGGAAATCGTCAGCTCGGCCTGCGAGTTCCGATTCAACACATAGACCAGCTTGTTCTTCTCCACGGAAGCGATCATGCACGCTCTACCCTTCGGATCGGCCACCAGGTACTGACCCGGAACCACACGCCGGACGCCCGACTTGCCAAAGGTCTCGAGATGAATCCGGCTAAATCGATTCTGCGAAGGCACATATTCAATGATCGTGATGCGGCCCGAATCAGAGCCAATGATGATATAATCTATAAGCATCATGTTTGTTCAGCACACGTTCAACGACCAAGGGCACCCAGTGTCAACGTCGCCGACCGGAGCACGTCCCACATTTTTCCCGGAGAAGGGAGAAGCGCGGTTCGCTAGACGGGGATCGTGATGCCCGCGGAAGCTTGACGAATCACTAAGTTGCTCTTTTGAAATTTTGGGGGGAAAGTGAGAGAGTGTGACGAATACATACCTTTAGAGCTTCCGGCCAATCGGAACGCAGCCAAGGTCCGAATAATGCCAAAGACATCCTGAGTGTAAAGCGGAGTGATCTTGCCCTGTGTAGGGTCGGGACGGTGAATCGTCAACTTCGAGCCCGAAGCCGTGACAATCTGCTGCTCCTTAGTCCCAGCAAACTGGCCAAGAATGGCTTGAGTGATCGCAGTCGGAGGCTGGATCGTCAAAGAATACATAAACATATGCGACGTGGTAGCCATGATGGGTGATGTGGAAGCTCGGAGCTTCTTGTTGTCTTCTCTCAATCCTGAACAACACCAGACGCGGTAGGTTACGACGCGATTGCAGTCAAAATCGACACTAGAATGAAATCAATCCCATTGCTGCCGGCAAATGAGACAGGGAAGAGGACTCTCAGGACCGAGTAGTCCTCACAAAAAATAATGGGGGGAAGGGTGGTAGGTGAGGAAGCAAAGGACAGAATCAAATTGAGGTGGAAAATTCGGGAGCTGTGCGAGTTGGTGGGTTTGCACCGTTTGCACCAAACTGCACTAATGGCCACTGCGCCCACCGCAAAGGCGGACGATGGGATTCTGCCACCTTCTGTAGATGACTGGATGAGAGAAACCGGGGAACAGCGTCATTCCTCCTTCTCACATCGACCGATTGTCAATCTGTGGATACTGCTATCTCTACTTTGTTCTCTTCAAGACATTATTATTCTCATCTAAATCTCACTTTGCTCGCAGTCTATCGCCTACCCCACTGACCTCGCCCCGCATCATGGCTGATGACAGCGCAACCGCAGACGAGACGCCCGTCACTTTCCACATCAAGGCTTCTGAAGCTAAATACACACTCACTCTCCCTCTCTCGACACTAGTTTCTCAGTTGAAAGAAAAGCTGTCAACTTCAGAATATGCGGATACCCCGGCGGATCGTCAGCGCTTAATCTATTCCGGCCGAGTGCTCAAGGACAATGAGACACTGGCCACCTACAAGATCAAGGAAGGCCACACTGTTCACATGGTGAAGAGCGCAGCCAGTAACCAACGCCAAAACCCTCCCGCACCAAGCGCGTCAACATCTGCGCCAACTGATGCTGCTGCTGCGTCGACTGCTGCTGGTGTTCCCACAAATCTCGCAGCTGGTACAGGAAACAATCCTCTGGCCGGCTTAACAGGCGCTAGATATGCTGGCTTTGCACAATTGCCTGGTGCTGGGATGTTTGGCCCTGATGGCGGGGTGTGTCTTCACTGATATTCTTTGATGATAGTCTATATGCTAACCACTGTCAACAGATGGGCCCTCCTCCGGATGAAGACAGCATGCTTAACATGCTCGAAAACCCCCAGGTCCAGTCCTCCCTCAACGAAGCCCTTCAAAACCCTGCAATGATCGATATGATGATTCAGCAAAATCCCATGCTACGTGATATGGGTCCTGGTGCTCGCCAGATGATGCAGAGTCCCGAATTCCGCCGCATGTTAACCGATCCGGGATCAATTCGTCAGATGATGCAGATGCAGAGATCGCTTGGACTTGGCAGACCCGGCGGTGGTGGTGGCGCGTTCCCCGCTCCAGGTGTCACCAACACAACGCCGGAAGAGAACCGGGGACCCGAAGGCACACAGAACAACGGTGCTGCGCCTCCGCCTGCTTTCAACCCCTTCATGCCCGCCGGTCTGGGTGCAGGAAATCCTTTTGCGGCTCTCTTTGGCGGTAATCCAAACATGGGCGCGAACCCTTCTGCGGGAGCGACGACAGCAGGCGGTGACCGGCCGGCGTCTGATCAGGGAGCAACAGAAAGTGCCTCTGCGGGTGACACCACTACCGGAGAAGGACAGAACCAACAGAACGCACAGAACCCGTTCAGTCTCCTGAACCCAGCCATGTTTGGAGGAGTGCAAGGCCAGGGTGGCATTAACCCATTTAACCCCCAACAGAATCCTTTCCTTCGAGATCCAGCTATGATGTCGCAGATGATGCAAGCAATGGGAGGACAAGGAGGACAAGGAGGGGCCGGTGGCCCGGACCTCAATTCCTTGGCGGCTCTATTGGGAGGCGGCGGGTTCGGTGGTGCTGCTGCTGCTGCACCCCCGGACAACCGGCCACCTGAGGAGCGATATGAGCAACAGCTTCATCAACTGAATGAGATGGGTTTCTTTGAATTTGAGAGAAACGTGGAGGCCCTGCGCCGCGCAGGTGGAAGCGTCCAGGGAGCTGTGGAATATTTGTTGAGCAACCCTTCGTAAGCGTACTGTGATTCCCTTCATGCTGCATCTTATTACCTCAGTTTGGCGGTGTTATTTCTATTACCCTTCCTGTGAACTAGTTGAGTTGGTGTTTTCCCCCCGTCTGTACTCCTCGATTAATGAGGTAGTTGAGAACAATAGCAATTGTGTACGAATAATACTACACTTTCCATACATTTTTGTGCACTGTAGACTGCCCTAAAGTCAATACTCAACCTGAGACTGGAATGGGCCTATCCGAACCCGCAAGCGGAAGATATATTTAACAACAAGCCGCATTCTGCTTCTTTTCTTTTTACAACTACTTTAGGATACTCCGTTGGTCGTATATCCTACATTTCTAGGCACTCGGTTGCCGATTCCACTCGTTCTGGATGTGTTAATCGGATTGTCGCATTCTGGACCCGGTGCGATCGGCATTTCTTCGACTGTGCTTCGACAATCATTCTCCGTTGATCTTGATCTTGGTCCATTTTTTTCTCATTGAATTAAGAGCTCTTTTCTCAATAAACCCGACTATATTGCACTATATCAGACCTATAGCTATCTCCAATCAATGGTGCAGCTCCCTGAGAAGGCCGCGTACTGATCGTCCTTGTCTCGGATTCCGCCACGTCGAACCAACTTCGTCATTGCAAACCACCCATCCGCGCATGAGTGTTTCTTTCTGTAGCGTGGGTAGACTCTTCCCCCTTCCGCTACATACATGATGGCGTTGAGATGCTTCCTGCATCCTTGGCAGTGGATGCTGTGGCTGCTGCTTGTCTCTTACTGCCGCGCATTCTACATCCCCGGTAAGCTTACCTCGCCCTGCACCAGTCGTATCGCGGCACCACTCGACTAACGACGTCTTTTTCTGTGCTGTAGGCTACTCGATTAATCGGTATAACGACGGCGACAGCATTCCACTCCTCGTGAACAAGATTTTCTCCGACTTTACGCAGCTGCAATATGCCTACTTCGATCTCCCTTTCGTCTGTCCCCCGAGTGGGCGCACTCACGGCGGCTCCCCCTTCGGCTCTGGACAGAGTCTCTCGTTGAACCTGGGCGAAATTTTACGCGGAGACCGGATTATGACGTCTGACTTCGAACTGGAAATGGGCAAAAACGTCGAATGCCAACCGCTCTGCACCCAGGAAGTCGGACGGAAAGACGTCCAATGGGGCCGTGAGCTTATCAAGGATGGATATGTCGCGGAATGGATAGTGGACAACTTGCCTGGAGCTACGAGCTTTGTTACTGTCGATCGGAGTCGCAAGTACTATTCCACCGGGTTTAAACTTGGGTACCAGGAGATTTCGCCTGAGGATGGGAAGCGCAGATATTTCCTGAATAACCATGTTACTATTGTGATCCGTTGGAGACAGGCTCCTGATGGGCAGGGGAAAGTTATTGTTGGGTTCGAGGTGTATCCGAAGAGTATCACGGCTGCCGATCATGAGGAGGGTGGGTGTCCGAAGCAAGTCCATGATTCACACGCCGGATTCGAATTGAATATTCCGCCAAACCTGGAGAAATTGAAGGCGAAGTATCCCGGATCGTCGTATCTTCCCGAATACGATGAAGATTTGGAAGACGGTGCGACGCTGAAGATTCCTTATACCTACTCGGTCTACTTCAGGGAAGAGAACGGCGTCGACTGGAACAATCGGTGGGAGCTCTATTTCAACAACCAGGAAGAAGGCTCGACAACCCATTGGCTGGCCATTCTCAACTCGTTGACTATCTCTGGTGTCCTTGGTGTTGCGGTGTATGTGATTTGGAGTCGGACCATCCAGGGCGATATCAAGGGCCGTGGAGATGGTGCAATGGACGACACGAAGATCAAACTTGGTAGTTCCAAGGGCAAACAGGGCGAAGGAGTGTTGGAGCAAGGAGCGGATGTTGAACGAGACGCTGATGCTGGTTCTGATGATGACGAATCTATCGAGGATGTGAGCGGGTGGAAACTCCTTCATGGGGATGTTTTCCGTGTGCCGGAGTACAGTGGACTGCTTGCACCTCTCGTTGGATCTGGAATGCAGCTTTTCTTTGTGATCTCGGGATTGCTTATTCTAAGCTGTCTGGGTATCTTGAACCCTAGCTTCCGGGGTGGATTTGTCAGTGTCGGTATGGGTTTGTTTGTGTTCGCGGGTCTCTTCTCCGGATACTTTTCTGGCAGACTGTACAAAACGTTTGGCGGTTCGAACTGGCGCAGGAACACTTTGATTGTACGTTGTTACCCATTTTATTGTCCTGTTCTCCACTAACCTGTTAGACTGCGCTTCTCTTCCCGGGGTTGGCCTTTTCCCTCATCTTCATTCTAAATCTGTTCACCTGGGCTCAAGCATCAAGCACAGCCATTCCATTCGGCACACTAGTCAGCCTAGTCGCCCTGTGGCTCCTCATTCAGGTCCCATTAGTATACCTCGGCAACTGGCTAGGCTATGTCCGCGCCTCAGTCTGGGAACACCCAACCAAAACCACCTCAATCGCGCGCCAAGTCCCCATCCAACCCTGGTACCTGCGCAGTGTCTCTGGTACCCTCCTAACAGGCCTAATTCCCTTCGCCGTCCTCTTCATCGAGCTCCTCTTCCTCTTCCGCAACCTCTGGCAAGACAAATCCGGCTACTACTACGTCTTCGGCTTCCTAAGCTCCGTCTCCCTCATCCTCCTGGTCACAGTTGCCGAAGTAACCATCATCGCCACGTATTCCCAGCTCTGTGCTGAAAACCACCACTGGTGGTGGCAGAGTTTCTTGACCGGAGGTAGTAGTGCGTTCTGGATCTTTGCGTACTGCATCTGGTATTACATGTTCAAGTTGAATGTAACAGGGTTCGTGTCTGGGTTGTTGTTTTTCAGTTATAGTTTCTTGGCGTGTGCGGTTTATGGGCTGTTGACGGGGACTGTTGGGTTTTTGACGGCTTATGCTTTTGTTAAGAGGATATATAGGTAAGTGCTCTCTTTCCCCCTCCCTGATTTGGCAATTGTGCATAGAGGCTAATTTGTGCAGTTCTGTCAAAGTTGATTGAGTGGCCTGATACGGGCCAGTCGAGTATAAAGTCATTATAGTCAAATATATTGCATTACTACTTTACACTGTACAGTACTGCACTGGATAGGACTGGCAAGCTTGCTGGACAGAGATATTATAGCATCTTTTGGTATGCAATCAACTGTATTGTTTTCATTGCAGTGAACTCATCCCTTACAAGATGACCGCCCACTCCAGGATGTGGATTAATCTTTAAAGTCTCTTTCCTACAAACAGCTACTTCTGTTCATATAGCCCATACCTCATCAATGTTGTAATCTTTGGTGAGCCTTTAATGGGGATTGGTTATTGAATCGTGCTCTGCTACAGAACGAACGAGCGTCGTCTTTGTCGATTGTACAGATGCAGACTTTGGCCAGAGAGCCCGCTACGGGCAGTCTTAGAAATCACTTGAACTCGGCTTGGACAACCATGTTTCACCACTCCTGCGATGGCACGAGCCAACCGTCACATCAAGGGTTTCAGTGACTAGATTGACTGGGACTGGCAATCCAGGCTTGAGGAAGACTTTGCGCAAACAAAGGTAGTGATCACAACAGGAATGATAGTCATGCGGAGGACATTACTATGTCTATGTGATCTTTTGTATGGCGGCATACGATGGTGAAGGGGTGCTCTTGATTGTCTTATCTCTCTCTCAAATGTCAATGATAATAGATGAATCAAGTCTTAGGGGTGAAGTTGTAGTTGTAACTGATATTTCCTCACGTCCCGCAAAGCGAGGAACCATATATTGACGGCATTCCGAGCATGCTGAGTTTTGCCTCGTTTGCTTCATAAGACATATGTACTTGCATCACTGAGAATATAATGAGCTTAGTGCTGTGGTCGAGGATAGAGAATCTTTTTCCCTGCATGAATTGAATTATTAGGAACTAAGCTTCCCCAGAAGAGTCTTGGGTATGTACTACATATCTACCACCAACCCACTCAAACAGGAGTTTGCGGCTTATTCGTCAATAATTTTCACACGACACACCTCAGACCCTCTATTGAGGGCTTAAAGGGTAGATTGCTGCTGTCAAAATTGATCCAATATTCTACAAGGCGCATGCCATAGACGATAGGGCGTGGAAAACAGGGTCTTCAATGGTTTGGAACGCGAAAAGAATATCGTCTTTAAACACTAGCAACCAATACATGATAGATTGTTGCATGTTACCTACATTCGTACTAAATCACCCATGGCGGCTGGTGAACCAAATTGGATTGGCGCATAAGCACCGCAAAAAAATCAGAATGACTCACTATCATCTTCCAACGACTACTTAAAGACGGTACCCCATTTCTTGAAGCCTACTTATTTGGAAACAAAATGCCACCCTCAAGACAATTCTACGCAACAACCTCCCCCTTCGAAGATAAAATCAGGTACTACCGCGCTGTCCGGCACGGCTCCCAGATCTTCGTCTCCGGAACTACAGCAGTCGATCCCAAATCTTCACCCACTGCACCTCAAATCCTCTACCTCGGAGATGCGCGACAGCAAACACGTGTAGCGCTGAATGAGTGTATCAAAGCCGTTCACGCGCTGGGGGGCCAGGGAGCGGAGAGTGTTCGGGTGAGGATGTTTGTGGTACGTGACGATGATTGTGGACCCGTGGGTGAAGGGTACCGGGAGATACTAGGGAAGGGGAAAGGGGACGGGATTGGGGCTGCAGCGACGATGGTTGTTGAGGGGTAGAGTGCTTATGTTCGCAGAGAAAATTTATGGAGTATAAAGGATGCAATGGATCTCTACAGTTGTGCAGAGCAGATTATCTCTGGGCATAGCCGTTGACTTCTAATAACCGTATCATCTCCTATCACCTGTCAACGCCGCTGTCAGTTATACTTCCGTACCATTCCGCATGTTCCGCTGCGCTGGGCCAAGCCAAGTCGATCTACATATTCTAAACCTGTTGCTTGGAAATTTGGGGAATAGCTCGGCAAACAAAAGAAAGCCATTGGTTCATGGTGCTCCGGCCAGAGCCACTGAAATGCATGGCCTAACACAGAGTTGGGGTAAAACAATTGCTGAGGGTATGATGATATCAGACCAGGAGCATGGATATGACATAGTATACTTCTGTCATATTTAAGTATACTTGGCTATCCCCATTTCCAATTACTACAATATAAATTGCGCAAAAACACCGGCGCTCCGTACACAATGGCCGAGAATCCAGGTCCCTCCACTCCACCCAACATCCCTCCACCGTCAACCAACACCCCTCCAGGCCCAGATGGCCAAGCATCACCCGAATGGAAAGAGCAGACTAGAGGCCAGCAGCAGTATGGCCCCGCGAATCTGCATCCCACCCAGACTTCCCGCCATGGAGCGCTGGTGTCGCAGGTTCCGACGCCTCAGTATATGAAATTAGGCAACCCCGGTCCATTGGGTTTGCTTTCTTTCGCGCTTACGACTTTTGCGCTGGGACTGTATGAGTGTGGGGCTGGGTGCGTTTTCCTTCTTGTATATAGCTCATCATTGGTAGGGACTGTGCTAATTGAATAGACTCCCACATTCCAATCCTCAAGGAGACGTCGGTCCTAACCAAGCAATCTTTGGTCTCGCCGTCTTCTTTGGCGGCACAGCCCAGTTAATCGCAGGAATTCTCGAGTTCCGTGTCGGAAATACCTTCGGTTCAACAGTCCACTGCTCCTACGGCGCCTTCTGGCTCAGCTACGCCATGTTCCTCCTGCCCTACCTCGGTATCGAAGCAGCCTATAAAGGTGACCAGAGGGCATACACTTTTGCTCTAGGCATATTCCTGATACTTTGGTGTTTCCTGACACTGTTATTCTTTATTGCGGCTTTACGAACGAACGCAGCGATCCTATTGGTGTTTTTCTTCTTGACGCTGGCATTTTTCTTCCTTAGTTTGGCGAACTTTTTGGCTACGGAGCATCCTACTGCTAGTTTGAGGACTAATAAGGCTGGTGGCGCGTTTACAGTTATTTGTGCGTTTTTCGCGTTTTATGCGGGAGCTTCGGGGCTTATGTTGCCGGAGACTACGTTTGTTAGGTTTCCTTTGGGTGAGATTCCGGTTGGTTAGGGTGATGCAAGTGAGATTTACGCATTCCGTGACTCAGTGGCTGCAGACAGGAGAGTGTCGCAGTCTTTTCGCATGTTGATACTTGACAGCAGTACGGGGTGCCAAATATGCAGATGAGCAACGAAAGACTGGCCGAAACTGATTCAACTGCTTTGAAACAACCTGTGCATCCTTCCTTAAATAGTCAGCCTCATCGTCCGTTGTTTTTGTTTACATTGATCTCTTCTTCCTACAAGTGACCTTAGACATAAGTCTTCAAATGAATACAAATACTGCATTTCTTGGCTCTAGACCTGCAATGAAGCGCTAATTGATGTTAAGTGTCAGCGATACAAATAAAAATATCTTGGGGTTAATGCCATGCATTAATCCCGATATTAGGTCTTTCCTGTCAATCATATCCACCTGTCTGCCACTTTTCTCAATAGAGAGTGTATTGGCACGAAGAACAACAACGAGAATGACTGCCCACCAAAATGGGTGGTCGGGAGGCAACCAACGTTCTTCGGGCAGTGGCCCCTGCCCAAAGGTGCAGCGGGAGGCACGCACGAGGCCGGATCCAGCATTCCAACCCAACCCGGACTCTGCCGCGAATTTTGAGTCCTGGCGCTCTATTCTTATCTGTTTCCCATTAAGACATCCTACTATCTGTTGGCGTGAGAAGCCAACCAATAAGAGCAAGGAGCCTGCACCCGCGTCTCGTCAAAAAGCAATATATTGAGGGAGGCTGTGGAAAGACCATTTTGTGCTACTTCTACGTACTTGTAGAAGACCAAGTACATTGATGTGCAGGTTTCATGTATTTGGCGATTCAAGAGCAGTAGGCAGAACTTTCATCCCACATGGTATCTCCAACTACGGAGACATTAATTCATTAGCCGACGAGGATAATGCTGGATGTCAAATTGCACTAATCGAGCCAGAGCCAGCAAAGTGGCTTTCATTGATCCATTTGTGTATTTGATTGGATTAGATGGAAAAGGGGAGTCGCTGAGAGGTGTTACTGACATATGAAGTCCGTGAACAATCGCTGTCCAATTTCTTGTGACCCTAGGTCAGAAGTTATTTCTTCCATGGTGTTTGGTTTTGCGTACTACGTACAACCTTGATGACAACTCTTCTCTTTCAGGCGCCATGATCCATGGAAAAAAGGAAATGTTAATTGTCATTCGACTCTAATGACCATCATCCACCTTATCAGCAAGCAACTTATCCCCAACCGACACCCCTGTAACCCAATTCAGCCCATCCGAATACGCCCACCCTATTCAGAAAGCCCAATCAGCAACAACTTAGATCCCTTCCTTAACGAACTAAACTCACCATAATCCGGATGAACGAGCAACCCAGGCTCATAGATATCAAAACCCCGCTCTCTAGCCCAGTCCTGGATCTGGTCCCAGTCCTTGCACTGGTGATAGCTTTGGTCGATCCCGAAGGGTATGCAGGTTCTGCTTTAGTGAGTTTTTATGTATGAGGTGTAAAGAGGAGGGGAAGGGTACTTTTCACCCCATTGCATGGGGAAGACGGTTAGGTCTGCGTTGCATTTTGCGGATTGGAGGAGGTAGCTTAGGCAGTGCTCTGGATTTCATATCAGTCCTCATTTATACACATAGAACAAGTAAATGACACGCACCGCCATGCCTTTTCAACTCAAACATCTCTCGTTCCGTCGCGTTAGCATGATAATGATCCGTGTACAAAAGGTACCGCAGCCGTTTGATGCAGTGCACGGAATGGAAGACCGCAATTGAGCCGTATATACCTGATACATCACTTAGTTCTGCTAGAGCTGGGTTTTCATGGTAGCCATCGCTTAGTTCATTTTTGGATAGGCGGATGTTGGAGTCTAGATACTTATTAGCTCGTGCTTTATTGTTTATGGCCAGGGAAAGCACCCACACTGCAGCATATCAGACCATGCGGCGTCGAGCTCGGGTGATGGGGGACCGAATTCATGCCCGTCGGTCGCTAGGGTATCTGTTTTGTAGTGGATATCATTTTGGAGGGGGGCTGTTGTGATTAGCTTTCTGTCATCAATTGTGTGTGATATGCAACCCACTAGGGACATAATCTGGTACATAGTTATTTTTGTACCGCAGCAATATCCCGGCTCCAAGGACGATATAGCACAATACAATCGAAAACGAACAAGAACTACAGTTAGATGCCGTGGATAGAATAGCTTCTGGATATCTCTTTCCTCCAATGTATATCCTTCATCTTCATCGTTGCCATCCAGAAAGGCGACATTTGTGTCACCTTTTGTGGGGCTCTGCGGTCTGTTTAACAGGCTATATCGTGACATTTCCAACTCGTGCAACATATTAGTTGACTGCGAGATGAAGAATTAAGTCAATCTACCGCTGACCGAGTGAGTGCGTACGTCACCTCATCAGCTTGAATCAGTATCCTTGCTTGCTTCGAGAGCTTGTTGGAAGTTATGACTACGATGAATTCTGAGACTAAATGTCCGAAGTATGCAGCTCTAGATTCTATAGTGGTGATCCGCAAGCCAACGGTAGCAAAACAAGCTAGAGTCACATTCCATACACGTTGGATGGCCTGCCCTAAACAACGGATGTCATATCGTCAATCAACTCGCCTTGCTCTTCCATGACTTACGAAAGACTGTCAGTGGAGATGAGAATTATACCTGAAAGGGTAATGATATCATAATATCAAATCTACATCTTATCAATCCCAACCTCCGAAACGTCCAACATTCGAAACGCTCCCGGCAAACCGTCATCCATTCCGGTTAATTATATTTACGCAGGACCTTCTACCCTGACTGGCCAAGGCCACTGTTAGAGCCCAAGATAAAATTTCTGTAAAAGAGAAAAGCATGGCCGTGGCTATGTATTACATGTAACCACGCCTTTTTTTATGAACAAGCTTGAGCACCAGTGTCAATTGCAATGGATGAATTTTTTTTTTCCATTGTCTACACCATCATGTTGTGTCTATGTGCTCTAACTTAGTGTTCCAATATATCCATTGCATACTATCTAGTATTCCCAATCCAGCACATTTACAACTTCTCTTCAACACCCATCCTCACTCCCTCACCACCTTCTCCCACTCCCTCTTAACACCCCCAAACACCTCCCCATCAACCAAAACCCCCCACCCCACCAACCCAAGCACCCTCCCCACAACAACCGCCTCCCCAAACGCGCCCTCCGTCCCCGCCGCCTCTGCAAACCTCGGATGATGCATAAACACGCCCTCGTCCGCCGGAATCGCGAACATGGCGTGCAGCGTCGGCACGACGTAGCTTACGTTCCCGATGTCAGAGGAGCCAGTTAGGACTTTGTTTGAGGGGTGTGAGTGCAGTATGGAGCGGTTGTAGGATGTCATGTGGGTTTTGTAGAGGGTGCAGAGGGGGGAATTGTTTTTTATGTCGGCATAGAGTTCTTTTCTGTGCGGTGTTAGCATGCTGTATCATATGGTGCTTATAACCAGATGAGATTGGAAAAGGACATACTCAACAATCTCAACCTCGCACCCCGTAGCCCCCGCCCCCGCCTCAACACACCCCCTAACCCTCCTCATAAGCCCCTCCAATCCCCTCAAACTAGGACTCCTAACCTGCCAGTAAGCCCTCGTCCGTCCAGGAACCACGTTTGCCGTACTCGGTGTCTCCAAAAATGCACAATGTATGCGTTCATCGGGCTTAATCTGCTGCCGCAGCACAGACACGTTGTTGTAAGCGCAAACCAGCGCGTCGAGAGCGTTGACCCCGTCCCAGGGGTTTCCACCGGCGTGCGCGGTGACGCCTGTGTATGTTACATGCAGTTCTTTGCGGGCGTTCATCAGGGGGCCTGCTATTCCATCTGATGTTATGCCTGGGTAGAGGTCTTTTGGGCCGGGATGACTGGACCCTATCTCGTTAGTATCGCTGGTTTTTGGGTGTTTGGCAAATGAAAGGAAAGGGGCCATACGCCATCAACGAAACATCAACATGCTTATACGCACCCTCCTCCACCAACCTCGCCTTCCCACCCCCATTCTCCTCCGCCGGCGTCCCTAACAACTGCACACGACCCTCGCCCCCGAACTTCTTAACTAGCGCGGCAAGTCCCAGAAACCCAGCCACGCTACTAGTGGTAATTAAATTGTGTCCGCACGCATGTCCAATTCCCGGTAGTGCATCGTATTCCGCGTTGAAATTCACCATACGCCCGCCGGTACCGGCGATGGCTTCGAACGAGGTTTCTAGGTTGTAGGCGTGACGCGTTATTTTTATCTCTGGGAAGATGGTTGAAATGGGGTTGGTGGGGGAGTTGAGGGATTCAAGGAAGGTGCAGATAGTGTCGTGGGCGAAGTATTCCGTGTATGCTGTTTCGGGGTTCGAGTAGATTTGGTGGTTTAGGGCACGGAGGGAGGGGCCTAAGATGTTGATTGCTGCATCTATGGCGGATTTGATATCCTCGTTGGTTATGGAGGAAATTGTGGCGGCGGGGGTCGATCGGATTGTCATGGTGACCTTTGTGTATAGGATATTGCATATGAATTGAGTATTAGAGATTGAGCATTGCGATGTCTTTATAGCTTTCAGGGCACAAGTATGCGGGGGCTCGGCTACATGAGGGGAAATACAGGAACTGTTATCTTGATAAGGTTCATCGGCTGCTGGGCCTGTCAGGGTTGAGAATAGACGGACATCTCGGCACTGCATTGAATCTGCGGAAAGAAAGGAACGGTTCCGCGGGTTGAGTCTCTGGGTAGTTTCATAGCACATGTCTATAAGAGATTACGATCAAGATAAAAAGTTGTGTTGTATACATTCCGAGTGGTCTCAAATACCGTACACTAACATACAAAGTACAATCCGTATTAACTCATTAATATCCCCATAAATGCTCGCTAGCAACGCAAAGATAGCTGGATGACAAATCAACAACGCAATTCTTTTAACCTTTTCAGGTTAAACAGCAGCCCCCATAGCGTTAGCAGCCTGCTGCAACACTCGGGGCCACCGCGAAATCAACTCCACATCGTCAAGAGCTCCTTGGCCCTGGTTCCGGATGTAGGTTGTGCTGGGGTCTACACGCGGCTCGTAGTCCCAGATGGATGGTGTGCCCTTGAGGAGCGCGGAGTACACCAGACGCCGACGACGCTGGGAGCGCAGCACATCCTCCCTGATCTTCGCCAGGTCCCAGCGGGCGTGTGTTTCTTCGCTGAAGTAGGCAAGCAGCCTGGCTGGGTCTGTGGTGTCGGGCAGCGGCCCGGGAAGCTTGGCGGGACTGGGAGTGCGTGGTGGAGACGGGAATGGGAAGGAGGAAATGTTGCGCTGAGGAATCGGAGAGATGTGAGGTGGCTCGTCGGGTGTGGGAAGCGCAGCTGCCGCAGGTTCAGCGAGTTTAGCGAGCTTGGGGGTGATGGATGGCTCAGTCATACCGGCCACCAAGTTGACCTTCTCGTGGGGGTCGGATTCCAGGTCGAAGAGCATGGGAGGGTCGATCAGGGAGTACACGAACTTCCACCGGCCGCGACGGATCATCACGACAGGCGACTGTGTACCCTCACCCATGTATTCGCCAAGCACGGTGTCGGTCTTGGGACCACTGTGATCATCAGTAAGATGAGGTAGCAACGAGACACCGTCCAATGGCAGCTCGTGCACAAGCTCTCCACCGACAAAATCAACAAATGTCGGTAGAAGATCCATAGTGGAGACATTCTGCGACACGCGCTTAGGAGCAAACTGCTTGGGGTAGTGCACAATGAAAGGCACACGAGCGGAGTTCTCGAACCAGGTCATCTTGTACCACAAACCGCGCTCGCCAAGCATGTCACCGTGGTCACCGGTGAAGACAATGATAGTGTCATCGCTCAGACCGCAATCGTCTAGAACCTTGAGCAACTTGCCAACGTTGGTATCAACGTAAGTGCAAGCAGCGTAGTATGCACGACGAGCGGCCTTGATACGCTCTTCGGGCATCTCTTTACCCCACAGGTCGATGCACTGCAGCACACGCTGCGAGTGAGGATCCTGCTGATCCTGGTCAAAAGCGGGGGTCTCGGGCAGCGGAATGTCCACATTCTCGTAGAGATCCCAGAATTCCTTTGTCATGGCATAAGGGTCATGCGGATGGGTCATGGAGACGGTGAGACAGAACGGCTGTTCCGTCCGCTGGCGGACGTGGTTGTACAGATATTGCTGGGATTTGTAGATCACCTCCTCGTCGAAATCGAGCTGGTTGGTGCGAACGACAGGACCCGCCTCCATAACGGAGGACATGTTGTGGTACCAATCGGGGCGGATTTTCTGCGACTGTCAGCACTAATCTTTTTTTTTTTTTTTTTTTTTTTTTTTTTTTTTTTTTTTTTTTGCATTCTAGATTCTGATAACATACCGGTTCATCCCAGTTCACGGACCAGCCGTAATCACCCGGGTAAATATCACTGGTCAAGCGTTGCTCATAACCATGCAACTGATCCGGCCCGCAGAAGTGCATTTTCCCTGCCAGCGCAGTGTGGTATCCTTCGCGACGGAGGTAGTGAGCGTAGGTGGGAGTGTCAGCTGGCAAGTCGGCGGCGTTGTCGTAGGCGCCAATCTTGGAAGGCAACTGGCCGGTCACCATCACGAATCGCGAAGGCGCACATAGCGGCGAGTTACAGTAGGCAGAGTCAAAAGTCACACCTTCTTCCGAGAGACGGTCGAGATTGGGAGTTTTGATGGGGGAGTTTTTGTCGTGGAAGGCCAGGAGAGGCGCCGCCATCTGGTCGGCCATGATGTAAAGGATGTTGGGTTTCTTGGTGGCCATTTTGAGTCACCTCAAGCACCGTATGCGATAGATAGATACAGTGGACAGTAGCAGTGGGAGGATAGAGAGGAAGGAGAGTAGAGTAGAAGACGATAAGGAGAGGTGGCAGTAAAAAGAGGTGGAAGAAGACTGGCAGTTAAACTTTCCGCCGAGGACAGGCCGAACTTATAAAGACCGGTGGAGAAGGTTCAAAAAAAAAAAAAAAAAAGATTATTAAGACCGCAACAATGGAACCATTTTTGGCTCCAATGGTGTGATTTGCTTCGATTTTTCTTCCATCTGTCAGATCGTCAGGAGTTTACTATGTAACAGAGTACTCTGTAGTACTCCGTATGGGGTCCCAGATTGTGCCATCTGCATGCGAATGGCAAACCGCGTGGGCGCCAATGGTTGTCAGTATAAAATGCCTCTAATCCAGTATCCCCATATCTACTGCATATCTACATGCATATCTACTATTAATGACTCAAATCGCTCATTAAAATATCTCTACTATACAGAGTACTGCTATCTGTCCTCACCGAGTACCCTGTCTATAAACCCCATATGTATCTCCATCCCCGTATTCACTAGCCGCTAATCACGCCATTCCCGACTCGGCAATCATTCCCCGCCGTGTCCTCCTATTGGTTGGTTACACAACCTCCTTCCCAATCCGGTGTTACGCCCCACTTGCTTATCGCCTGTTCGGGTCGTGTTAGTCATTTTTGCCACTACGTTGATTGGTCCGGTTGAGGCGGCTGCCAAGAGTCACGAGACACTGAGCCTGAGAGAAATGGCATGTGATTTCAGAAGTACAAGTTCGCTATCGAGGCGCTGTACGGAATACGTTATTGTTGATTGTGAATCTCAGACAGGAGGTAAATACAGCGTATCCATAGTATGGTAACTGGTTGGAGATACCTGATACCGATCTTCTTCACCCCACATGAGCAATTCGCCCGTTTGAGCACGCCATTCGTCTGACGTATTCCTATCCCAGTCCTGTTCGCACATACCAATCCACCAGCCATCGGCACGCCATCGCATCTTCCACACTGTCATGTCCTTTTCGCCCCTGTTGAATCTGCATTCCCAGTATCATTTCCGTCAGATGCTTCAGTGATCGTCCGCCGGGGGTTCCGTCCTTCTTCTCCGGCTCGGCGGTGTCCTTGTCCGCATCGGTCTGTTTCTTAGCAGCCTCCATAGCAGCAGCAGCAGCATCCCGTCGCCACCCCTCTACCACAAACGTATCAATCACTTGATCATGAATCCATCGTAATGCCATCATATCGCTCTGGCCCCCATGCATCACTACGATCGTCCCCCGGCCGACATACCGCCACACCTGCGCTCGCGCCGCATCCCGCCCGCCCACTATGCATTGCTTCCGTTTCCGTGCCGTTTCGAGCATCTCCCGGGTTACCCCAGAGTACCGAGTGTTGAGATGCTGCAACCGTACACGCGGATACACCAGCGAATCTATCAGGATCTCGCCCGTGAAGAAATCCACCATGCTGATCCGCACTAGCTCCGGCTCCCCGTAGATTGATACCCCCATTTCGCAATCCAAGGCCACCGCCATCCGGGGATCCCACCATTTCATTGGCATGATAGGTGTCGTGTAGAGCATCCATTCCATTTCCAATTCTCCATCTGCGTATTCCACAGGCGTATGGCGATCCTTCTCGATGCAACCGGGGGTTGAAACGTGCTTTTGACAGCAGGTAAAGTGCTATTATCCGAGATTACATACGTCAGTTCCGAAAAAACAAACATTCCAGATTGATTGATAAGAACCGAACCTTGTTCATAACCCGACCAGTATGAAACTGACAGATGGCTGTTTTTGTTTTCTTGCCTCCTTTTTCCTTGCCCTGTTTATCTCCGGCCGCTTCGCTCGTCTTGCCCTCGTCCGCCTTGTCGGTCACCTCTCGCACGGTCACCGTCGTCACCGGCACACACCCATCCTCCTTATCCTCGTCCTCGTCATTCTCCGCGTCATCTGTCTTTCTGTCCGTAACTGTCGATCCATTGATCTTAGAATCTTTTTCCTTTCCCCTGCCCCGTCTATTCCGCTTTCCGGTCGCTTCACCCTCGCCGTCCCCATCTCCCTTCTCCTTCTCTTCCCTCTTCACCGACTTTCTCGTCCGTATTCGACCTGCTCAGCATCAGCTCCACTTACTACCACTCGCCTAATCAAGAAAAAAGAGAAAAAGGGAGACAAACCATGACAATCCCGACACCTCCTAAACGCCAAAACCTCGTCTTTCCCCAGATTCTCCAACTTGTATCCCTCGTGCTTTAGCCTCTCGGGAGTCATAACAAAAGCACGCATTTTCGTGAAGTAGGCATCGGAGTAGATGACTGGTACGGGCGCTGGTGTCGTTGCCATTGGCGTTGTGCGTGGACTGGACATTGTTGGTGGTAGTGTTGTTGTTTTGGTGTTGCTGTTTTCATATACGTAGTGATCTGTAGATGTGGGGCCGTTTCTTTATTTTAGGCGGGGATTTTTGTTTATCGTCGGAATAAACGGCAGTAAAGAGTAGATGTCAGTGATAACGTTTGTAGACGATGGATTCGAGGGTAAATAGAAAGAATCGTGAGGCTGGGTAATTGAGTTGGTGGCAGGTGTGGTTGCCTGGTTTGAGTCACACTGCATCTAATACAGCGCACCTCATATATGTGTATATCTGTCGTCCCCGTCGCTTTTACATTTTAGTGGACATGGACCAAATTTAGAGCAGGAAGAAATGCATTTGGATGTTTATCAAGAGCCAAACGTTCATCTAAAGCCACGATGACATTTCACCCAGTTGGTCATTCAAAACCCAGGGTATTTCTAGTCCCATGGATCAAGATTCACGAAAGAAGACGTATCCTTCATTTAGATCCAAGGATTCAACGGTCTCATCCTAGCAATCCCTCAACGCGCTCGCACCATAACTTCCATAAGCCTACTTCTCAACAGCCAGTTTCAACCAAATCCGCTCTTCCAAGTACGCCGGCCAATGCGCGGTATAAAGCCTTTCAATCTCCACGGACTTGTGCACCTTTAGCCTCGCCAACCCCCGGATAAACACCACGCTCTGTCCCATCCCATGATGTATTGGGTCCTCAATATCCCACGGCGGGTCATACATAGTGGCAGATGAGTGAAGGGGGAAGGCGAGGAGATTCAGTGAAGATGGGGGTTTGTGTTAAGTTGCCATGTATAGATGGGTCCATTGCTCCGCCAACCAAAGTACGGGGCATATACTTACGGAACATCCCATCTCCTCCAGTACGATGTGACAAACATTGGACCGACTGTCTAATTAAGACGCGATGATCATTTCAAGGTTCAGGTTGCGGCAGGAAAGGCTAGTTATATGCCCTAGCTGCTTACTCTACCGACTCACTAGCATAATGCACTGGCCTCGAAGCCCTCATATTAGCCCGTAAGCTCAAAAGATCCGGCCTTGAATAATGCCCAACAATATCAAGAAACTGCTTCGCCTTCAACTTCCCCTTCAAATCAACATCCGCGTACAAAATCCCCTCCTCACCCGCCCCCAGCATCTCACACAAAGGCTCTCCCTCGAATCCAAAAATCTGCGAAAATCCACCCCCAGGCAAACTCGGATACTCCCAACCCTCCACCCCATTCCTCCCCGCATTCTCTTTCTTCATAACCTGACTACAAACAAGCACACAGCACGCCCCCTCAAACGCCATAGTCTGTGAAATCGTCCGGCACATCGTCCCACTCGCCTGGTAGCTCCACTGCTGCTTAAGGGGCTCCGGTGCGTCCCACATAGCAGGCCAGCTGGCAATGTGGATGTCGACGTCCTGCGAGTATTCGTGATAGCGGAGTAATGGCTGGGTGTGTTCCCAGCAGTTTAGGGCGCCGATTTTGCCGAGGGGTGTTGGGACGACGGTTTTTAGGGAGTCGCCTTCGCCGGTACCCCAGTGGGCACGCTCGATATGGGTTGGCTTGATTTTGCGGCGGTTGTGGGTGATTTCACCGGAGGGGGATATGAAGGCCTGTTGTCAGTAAGCGGGTGGTACGTCACATACTGGCTCCGGGGGGTTATGTACCTGAGAGATGTACATGGAGCACTTATCGCGCTCACTATACCCCAATACCACAAACAAACCAGCCTTTTTCACCGCAGCGCAGATCCGCAGCATCTGCGGAGAATCCCTGGCCATCGAGTTCTGCATGTATTCAAACATGAAACCGCCATTTTCAAACGGCGATTTAGCATACATGCTCCTTTGTCAGTCAGCCAACCTTGTCTATAAACTAAGCCTAGGCCTTAAACTGAGGAACGACATACCAAGGATATCCCGGAATAAACACTTCAGGAAATCCAAGTACCTGAGCCCCATTCGTCGCTGCCTCTTCAATGATGGAAATGACTTTCTGGACACCACCTTCGAGGTCGTTCCAGATGGGCTCTGCCTGAACGGCAGCGACACGTACTTTTTGATCCATGGGCTTAGAGTTTACGGTGCCGTGGCGTAACAAGACTTGAGGTTGAATGGACCTAGAATGGCCAGAGTGAAAATTTATATGTGCTGTCATGAGGGTAATCAGCGGGGTTATGCAACTTGCCGCGGATAAGCATTATCCCTGTGATGGTACTTTTGTTCTGGATGATATAATTGGAGCCAAGGCCGGCACATATGGCTGTATACCTTGTTGTTTTCTGATATTCCCTTGTCTCACTAAGTGACTGAATAAAAGAAACCTCCCAAAAGTTACATACTACATACCCAGATATTCGTATCAAATAGCAGCCACGAAAAGGCCGACGTACGCTACGTGGGATATCCTATACATGCGGTTGCTTCCGTTGCCAGGGAAGCTCACGCAAGCCACAGTCGCCAAGCTTACAGCTCAATATTATATAGAGCTCTCAGGTACAAGTCTATGCTTGCGGGTCCGGGGTTTGGCCTACTCCTTATTCCCGCACAGATGCTACCTCTTGCGCTGGTCCCGAGTCGGCTCATAGGTCCCCAGGGGGGTGACAGATGTTGCATGCATAACCTTCTTCTGTAAGGTCTAGTTGGAAAATATGATTTTATCGTTGTGATTTGAATATGCGTATGGTTTCCCAGAACCAAGCGCCTAAAGCCGGGGAACATTTCCAAGTTTGGGAATAGGTCATGGTGGGTTCTCTCTGAACAGTAATTGTTTAAGTACCCTTTTGCTTGATATATAGGCACCGCTGTACAAATCGGGCGCGGCTTACTAGTTAAGGAGATCTTCACTGAGCGGACCTTCGTATGCCCTAAGCTATCACTGCGGATCCTGCGGAGGTGCGCCGATGGGTGAAAATTAGTCCATGCCATTCTCATGGGATGAATGCTGTTGGGATTAGAGAGGGTATATGCAAAAATTTAACAATGCTTTCAATGCCCGGTGATGTTGTATACCCCGTTACTCGTTTTGTCAAGTGTCCGCGACGCCCTAAGCCAAGAATTACCGGATTTGGAAAGCGCCGCCGGTGTCTTGCCCTATGGAGTTGACGACACTGTACTTCGTAGGATGTTTTTTATCTGACGAAGAATAATAAATAGCTCTAAGATTCCGTCAAAAATTTGAAATCCATCTTCTCTGACCATCCACTGCATCTCTACCATAAACACATCAACCCCCCCCCCCCAAAAATCCATCATGACCATGGACCGCCGTCTGAAAATCGGAGTCGTTGGCCTAGGCCGAATGGTACGTGCCTCCATTCATCTACCCTTGCTCCTGGTTTAATATGTTCTCTGTTCCAGGGCAAGCGCCACGTCCACACCCTGCTGTACCGCACTCCCCGGGCACAGGTTGTTGCCGTGTGCAGCACGACTCCCCACGAAATCGCCTGGGCAAAGGAAAACGAGGAATACAAGGAGTTTGGTATCGAGGCTTACAGTGACTATAATGAGATGCTATCTCACCCAGGCCTCCAGGCAGTCTGGATCTCAACCAGCACTGACGTCCATGCGAGCCAGTCTTTGGCGGCAATTGAAAAGGGCGTTCATGTTCTCTGCGAGAAGCCGTTGAGCACTGATCTTGAGGAGGTATACTATATTATTTCTTTTGCGACTCCTTGGTATAAACTAACATGAACAGGCACAATCCGTCGTCGACGCGGCCAAAAACAAACCCTCCCTCAAAGTAATGGCCGGCTTCTCCCGCCGCTTCGACGCTTCCTACAGAGACACCAGCGACAAAATCTTCGCCCAACAAGCCATCGGCTCCCCCTTCATGGTCCGCTCTAACACCTGCGACCTCCGCGATGACTCCGGCTTCTTCGTGCAATACGCCTCCCACAACGGCGGCATCTTCGTCGACTGTGCAATCCACGACATCGACCTGTCCCTCTGGTTCTTAGGAAACCCAGTCCCCAAGGCCTGTTGGGCAGCAGGAACTCTACAGCACCATCCTGAACTCAAGGATTTCTCGGATGTGGACAATGCAGCTGGAATTGTCGAATTCTGGGGCGGCAAGATAGCGTATTTCTACTGTTCGCGCACGCAGGCGCATGGGCATGACGTTTGTACCGAGATTACTGGTACGCAGGGAAAAGTGATGGTGAATGTGGTCCCGCGGAAGAACAATGTGGTTCTTGCGGATAAGTTGGGGATGAGACATGAGGTGCAGCCGGAGTACTGGGAGCGGTTTGAGGATGCATTTGCGAGAGAGGCGAATGAGTTTGTGGATGCGGTTGTTAATGATGGGGCTGTTCCTGTGCCGCTGGAGACGGGGATTACGGTTATGAAGATTGGGAGGGGCCTGCAGCAGGCTTTGTTGACGGGGGAGGTTGTGAGGTTTGATGAGAGGGGAGAGCAGGTGCAGGCTTCTAAGCTTTAGAGAACACAGTTAGAACTGATATACTGCTTATGCTGTTCTCCATATAACTCCAAAAATTGACTCCTTTGATTTGAGGCTGTTCCACTATGGCGGGGATTCCTACCGAATATAGCAAAACGCGGGGGTCTCCACCTCCGCAAATACCATAAGCGTCAACCATCGCCGGCACGATCCCAACACTGATTCTTGATAGAAACGAATATACTAGACATGCCGACAGCCAAAGCACCCTGTATCAATTGCCGCGGTACGAACCACAACATCCACACAATGTACCTTAACTAACATCACAATAGAAAAGCACCTAAAATGTACGCCGTAGTATCAATCACCTCCATCGACCCCATGCTAATATAAATACTCTGTTGTAGGCGACAAACAGGAGCCAACATGCAAACGCTGCAAAACAAGAGGTCTAAAGTGCATACGTGCTCTCCGAAAAATTAACTTCCGACATTGGTCGACGGATAAGTCTGAGACGCGGTTCTCGGGGGACCAAACTTGGGTTAATAGTAGGCCCAGGGATTGGAAGGTACCGATGCGGGTGGAGTCGTCGTCAGCGAGATTGGAGACAACGTTTCAGGAAACGCCTGGACTTTCGGGTTTGTCGGATGGGCAGGGTTCTTTTCAGGGGCTGTCTGGATCTTCAGGGAGTGTGACGAGCTTGGGATGTGTTGATCCATTGCTCGTACCTGAGGGGGGAGATGATCGTTTACAAGATGGGAATGTTGGCCAAACACACCAACTTCGCAACGATATTCCAGGTTTGCGGGAGTCAAATTCGACTAATGTGTCACCCGGGGATTTGTCGAGTTTGTATTTTTCTATTTCGCCCGGGACGAGCGATGGAGACGTTCAGTTGGACCCACCAGTCGAGTCTGATATTGGCCAGAGGAACAATTATGAGAACGAGTGTCCATTATACGGCGAGGAGGAACCCTATTTTCCGGCGCACACCAGCATCCTGGAATCATGCCTTCTGCGCTATTTCATCGAAGAGTTATCCCCACTGGTGAGCCAGATCCCTATCAACTAATCTCAGATACTGACAGGTATAGTTCGACCACTGCGACGAAAGAAAGCACTTTCAGCTAGTAGTCCCCTTCCGAGCACAGCACTGTCCAACGCTCCGCAATGCACTCTTCGCAGTATCTTCGCGCCATCTTGTCCGACGACCACAATACATGACACCACAGGGTGTGCTGTACCATGCCCAACTACTCACCGATCTAAAAAGTTCTACGGCAGTCGAGTACATGCTTCAATGTATCCCCGGACTTGTGCAATTCCCTGAGATTCAGGACTTAGTAGAACAAGAGAATATCATGGCGGCTGCAGTTATCCTCCGGCAGTATGAGGAGATAGAAGAAGACATGGGGGACGACGACGAGATGGGGATAGAGCTGCGTGAACAGGTCAATTTCTTGGCTATCACTCAGACTATTATCGATTCGATGATTTCTTCTCCGCTAAATCAGTCGCTGGCGACGGCGGCTTACTGGATTGCGATTCGGCAAGAGGTATATTGTGCGTTGACGAGAGAGCGAACATTGAGCATGCGCTTTAGTGTGGAAGATTGGCAGAATGCGTCTGTCGCGAATACCTTGATCATGCTAGTTGGGGAGGTTGCTAAATGGTGTTGGGGAGAGAAGTCTCCTGAGGAATGGGGTATGTTCTCTCTTCTTTCTCCCTTACTTCTCTCTCTTTCAATTGCTTGAGAAGTCAAGCTAACCCACATAGAACGACTCAATACACACCAACAACAACTCATGCAAATCCACAAAACTCACCTCATCCCAATCCTCTCCCGAAAAGCAGACAAATCAAAAGGCGAAATCTTCCCCACAGTCTGGTACACCTCCGACGCCCAAGTAACCGCAACCCAACACCTAGAACTAGCCAGAATGATTCTCATTGCTGAAAGCCCACATCTCACGTAAGTCCCTTCCACCCTCCCACTTTCCATCGTGTCATATTAATCCATAAAATTGGTAGGGACGCACCCCGCTCCCTCCATCGCAAAGCTGAGTCCCAAGTCCGCTGCATCGTCCTTAACGTGTGCGGCATCGCGTTAAGCCATCTACGCTGCCAACCTGCGCTTGTAAATGCTGTAATTGCTATCACGCTCTACGGGGAGTATTTCACGGAGCAGGAGGAGAGGGAGGCGCTTGTGGGGATTGTTGAGCGGACGAGAGAGTTGCGGGCTTGGCCTATGGAGAAACCGTTTTTGACGCTGAAGAGGAGGTGGGAGGTAGCAGATTGTGGGGGTTTGTGATGGTTACTTTATGGGTATCTCTAGCAATTGCCGGATGATGTATTGAATAAAATCGAATTTGGTTTTGTTATAGTTATAACTAAGTTCATTTCTATTATATACAAGCCAGCCAAAACCTAAGATGATGATAGATAACTCAGGCCTCATCGCCCTTCTGATTAGCAGCATTCTGCCCCTCGGCAATTACATCGGCGGGAATACGCTCTGGTGTTGAGTTCACAAGCATGATCATGGGGAGTATAGCGGCTCCAAGAAGCGCGAATGTCACACAGCTGGACTGAGGTTAGTACAATGTTCTGGCAAAATGATATGGGCAGGGTAGAGCGTACAATCCAGTAAGTGGGTCACTTTCTGTCTGAGTGTTCATGCCGTAGGCAACAGCCTGACCAACGGCTTCGATACATCTGAATGCAGCACCGTTGCGAACGTTTTCTAACCGTCCCCGTTAGCATGTCCTATTCCTCGTTTCCAATCAAGCTGAATACTCACCCTGCGCATCCGTCGCGAAAGACGACAGCAGCCAATACATATACGACTGCGACAACGGACCTGTAGTCTGCACAAAGAAATACGGCAGGAATGACGTAGGGTACAGTCCGTCATCCCAATCAATCTTACCGGGATCATGCCTCCTGAACTTGGTCTGCATGATGATGGACCAGATGTACACGCCGATGTTGAGGATGATGACGATGTAGAGACCGACTTGTGCGCGGCGGCGCTGGCCGAGGTATTTCAGGTCGAGGATGTAGCCGAGGCCGAAGCAGCCGATGCTGGTGAGGGAGGCGAGGTCAGTTAATTCAGTAATGATGAGAGGGATGTATGTTGGACGTACATGCAGAAGAAAGGAGAGACCAAAGAGGAGAGAGCTCGCGCACGGACGGAGAAGTAGGTTCCTAGGTAGGTACTCCAGCTCCCACTGATATATTTGTTAGCTCTATCGTGCTTGAGGCAATGAGCAAGGGGACTGATGGTGCTTGCCTGTAGAAAAATGACCACAGTGCCCAAAGGGCAGAGAGCACAATGAGCTTCGAGGTTATCGTCTTCGCAATGCGCCTAACTTCCTTCTTTGTCGAAAGGGTCTCTGCCATGACAATTTGTGTACCATCATTTCGAACAACGCGTTCAAAAGGGATAATCAAGAGCGCAAATGGGAAACTGAGCAAGAGCATTAGTATCCATTGCCTTTTTAGTTGCTCGGGGCGCTCACGCGATGCACTCGATAATCACGAATGCAATGTAAGTATCCGGAGTGACACTGGCACTGGCCCCTTTTACGTGGTTCTTCGACAGGCTTCACTGGTTATTAGTCAAGTACATCCATCGCAGAAGCCGAAAAACTCACTTGATCGCGCCTCCAACAAGCTGTCCGAGGTTCCGCGCCACGATCCACAAAGCCAGGTACTTACCACGGGCTCCCGTAGGTGCAAGTGTCATAATGGCACCAGCTTCAGCGACATACCAACAACCGGTGCCAATACCGGCAATGGCACCACTGAGGATGAGATACTGCAGTCATGGATATTTGTTAGTTGCATACTCTGGAAAGCTGTCTGTTGCCGGTGAAAACCCACCCATTGGTTTCCAAACTTGCTGTTGCAGTAGTACGCAGACCCCTCAATGGGGAAGGACATGGAGCCGATGACCAAAGCCCACTTAACACCGAGCTTGTTCACAATGGGGCCGCCGAAGAAGCAAACTGGGACACATCACCCCATTAATACACAATAAGTCGGCGATGAAGGCTGCTGGAATACACACCAAGAGCAAGCATGGCATATCTGATTGCGTTTGCAATATTTGACACCTGGGGAGTTGCAAGTCCACCACCACCGAGGCCTGGCAATGATAAGCTGCGTACTCAGACGATTTTAACCCTAGTCGTGCACCCACCGGTGATCGCATCAGACATGGCTGGTCCACAGAAAGACTGTACGCTCAGGATTATCATCTGCGTCAAACTGTGCTGCCATACCCGCCTCCACAACGGGACACTCGCCCTGTACAGCTCCATGTCGATACCCTGGCCAAGGTTCGGTGCATTTCCTGGCGACGTGGGAGGGTCATTGCGTACATTGGCTGTGGCCGTCTTTGTGCCAGTCATCATGAAAATATCGTACAAACACAGCGTATACTACATCTTGAGGGGCTTGTTCGACACCGGTCAATTTATACACACAGCATCAGATTCTGGGGTTCAACGTATACTTCCCCGAAGTGCGGAGATAAGCTCCGCACTTGAGGTTCGGTTATCTCGAAGCTGTTCCTCCAGACTTAAGGAAGGTCCACACGATCCTGCGCTATCTTGGCGATATGGCTACCGATGGTGATTGGTCGGATTATCGTAACCGACTAGTATCTGGAATCTTGTGCTCTATCGGAGTTGTTCTTCGTGAACTACTATGCCGACAACGCGCTTGGGATCCGATGCTGATAGCGGCAAAAGTCCGAGGAATGAAGTTCGCATGCCTCTATCTTTAAGATTCACTGATCTAATTGAATTGTCTATCGATATCACGCAATTGACAATTATCCCAACACTGCCTGTCTCTGCAAAATAGCATCAACAATATCCTTCTTCACAATCTTGTGGCTCGAATTCTTCGGCCAGTCTGACCAGCCCAAGTCCGAAAAGAATGCAACTCCTCCTAACGTGTACTCCGGACCGAGTGTTTGAATAATTTGCTGCTTCACTTTCCGTCGAATGTCGGGCAGATCGTCCGTCTCTAGTCGTGCTCCTTTCATCACAGCTATGGCTTTGGCTCCGTATGACGGGTCTGGTATTCCCACGACTTGAACCTGCGTTGCATCAGCACAGAGTACAGAGTATATAAAATACATAGGATTCGATGGTGGGAACGAACCTCATCCAAAAAAGCCTTCTCTAGACAATCCTCCACTATCGATGGCACAATACCAACTCCTTTACACTTGATCATATCCTTACTTCTTCCGACGATGAAAATCACCCCAGAGCCATCCATATACGCAAGGTCACCGGTTTTGAACCATCGCCTTCCAAATTCGTCTTCCAAGAATGCCTTGCTGGTATGCTCTTCGCTCAGATACCAATTTACGAGACTGGTCGAGTCGACTTCCAACCCACCAACGACACCACGGGCCACGATGTTATTGTCATTCCCGCTTTCGCAAATCCGGATAGCCGTGCCTGGCAATGCACGCCCCAGACCAGGAATATTTCCCTGGCCAGTAACCGGAATCGGTTCCTCGCCCAACCACCCGAATAGCGGCGCACCCTCTGACATACCCCAATGGAACACCAATCGCTTAGTCTGTAGGCTCCTTTTGCCCTGGGCGATCACATCCGCTTGACACGTATCCCCAGAGCAAGTCACGAACCTTAACGTCGAGGGACGATGCGTGGTCAGCGCCGGACTATTCGACAATGACCGCACCTGGCTGGGCACAAGCATCATATTGGTAATTTGCTGCGTAACAATGGCTCGAAGAGCAATTTCATCACTAAAGTAACTGCTGGGAACCACAACACAACCGCCTCCTCGCCATGAGTTGAGGCAGCCGAGATAGCATATCGGGCGGAAACACATGCTTGTCACTAGGAATCGCGCTGTGGGGTCCCATCGGCTACCGTAAAAGGAATGGTAGCCGGTGATTTCTGCGCTGATGTTCTGGACTGTTAATGGGCAGCCTTTGGGGAAACTAGTCGTTCCGCTTGTGAAAAGAATGTAAGCCACTACGTCGGGGTCGCTTTTGGCCGGTGGAAGTGTGATGTTCATCGGAGGGATTAGGTGAGATAGAGACAGCCAGCCCGGAAGAGTACCACCGTTGCAAATGAGCTGCAGCATAATTTCCCTCGAGCAATGCTGATTATACGCCCTGGCAGCTGTCTCATCCAGAACAACAATCACTTTCGGGTCGAGTGCTCCTATCAAATACTCCAATTCCTCCGCTCGTCCAAGAGCAGTCGGATCAATTGGCGCGAAAACAGCCCCTATCCGAAAACACGCCCATAGAAGTACACCCCATTCCGCGGAATTGGGTACAAACAGCGCGACCACGTCACCTGGCCTCACACCTCCAGAAACAAAACTAGCAGCGACGGATTCGGCTGCTTCGATTAGCTGGCGGAAGGTCCAGCTAAAGTAATCCTGCGATGGAGTTTGTGTTCTGATGAGGTTGGATAAGTGACTTGCTGGCTGATGTAGTGCAGCTAATGCTTCTGCATCGAGCCTCTCGGCGCCGGTGGATGATAGCCATTGCCAGAGACTATCCGGGATAGCTGGTGCAGGACCACCGGAATAAAAGGAGATTTCGGAGGATGACATTATCGACGCCAGTCATAAGAGCAATGTGCGAATGAATGTAGAATGACAGTGCCAGGGGGGATCTGTCAGATTGAAAGATGTTTATTTGTTAACAGTGGCGAACTTCGGTGTGGAGATCTGTTTGAACAAGATAAAGTTACGATCCTGTTTATTATGCCACCCTGTGCAAATGATGAATCCGAGAGTAGTCAGGACCATCTTCGTAATATTTTTCTCCGCACCTACGTGGACTATGCATGATGAATAAGTTCTGCATAGAAATAATCAGTCCCAACGACAGTTGACTCCATCGCACAAAAAGACATAACCCGGACATGTAAGTAGTACGTACTAAAAAGTAATGGTAGTGAACTTGATCATGCCAAGCACACCAACATTAAATCCGCGTTTGCATGGTCCATATTTGACATTGTTGTCTCCAAATGCTTCCACACTCCTTCAAACCATCTGACAATAATACATTTAAATTGGCTTCAGAGATTCTCGAAGCTGTTATCGATATTGCGAAGGCTTGTGGGCAATGGTCCTAAATCCTTAACTTGCATGCGGTATGAGCCCGCTGTGGACAAATCACTTCGACTGTTATGTTCACGATGAAGAATAAGACCATCAGACTGTCAGTCTTTGCTGGCCACAGAAACAAAATTCAATGGATACCATTTTAGTTCCCCCCATATGATCCTTGACAATCTCTCCATCCTTTATCCAAGTGTCCAATGAGACATTCCAGAATCTTACCAACTTTTTTCTGGGTCAGCGAACTCCATCCAGGAGCCGGAAACATGAAGTCATCAACTCCAGATTCTGGTAACTGGAGCACATCCTGGATAGAGGTACTCTTGGCCAATGCGCATATTGCTTGGAGGTCAGCCTCCTTGTAATCCGTAAGCGCATAGAGAGCCAAGTTTGCATTGTCAAGGTTATTACAGCCGCACTGTTCGAGCTCCGCTCCCAAACCTGTGGGTAGAAAAGCCAGTCACGGCGGTCAAGAAAGCATTTGGTTTATACAGACCGTGGGGTGCAAGCGTGTAAACAGATGGAGAGATTTCTCTGCAAGACAAGGATTATGATCTTTCAATGGACTGCTGTCCTACACTCAAAGTCTCTGACGCAAACGCTCACCCCTTCAGATTCAACAGTCATCACTTGGCCGACACGTACTACTGCAGGGGAGAAGGTTGGTAGGAGGAGACGAAAGATGCAAGAAAGCCAGTCCTCAGAAGGTGGATCCATGATGCCCATACTCTCAACATTAGGTTACGCACCTAGTATCAGTCTAGATAGTGGATGGCCATGAAATATTAGCCTCTTAAACCCTGATAGTTGTGTATCTCATTGGTGGACAAAGCTGTATATACATAGAAACAAAGCTGGATCCGTACTCCGTGATAATAACCATATCCCAGACAGAACAAATCGTCCACTAAATAAAGTAGAGTACCAACGCTTGTCACCCAGACCACAAGTGATCCGAGAATAGCAACTATCTCCACTAGTTAGAATATCCGAATGGAGTCAAGAATACGAATGCGAGCTTCAACCCTACGAACTTCGTACGTAGATCACTGTCAAGCATCTATCTTCAGAAAAGAAATTTAAAATCTCTGCCTATCCGTAAAAATGCTCTAGAATAAATAACCAGGCAGTAGTGAATATACGAGTACGAATGTAGTCCTCCATAGAATACATAAAACCCCGTAAACCCATACCTCCACATCACACACATACAGATACAGCATACTTCATGTCCTTCATTCTCTATCAATCCCCATCTCTCACCAATACTCAATCAACAAGATACAATATACAAAATGCACCTCCCTTTCCCGTTACCAACCCCTACCCGGGCTCTCAAAAAACGCCTTTACATAACAATCGGCTCCCTAATCCTTGTCACCTTCGTCCTAATCATCGCCCGCATAGCCGATAAAGGCACGCCCTCCACCAGGACGAATACATGGGGTATAGCCGTCGTACGTCCCTCTCTTACCCTTTACCTTCCATCAACCCTATTCCATCCCCTTCCCAGCCAAACAATCTCATCATACTGATAAAATGGCCGTGTGCAGTGCATAAAAGCAGCCGTCTTCCTAGCCTACCAAGTCCTAACAACGTACCACCGCAAACTCCAAAAATGGGCAAGTCTGAAAGTGAACATGACGCTCGATATCATCGATACAGTGTTTTGGTTCGCGCTCTTTATTATTAGTATTATGGGTGCGGCCGCGGGGAAGAGCGCTAGTAGTCAGGCGTTGGGGGCGGTTGTTGCAGGGTTGACAGTTGTTCTTTGGTGAGTTTTTTTCTCTTTTTCCCCCTGGGGTTTAAGTATGAGGGGTTGAGGTGGTGCTAATGTGACCGTGGTAGTGCGATTGTCGGGTTCCTGGCGGTGGTTTGTACAAGAGAGTATAGGGCGTTCAAGAGGAATGCGAATGCGAATATGGATGTGGAGGCGGGTTGTGGTGATAAGGCGGAAATTGCGGTTTGAAGCCGTTTTGATACAGATGTCCTTACGAGTAATGAGTGGATGAAGGTAAGGGTCATGATCATCATTCAAGTATCATATGCGAGCGTTATATCAACCTTATGGGGGATGTATTTGTAATGTCAGATATACAAACCCAGCTTGCTGTCCGCCTATACAAAAAAATCACTCAAGTGCATAAACCGGCGCCTTCGCCAAAACATTCACCGGCCCTTTCCCGCGTACTTCAGCACTCACAAACGACGCAAATCGAATCCTCGTCTGTCCCGTTGCAGGACCACTCGTACTTTCATCCTTGCTCTCTTTGGCCGTTGTAGCCGGCGCGGCAGGTGCATTCCGCCTCCCCATCAACGCCCCAAACACCGCTGTCATCTTTCTCTCAGGCCCCGCTGTCCCCAATGCCGGGGAGGATGTTGGCGAGGGAGATTGCGAGGAGGGAGAGTCGGGGTCTGTACTGGCGGTGGGTTCTGTGTCAGTTGACTGCCCCTGCCCAGCAGGGTTTGTGGACTCTAGATCGGGACGGCGGGTGTCCTCCGATTTCACGTTGGTTAATGGCGGCACGCCTACTTCGGGCTTCATTTGTCGCTCGTCGAGGATGGATCCTGGCAGTGGGTATTCGATGCAGACGTCGCGGGATTCCAGGGGAATTTTCTCTGCGATGCCTACGGCGTTTTCGACGATTAGACGTGCGCCGTTGTCCATGCCTACGGGTGGAGGACTGTTGAGGTGCACTTCGAGAGAGGCGATGAGTTTGGAAACGAGGTGGTCGACGAGTTTTGCGCGGTTCTCGTCGGCCGTGCGGCCGTGGAGTTGGGCATCGCCTAGTCCGTCGAATGTCGTGCGTCGCCAGTTCGAGATTTTAGCAATGGCGTTCTCCTTATCCTCTTCGGTGGTGACTGGCTTGGAACCGTGCTGCTGGCGGAGGTTATTTTCGATACTCTTCAGTTGCTGGCTGAAGTTCGATTCCAGGGATGGGTGGAAATAGCGATGGAAAATCTCCTCGGCAAGCCAGCGGCTGATGAATGCGCGTCCGATGGCCGTCATCTCTTTCCCGCCCGTGGTGTGCGCGTTGTCGTTCGCATAACCGATCAACCAAGGTGGGAGACTCTTCCAGTCGTTGCGGATGGAGAATGCAAGGTCTTTAATGGCGCCGTCGAGCCGGCCGAAACGGTTGGCGTACTCGTTGTCGTCGAGAACGGTACGAGAGACAGCCATGCGTTGGTGAGCGACGGTGTTCTGGAGATGTTGCACTTGGGCATCTTTTTCAAAGTAGTACCGCTTCACCTTGGAGTATTTGGCCACTGTTTCGTTAGCCAGCGTACAAGCAATAGTGCAGAGCACACGTACAAAGTTCATCATGCTTCTGCACCAACGACCGAACGTCACATTCCTCCTCTCGTCTCTGAGCCGGACCCGGGGTACTGCGTCCCTGGTCCTGGCTAGTTGACGAGCTATTCTTCGAACCAGCCGGATACGGCGATTGGCGACCGGTCTGATTCGATTGACCCGCGGGTCCAGCACGGTCGGCAGCCATGGCCTGCACAGATGCCGTGTCGCTATAAGCAGATATCAACGAGGTCGCTAGAGACAACTGAGAGGGTGGCCGTATCGACTGATACGGTGTTTGTGTTGGTGTTTGCGTCTGGCTCGAACCGTGATTGCTAGTGTGTACTTGTAGTTTGTCCGAGTCGGCGGTGCTCGTGCTGGTCCGATGTTGAACAGATGTAGTATCACTCTCCCGTGTGGCTGTGGCTAGCTGTTGCGAGTGCGAATCGGTTTCTGGCGTCGAAATCTCCGGGATTGATTGAGAATTCAATGACACATCGTCTTTAGGCGCTGATCGTCGCGCTGCTTTGGGGGCGGTTGTTGTCGTGGGCCGCGGGCGGTGCGACTTGGACAGGGTACGGCCCAGAAAACCAGGGATGTTGTTCGCGGTGGACGAGGGAGGGGAGGACGAGGTGGACGGGGGTTTCTTCGTTGTCTGGTGCTTTTGCAGCTTGCGCCGGTCTTCTTGGTCGCCGGGGCGCTGGTCGGGTCAGCATTGAATCGTAGTGTAGATGGTAGAAGAGGAGCGTACTGGTTCGGGGTCCTGGAAGAGATGAGCGGTTTGAGTACGCCGAATGGAGGCAGGTTCTGGGATTGGCTCCTGGGAAGCTTGTGCCTGGGAGTGAGATTGGGATTGAGATGGTCGATGGAGGGACCGTTGTTGTCGGTCGGGTTGACGGTCGGTGCGGGGATCACCACCACGGAGGTCGGAAGAACGATGGAAGTCGGGAATGGAAGACCCAGAGTGAATGCTGTCGTTGTTTTGATGGGGGGGATAGGTTGACAGTTGCTCTACTGAGTGATAGTTCCGGGCAGACGGTTTGAACTGGTTTTTTTTCCTCCAGAAGAATGGCATGTTGAGGAGGGAAAGAGAAGAGAAAGTGGACGAAGAATGAGTGCACGGGGAGAGGACGGAGCGATGATAAATAATACACGACGATCAGACAATTATATCAGACACAATCACAAATGCTCAAAAGATATAAATATAGTGGCGATGGCCGAGGCTGAAAGTATATTCCTTTTACGAGTACGCCTCGCTAGCTAAGTTTTTAACTATTTAAAAGCTGTCCTCTAGCACACCCCGTGAGTCTTGCCCGTCTGACCCTGCAACGAGTGCTTCTCGCCCTTGTATTCCGGGTGGTTATGCTGCGACTTGTGCGAGTTGGTCCGGATATACCTGTTTATGTTAGCGCCGAGACAGTTTACCGTACTAAAGGGAACATACGAAGTGTACTTGTCCAACATCTTCTCGTCCATCTCCTGCAACGTCTTCATACCCAACTGGATGTCCGTCAACAGCGCCTGGCACCGTCCCATGGTGAAGTCCTCGCGGACGACCACACGCATCAACTTGAGCTTATTGCTGTTCGGCGCCATCGTGTACGCCGGCACAATCCATCCCCGTTCGCGCAGCTGGTGAGCCAGGGCAAACTCATCATAGAAGCCAGAGCGGTCCGAGGGCAGACAGAATGCCACGACGGGCAGTCCGTTGCCACTACGCTGGCTGATGATTTTGAACCCTTGCTCTTCCAAACGCGCGGCAAGGAAGTCCGCGATCTTGGTGATGTTGAGCATGATAGACCGGTAGCCGTGCTTACCCAGACGGATCATCTGGTAGTACTGGCCGATGACCTGCGAAGCACCCTTGGAGAAGTTCAGGGTGAAACTGGCCTGCTCCGCACCCAGGTAGTTGATGTTAAAGATCAGCTCTTGGGGGAGGTATTCCGGCGAACGCCAGATGACCCAGCCGACACCGGGGTAGACCAGACCGTACTTGTGGCCGGAAACGTTGATCGAGACGACGCGTTCCAGACGGAAGTCCCAGACCAGGTCCGGCTTGACGAAGGGAGCGACGAAGCCACCGCTGGCCGCGTCGACATGAATAGGGGTGTCCAGGCCGCGCTCGATCAGGAGATCGTTGATGCCCTTGACATCCTCATACTCACCAGTGTAGGTGGTGCCCATGATGGCACAGATACCAATGGTGTTCTCGTCAACGAGATCCACAGCCTGTTGGGGGTCGATGACGTAGCGCTCCTCGGTACAGTACACATAGCGCTCCTCAATGTCAAAGTAGCGGGCGGCCTTTTCCCAGCAGACCTGAACGGCACTGTTCATGACAATGTTGGGCTTACTAGTGTCCTTACCCTCGGCCTTCCGCTTGTTCTGCCAGGCCTTCTTCATGGCCAACGTGCCCAGCATGATGGCCTCGGAGGATCCGATTGTCGAGGTACCCATTGGATGCTCACTCTCACTGGTGACGGGGGCATTGAACATCCGGGCGATCATGTTGACGCAACGGTTCTGGATCTCAGCAGACTGGGGGTATTCCTCGTAGTCGATAAAGTTCTTGCTGAAGGACTCCGACATGAGTTTTTCGACTTCATCTTCCTGTTTCTGTCAGCCATTCCCCATATCCAGGACAATCCCACTGGAACATACCATGTACGTGGTGACGAAACTCGCCAGGCTACTTTATTAGCCCAATTCTCAATCGTCCTCAGGGGCTAACATACTTGAGCATCGGATTACCATCCAGACTCAATTCGTCCTTGATCAACCGATAAGCGACATCACGAGGCATCTCTCGCTCTGGCATCTCCACACCGGGCATCTGCTGAACAGCAAACCGGCTGCCATACACACTGGACGCGTAATTGTCTCCATCCTGCACGGGAGTATCGAGCTGAACGGCCGCCAACCGGTCGGCAGCGTCCTGGTCAGAGGGCTGGTTTTTCTTGATCTGAGCGAGATGAACCATTGTGCACTGTAAGGATAGAAATCTGTATGAGAGAATGGAGGAGAGATCGAGGGGTTATGAGAGACCCCTCAGTCTATACTTGTATTCAGCTGAACCGGCCCCTCCGGTCCAGACTTGGCTTCAAAGCTTAGCCTTGATTATCGGCAAGTGAGCAGCAGCCACGAAGCAACTCGGAACCCCACTGATTGCTTCATTCAATTCCCGCAGTGGATTCCATTACACAGTGTTTCGGATATAAACTGCAGTAACCAGTCAATATCAAGTATACCGACCTGTGTTTTCTCTCCGAGAAAATATTCTACGTCATGGCCCCACGACAAGTGGGGTGTGGCTGGTGGCTGCCTGGATTTGTGGCTGAGCATATACATCGTGATGAATACCTCAACACCACGGTGGCCGAAATTATGAAGAGTCCTGCAATCAATTACGAGAAGGGATTGCTGAGATTGTTAGATGCCAATACCTTGAAGGACTGTCCATATATTCAACACCAGTCAGACCGTCAGCCAATGGGGGAAAGAGGCTTGATGAAAAGCACAACCAGATTGTTGAGAATGGGAAGTGGCTAACCATTGGCTTAATCTTGATACCTTGTTGAGCAGGCGTGCTGGGAATAGATGGCCTTGAGATTATGATGCCTGGAAATATCTTGAGTAACAGTGACGGCTACGTTGTTTTCATGCTCAACTGCAGACGATTTAATATCTTCGGGCCCGCTCCTCTATAGGAATCCTTCCAAGTGTGATCAGCTTGACCAGATGGTCAATAGGCAAACAGCCTAGACAAATGGATGTGAACGGCTTCACCTTTCTAGATCGATTCATCTACAGATTATGGTCATAAGTCATCAGCAGGATGGAGATTGTTCGAAAGGTCTCATTTGAAGGATGATAAACACTAGGATTTGGCCATACTTGGAAGCCTTCCATATCTTTTTTCTTAAAAAGCCAGGTCTGGCATGGATACAGCAAGTACATAACCGACATGGGCCATCCCACTGGCCTCGCCAAGAATCATTTCTGGATTCTGCCAAAATACCTAGATTGGACCCGGCTCACGAAGCACACAGCCCTTTAGGCCAATTCATGAACGATAGAAGTCCGAGAAACTGGAAGAATCACGATGTTGCCGGAAAGCACAGGATGACTTGGAAGTGTTGTAATGTCCCCGTCATCTCATAATCTGCAGAAGAATAGCGATGAAAGAAATTAGATTACTGTAATTCTCCTATATAACCTAGCAGTATCTACAAACCAACTTACATATTACCAACTACTGATCAACCTCATGATACCTAGTATCCCGTCTCGCACCACCATTAAACCAACCCGAAGGTCCCAATCGCTGGTTCAAACCCAATCCCACCTCCTCGTACAACTCCGGCGACTTCAGCAGTCTTGGTGTCTGTGGTGTCAAAGGCACTTCCAATTAATCGACATTGAAAACCCCCTTACCGGGGCTCCGGCCCTGGGCGCCATCTATCCTTGAAAGAGATATCTGCATCGGTGATATGGTCCAGAAGAGGATCCAACCCCTTGACGTCTTCTGTGTTGAAGACTGTCGATATACTGGCGGTCCGGGTTGTTTGGAGGATGGTGGAGAATTTGGTGCTGCAGGAGCCGTGGTTTTCTGGTGTACATCTCCAGAAAAAAAGTCTCCAAGTTCGTCTATGATGGACATGTAAGAATATCTCTCCATTTGGTCAAAATCATGCGTTGAAGAGTTTTCTATGTTGGTCAAGTGTGACATGTCGACGGACATCACTTCGTTCAATGCTTGGATATGTGGTATCCGAATATCTTGCTGGCCATTGGCGGAGGTAAAATTGGCCTCATAAGATGCGTTGTACAGTTTACAGCTTAGAACCACCGCATTTAGTGCCTTCTCGCTCATTTACTTTCTCTGTACAGTCGCCCTGTTCCGCCATATGAGGAAATGTCGCTATGAACATGGACATAGGGTTGGTTGAGCGCTCATCGGTCTCGGGCAGCCCAGTGAGGTTGCCTCTGTTGATGCGTAAACTATATGTATTATCTCCGTTGTGCTTCTCAAACGGTAGAGTTTTATTCTTGAAATTAGCGTTGGCTGGCCATGCCAGGTACCCAAAAGTGAAGGCCACGCAAGCCAGGTCTTTTCGATCATCAACACCTACGGTGCTGATATTGAGTATTGCAGACAGCACATTCTGTGTAATATCACGGTGGACATCGTCATCGGCATGCTCACATTTCATTGCGGGGCCATAAAATTCCAGTACCCACGACGAGCTGATTGAAGGAGGTTTGGTTGACATAATAGTCCCCTGGACGGCTGTATTGACCAGGATACGTTGAACTTAAGGTTTGCTAGCCTCATACACGAAATGGGGAATATTGGCGTGATCGAAAATGGTAGCAAACTTGAATTGCCGAAAATCAACACGGGGAACTCTCGTGAGCGTAGCATTCGAAAAGGGTGTCATGCGGCAGGAGTAATAACAGTCGCCACCGGTAGAAGCCATGCAATGCAAGCAAGCAGCATGCTGAGCGGATAATACCACCATATAACATAATCGAGCACCACGGATCTATTCTTCAGAACAGAGAAAAGGTCGTCAATTATACCGATGCTTCTCACGCGACCTTTGATTGCCTTCCATGCGAATTGATCAAAGACGGTTGAGACGGCAATTCCAAGAAGAGACTTGACGAGCAATACAAATAGAGTACCAATTGAGACGCTGAACTGCTGGTCTGAGATACTGTAAGAGGAAGCTATCGAGGACAAGGGGCCGTTGTCGAGGATCGGTTTACCGTTGGGGTTATTTTAGAAAAGATGGTGCCCAATTGCAGAACCAAGAGCTGCCAGGAGGGTTGAGATCCTGATAATCGGCGCAGAGCATCGTAAATTCAATAGAAACCAAGCCATGTTGCGTTGTTGAAAACAGAACGACGAAGGGAAGAACATCAACCCAGCAAGAAAGAAGAATTAACGATCCTGCGGCTTACATCTCGAGGTGATAGGGGCGTTGTTTGAGTCCTAAATTCAAACAAGGCTGAAGTACATGATAAGCACCAGACAAAGACAACCACAGAGGCTTGGCTGCATGGGATAAACTTACAGGGACCAAGGGACAGCTTATCGGATTAAATTGGAACGATGGAGAAATTTAATTAGTAGAAAAGGGGAAGGGAAGAGGAAAATAGCTAGACGTTGGCTTCATCTACTTAATAGTAAATGAATGGTACACACCCTCTTTCCGGAAGGGGGAGAAGAGAAGGCTAGTCAATTGGACGGATACATCAAGTCTTTTCGATTTCTTTGACGTCCAGACCCTCGGACATCATCGTTAGACATATCCTCAAAGATTCCAAATCAACAGGCAGTCACGATGCACCGTGTAATTTTCTACTGCTGCAGACCTAAGCATGATTTCAATCCAATGGTTTCCTATGTAGCACATTGCATAGAATCAGCTGAAAAAGAGAATATTTGTGATTATGGACAATCCTTCCAAACATCGGACTTGCAGGGTATCATAGTCGTTGACCGGAGCATCCGTCAACTTTCGCTAATTACAAAATTGCAAAAAATTATACTAAACACAGCATCTTTTTCCACCAAAGCACAAACGCAGCCCTCCCCACCTCCAACTCATCCTTATCCTCATCTTCTATAGGCTCCGGCAACGACTCCCGAACCACAATCGGCCTGCGTAAGTGGTAGAATGTCTCTCGGCAAAACGGACAACTCCCGTCTTTTGTACAGAGCCATTTGTCTATGCATTGTTTATGAATGAGATGGTTGCAGGGGAGACGTCGGAATATCGAGTCGTGGGTCATGTCGTCGAAGCAGAGGGGGCATGTTTCCGGGAGGTGGCCGTCTAATTAGTTAGTTATCTGCTGCCGGTCTTGAAATATGTTATATACTTACTGTCATCTGGATAGTCCAGTCCCAGGAAGCAGGGCATCCGGGCTTGTTCGACATCTCGGGCATGTAGTGGTCCCTTTTCGGTTTGTGAGGGGACATAGATATCGGGATCGGACATTGTATATACTGTGGAGACAACTGATAAAAGAGGATGCATATAGAGGCCAGTAGGAAGGTTTAAATATGTGGGTATAATGTAGCAATAAGACTAAAGTAATGGTTGAATCGAGTGACGTCTCAAGTTGAAGTTATCGGAGTTTCATAGATCGTTCCAGCGGGCACTTGAAACCTTTTATTTACATCGGTGGCATCGGGTTCCAATTACTTGTTTATCAGTCTCTCGAACGAGTCTTTAAAATTTTCCTGCCGGGCTTCCGAATATCGCGCGTCCGTTCGTTGAGATGACTCGTATGTATGCATGGCGGCGATCCCTCGGCCAACGTTCGGCGAACTGGCTCGCGGTGGCCAGACTTGTCATTTACAAATCGATTGCACTTTAAGTACCCCGGGGAATAAACTGAGGCATTAAAAGCCAACAAGAGCGCATGTGAGATATGTGGACGTGTAAATAGCACGTCAACCATTTCGCCGAATACTTCGGGGGGCTGTCAAATTAAGCTCCCGGGCGATTATCTGAAATATTTCTATTTATCGCTCCATCATTTCCGATAAACTCCCGATTCCGGAAGTGAGATAGCAGTGGTCTGTGCCGTTCGTCTTTAACATAGGAGCAGTAATGGATTGGTCTGAAGATCGCGGTTTGAGACTTTTAGATTATACCCCATATTACCTCGCAGCATCCCTTCTAACCCATAATGACTGCGAATTACAATATCCAGTCAACCCAGCCAGGCCATATTCAACGCCAATCCCGCTACACTTATGGCCGCCAAACGGGACAGTCGGCCCCAATTCAAAATGGGTATTCACCCATACAGTCCCAGCTTCCAATTGGCTCGCCATAGCAGTTGCTTTCTCAACGTCTTTACTCCAAACCGAGGCACCCAACCCCATATCGGTGTTATTCGCACGATTGATCACGCTGACGGTGTCAGACTCGGACCACTTTAGCAGAGGGAGGATTGGAGCGAAAGGTTCTTCTGTTACGGCTCTTGAGTCGTCGGGTGGGTTGTCGACAATGACGGGGGCGAAGAAAAAACCGGGAGATTCGGTTGGCCCGCCAATTAGAGCGGGAGTTAGATTTTCTGAGTTGACTGATGCGAGGATGTCCTGGGCTCGCTCATACTGCATTTTGTTTTGCAGGGGTCCGAAGAATACATCCGGATCTGGGTTAGTGCCGTCTCCGATCTTGAGAGATTGGACGAAAGAGATGAATTTGTCTCTGAAGGTATCGTAAATGTCTTTGTGGACGTACAGTCGTTTTATTGCCATACATCGTTGTCCTGAGCAGAGGAATGCGCAAGTGCCAATCTATATCACACGTTAGATCGTTTCATCAAGTTGGAACGAATTTGATACTGGCCTTGGGGACAACAGCATCGATATCCACATCGCTGCAAATAATCGCCGGATCGTTTCCACCCAGCTCCAAAGTAACCCGCTTAAGTGTCTTCGCACAACTAGCCATAACCTTCTTCCCTGTGCTAATAGACCCAGTAAAGCTGATTTTATCAATCCCTGAATGCTCTGTCATCATCGGTCCCAGGGAATCATCGCCACTCAAAGCCTGCACTACCCCCGGAGGGAAGGAATCCATCGCCAGTTCAGCCAGCTTCAAACCAGTGTATGGTGTATACGGGGACGGCTTGAGGATGACTGTGTTACCAGTATATACTGCAGCGATTATTTTGCTCATTGAGAGCAAAACTGGATAATTCCAAGGTGCAATAGCGCCGACAACGCCTATGGGTATGTAGCGTTGAATAATCTTTCGTCTCGGGGTGTCTTCAAAAATGTTCTCGGGAATATCGACACTGATAATGCCTCTGGAAAGACCTATGGTGCTTTCAATTTCTATCATAGCATGGCTCAAGGGCTTCCCTTGTTCACGCGATAAAAATTCAGCGAAGACATGCTTGTTTGTCTCGAGGCCAGATATGTATGCGTATATAGTAGATTTTCGATCTTCAATAGGAACCTGGGACCATCTCTTGAATGCGCGTCGTGCAGCATCGACCGCTGTATCTAGGTCATGCTTGCCGGACACAGGGACTGGAGGGTTCGGCTGGTTGCTGGTAGGGTTGATGGCAGAACGGGCGTGCTCTGTGCCGTGCAATTGATTGTCGATGGTGTTGTAAAATTCCTGGTCAAGTTAGAATGGCAATGCAGCGCAGCTTAATTCTGGATTGGTTTACTTTGAAGGAGACCATCTTCGCATTGGCAGTGTTCTGGTTCCAAGCGATAGAGCATCGTGGACTGAGTTGAATTTATATCCTTGCGGGCATTGCTTTTGTGTAACACACCTATTTCTCCTGTTACCAAATGGGGCTGTCAGCATCGTACATGTGTCACCTCCGGCTTAATTCCGACAGCGCCTCACCGAGCCATACTGCCCGTAGGGAAAGAAATCTCAGGAGATGTTCGTATGAGGAAACGTAGTTATCTCGGATTTGTACCCCTGGTATGCATTGACCCTTTCGGCGAACCGTGATATAAAATCACTAGAATCGGTACAGAAATATAATTACAGGGTCCCTGCAGCGTTATACGCAAGCTTCTCCCTGCTAACCTTGCCTTCCTTCATCAATCCCAAACCCTCCGAAACACCGCTCAACCCGCCAAGGCAGACCCTAGGGGGATGGGCACCCAACCTCTTCTTCAAGAAGCCTTTCAACTATAATGTGGGTATCCTCCGCAAGCTCCCTGTCTACGGTGCTGGAAAGAATGCCCTACCACCGAACTGAAATCTCTTTCTGAAAGCTGTATAAGCCACCTTGAACCGACGTTTTACATTCTCACACTCAATGGTAGCAGGAAAAAGAGCGCTATAGTCGCCTCCTTCGGTTTATAGCGCTTACTCTCAGTATTTCAGGCTGGATTAGGTTGAGACTATCGAACACGAGTCTCAGACGGTTTTGTGTATGCTCCCTGATTATAGCAGTGGAGTTGGGTCACGGTATTTGCAATCTTCGTCGGTTCCTAATCTTTTGGCAAGGACGACATTATGTCGTGAATGGGTCGTAATCGCCTTGTAGCCGGATAATTTTGCGAACTGAGTTGCCAGGGTCCCTGTAGCGGTTGAGCCGCTGTAGATGAAAATCGGCGTGACTTCGTCGGTTTGGGTCGTAGAAGTAGGATAGGTCAACTTCGGACTCTAATGAAGCCCCTATTCCATGGCAATTGCATCCAGACCCAAAGTAGCAGCCTCCTGGAAACTTTAATGGTCCGGGATCCGAAGTTGTAAGTCCCCAATTGCCACAATGTACTCCACGAATGCACCATCTTCCATTTGGACGGCGTAATTATGGACAAACCCACGGACTTGATCTCCTGGTTTGGACTCTTTTTTTTTTTGGTCTTCCCTACATTCTGCACAATACTTGCGTAGTCGCAGCCTAAGGTTACACCTGGGACTGCCCTGCGTTCGATAGACTTCCAGTCTGTTGGGTTCATGGCCACGCTGGCGGCTTCTACTAGGATGCAGCCGTCGCGTATTTTGTGAATGAGTCTGTTGAGGTCCACAGTTGCTTAGTTGGAGCAGTTATTGCGACGGCTTTTTGGGTAGCCATTGCTGTTCACTGGTGAGTGTTGTGTCCATGAAAAATAGCAAAAGGCGGGATAGAATCTAATTCTCGGAATTTTGAAATAACCTTTCACCGCGACCTGCTAGATGTTATTGAATCAAATCCAGGCCATCTTTCTATATCCGACATCGCCAGGGTGCGTGCCATTGACAAGGTCACGAATCTCAGGCCCTTCTTTAGTAGACATGTCCGCAAACACAACCCTTATTCTGGCTGGCAGACTTCTGCCCAGCCAATGCCTGGATTTGGTCATTGACGTGTAAAACCTGAGTCGCTCTCTGTTCCGCGTTGACCACTAAAGTCGATAGGATAATGGTTGACTTGGGAGATGCTAGCCAGAGATATTCAAGCAAATCACTTGTGCGTTTTCTAAAAGCTCCGCAGGCAATCATTGAAGCCGGCATTGACCATGATGATGCTTGGCTTGAACTTTGTGACTGAGTTTTTGGCTTTTTCCTCAATCTCATCGATTCGGAACCCTTCATAGTCGTTAGTTTCCATAGAGCCCGTCTTTCGTGACCTTACCATGCGAATACCACAGCCGCAGGACTGAAACATCTTGAAAGGGGATTTTCCATAGCCGTTTAGGCCCGAAGATCTAACGCCTTACGTGATCGATCCGCCTAATGCCATTAGGCGCAACAAAATGCCTGCACGTTGATGAAGACTCGCCTACACGATCGTGAGTTAGCAGACTGCGGCTATTGATAGCAGCCCAGCAACTCATGACACACTGACCATGTGGCATGAGAGATTAGTAATGACAAATCCTCTCAAATGTCGAGAAATGAGTTACCATGATCTTCAAAGAAGAGGGATTGTAGAATAGAACGTCTAAATTTGGAGACAGCGCCCGCTGCCAGGCAGATAACGGGGCCGGTCGTAGCATTTTGTCTTGATGGTAGACCTTTGCATGTCCAGACAAGAGGGTGATATGCTCTGTACCATATAGCTGGGCGAAAATTGAAGAGGCCACGTCTTGGACCACGGCATGTTGTTCCAGAAATTGCCAGGACAGTCAACGAAGAGAGCAGACGTTGCGTAAAAAATCAATCAAATATAACGAAAGAGTCATCAATCCAAGCTTGAATCAAAAGCTGTCTCGAATGTCGCACACACCGAATACAGGCTTCTGGTAGCGCCAATGCCCCCGCAGGCACTTTGGGGCTCCGACGGGGGTTTTTGAGGAGGTACAGAAAAATCATTATAAATACTACATAAATCTGGAACTCGTATTGCACAGGACCCGGGGCTTCTGGCTCCGGTTAAATGGGCAAAGAGAGACTACGCCAGAATTTATTGGGGAGCAGGAATTCCTACAAGATGGTGGCCTTTATGCTTCTGGCCTGATATATGTTACCCTTTGCAAAAAAAAAAAAAAAAAAAAAACCGTCTTAAAACAAGTCGTTTACGGTTTTTGATAGACTCTGGTTTAGCTGTTTCAGATGCACGTTCGTCACCAGGATGACCAGCGATAGATGCGGCCGGAAGATGATCCACTTGGATGTGTAGAGAATGTTGATTACTTTCTAGTTGATCAGGCGCTCGTGGGGGCTCGTTCAGTGAGGATCTGTCCACTTGTTGCCATTGGCTAGGGCCCCGGAGGAAGATAAGGTACTGGGTGATTAGGACTGAGCCGGTTGCTGCGAAGTTTATAACACTTTTTATCAAAATTAGGGCATCCTCGACTTTTCCTAGGGACTTCCAGGTATAGGCAAGGTTGCCCATGTCGTTCAGACACTCAGGATGCTCTGGCCCTAACACTCGCTTGCAGGTCTCCATCACCTGCACCTCCAGCTCTTCTGCTTCCTTCCATCGTCCCTGGTTCCGATATGTGGATGCTGCCAAGGTCATGCTGATCAAAGTAGAGAGATGTTTGTCGCCATTTTTTGTTTGTTGTATTTTCATAATATTTGTGGACAGTAGCCCCACTTCACTATATCTCCCATCACTATCAAGGCACATTCCAACATTCTAGACTAAGTTAGTGTATTTCTCCTGCTGCTTCTGAAACTCGTTCTCTCCTATCAATAATAGAGCATGAGGCAGGTATTCCCGCCACAGATTTCGATTGTTATGGTTATTATTTGGAAAGATTACATTTAATCAGTCTGCTGTTTTCAACATTTGCAGGACAAACTGCTGTTCCCTGCGCATCCAGTTCCGAGTTGCAAGATGCACAAGCTGATGAAGACTTAGCAAGCCCTCCCCAACTTGCTCACTAACAAAAGAATAAGCCTTAAGGAGACCAATGGCGTCACTTTTCCTCTTCTTAGATGTGGGCTGGGGAAGAAATGACTGAGGAATATTGCGTGGATTTATGCAAGCCATGAATGATAGATAGCCCGTTGCTAGGTCGTCCAAGCGCTGAATCTGCTGAAAAGATATCAACCAGGTGGTGGCCACTGGGTTCTGAATATCTTTGTATCGTCCTTCATCCTCAAAATGCTCACTTAGCAACTCTACAACATCAGTCTCCTGTTCCTGTAGAAGTGTGATATAGTTGGCCAGCCCCATATTGTTCTCATTGATATATGATGCCGCCTGAGTAATGGCCAGAGGGAGAAAAGTCAACAGTTTAAGAAGAGCAATAGCTGTCTCTGTCATCGAGCAAGTCTTTTTGAATTAGTGACTTTTTCAGGATCTCCACACCAGTGTTCTTATCCAATTCAGAGATCGATATCACATAAGGCGACGCTAGTTTCACTGCTAGCTTTTTATTGCGAGGTGTAAAGATAATATGGCAGTTGTCGTTTTGAGGGAGAAGGTTCTTTAATGCTGGCACAGTGTTGCTCCCCTTGATCCACATGTCCGTATCGTCTGCATTGTCGAAAATAAGCAACCACTTCCCAGACCTCCTTTGGCTGAGATAAGTCTTGACTTGGTCTTTTTCCTCCGCAGGCTTCATCTCTTGGATCCCCACTATCCGCGCGATACTCCTGTAGGCTTGTTCAACGCTCTCAGGACTGGTGCAAGGGATCCAGAAAATTGAGCACTCAACATCCCTAGCTTTCGTATGATGAGCCAACTCAAGCGCCACTTGAGTCTTCCCAACCCTCCCTATCCCAGATATAGCGATCTTGGTGGGTCCATGTTGGTTCATTATTAATTCCTCAAGCTTGGTGATCTCGTCTTGCCGGCCCACAAACTGCAGATTTCTTCCGAATGGGACCATCCAGTGGCATTGTCTCTCTACTGAAAGACTGTGTTTAGCATAATGAAACTTGATCAAAGTACCCTGACTAACCTTCTGCGAATAGGTCTCCAATACTCCAAGAAATTTTTGGCGGCTGAAGCACCCGCTGCTGCTGCATAAGCTTGCCATGTCTTGCTTTTATGGCTGTCCGCATAGTCACACACCCCTTTAATGATGATGCATAAAATATTGTCCCACACTCTGGCCCCCTCCATCTCAAAGCCAATGTCTTTCTCTTTTCTGACAATTTGATCACGTTGCTCTCCAGATTTCATCACTGTGTCGGCAGATGCGACTTTTCCAATGTGTACAGATGCTTTGTCTGCGTCTGCACTACCTCGGCGACGACTAACTCGGTTCTCATCACACCCAAGACCATTGCAAGATTCCCCCAGTGCCTCTTCACAAATATAATCAGGCGAGTTACCATTGACACAACAGCACCTGGCAGGACGCCTCAAAGAGAACATCGTTAGTACAGCCTGGAGACTGCCATCTTGGCTCTGATTGCTGGACCGCGAGAAGATGCTGCAGCATCTGGTCTCTAAATTTGTTATTATTTTGGCTAGCCTTCAAGCCTGCTAGGAGGTTTTGAATTTCCCTGTCTGCGATCTTCTTGATATCAGTCTTTTGCTGGAAACCACCGGGATATTGTCTGCCGAAATCGTATTCAACTATAGTCGCTGATGATAACATCGCCGAGAAAGATATTTTGATTGTCAGATGGATATGGAGCCCCTTCACAAATACCAACGACCAGCGCAAGCTGGATTCCAGTGTAGCTGACTTGGAGGCTCGAAGCCACACTTGCAGCGCTTCCTTTTCCCATTTCTGGCATGTAGCAGAGAACAACATAATGCTCTCCAATCCTTCCATTTATATATGAGTTCGCATCTCCGGATTGTTTACCGTAAATATTGCCCAATCGGTCGTAGGTTTCATCGAAAAGTGCTTCAACAGCGTCAGCCTCGAGAGGAATGGTGCAGATCATCGCGATCCCAAAATCAGTTCGGCTCCTCGGGCACATTGTGAGCTGTTCTTGGTAGGTTTATCTCTAGGGCTTAGAAATTTCGGCCTTCTATTGATCACAAGGGGAATGGAATCTATAGCTTTGACAAGGTCATATCCAGGACGGTTCGTTGGGCATGAAGATGGAGTGCTAGGAGGAGTAATCAGCTACGCTTATCTGCAAGGCTGTCACTCGTAGAGCCAATCATTGGCACACATATAATAGACAACCGCAGCCCATTCAGCAACATCACAATCTGGGAGAAATTTAGCACTTCATCGCTTTAGTCAAGTAACTTTCAAGAACTTCAACCACGTGAATATCCCAGCACCATACTGGTAAAAATTCACGAGTAAGGGTTATTCCGGTAGTAATCAGATACGTAGAAGTAAGTCAAAATATGGCGCATACTTCAATTCTATGGTCACTGCTACCTCGTTATTGTATGGACCAGTCAGCGCTTGAGTGGTCGGTTTGAGAGGGAATGGCAGAGGAGCGGACCGCCAACCCGACAGTTCTGGTTTATAAAACGGCAATTGGTGCATCTCACAGTTCAATGCCGGGAAGATTTCCATCCTACAAATCATCGGCGGACGAGGGCTAGACAGTTGAACCGGGATGGCGAGCACGGCAGTATCCAACGCTGGAACCATCACTGGGGATGCTTGGTAGTGATGTCGCGGACAATATCGGAGAAGCGAAACTGAATCTGCTGGACCAATTTCTGGACGAATGTGAGAAGTACGACATTTTGTGATGCGTATTTAATAGGGGACGGTGTTGTATGTTTTTCATCTTGTCGCTCGCACAAGAAAGGCAACAATGCAACTGCCATCTCTTGGGAGATATTTAATCAAATAAGTGGAAGGGTCAATGGTATGGATTTGTTCTTACATATCAATAAGCACAGGCTAATTATAGTAAAATAGCCACATTTCCTAGCTGGATGGGCTCGACTTCTCGGGCCAATGTTCTCAACAAAATTCTTGGATAACCTGTCTCCTTTGGACTCCGTATCAGTGGCACAAGCCCTCTTGAGGAAACATTTGTGCCCATATTCCAGCAAAAGGCTTAGTCTCCAGTGTAATCTTGGATGTTCCAACCTGGAGCCAGCTCACCATCTTGATGCCATTTAACCCCCAAATCCGAACACGCCATTTTGTTGGTCCGCTGCCAGCAAACAGCAGTTAAACTTATACAATTTCTACTAAGCTGCTTCGACAACCCAAACCCAACACCACATCATTCTCATCTCATCCAAGGTGCGATCCTGAGCAAGCCGTCCACTGGAAAAGGTGGTCATATCACGTTCAACCGCATCTTCCAGCTAAAGCAGGTCTATCGGGCTTTCCGTCCACCAACCAGGATTTCTGAATGCCGCCTTCAGTTCCGTGACAATCATGCCTCGATCACAGTCTTGACAAAGGATCGGTATGAAGTGAATCTGGCACTCAATGAGACGTCAAGGAGCGGATAATTCTCTATACAAAATGCTTCAGGCTTCAATATTGATCTGAAGTTCAATATTGATACAGCCGAGCTCCTTTGTGTGGACAGGGTAGAATAGCCTATTCACTTTTAACTAAGACCTAGAAGTACATCGAACGCTGATTCCTATTGTAATTTTATGGTAATTTCGTGGGCTTTCAACGCTGTAACACCTTGATATGCGAGAAAAGAACTTGCATAATGACCCACAAACATGTTCATTCGCACACCTGTCGTTCGCAAGGTTGGAGATCGAAGATATCGTTGAGATTAGTGTTGTTGAGGCTGCGGCAGTCTCGAGCAATATGAATTTATTGGTAAACGATCTAGTAAAATACTAGCATGAGGAAAAAGAAAGAACTCTGGGCCTGCCAGCGCTGGACTATCTAGGGTGTGAGCGGATTCTGGCTCTATTCCAAACAGAAAAAAGGAATCAAGCATGCCGTACTCATGTTTCATAACAGCATTGAGAAGTCTGATTTGGGTCAATGATACTCAAGTCAACAACATTGACTCGGCTCCTGATTTAAGCAATCACTTGGCTCAGTGTCACTCAGTGTCATTTTTCTAAAAGTACATTGAGCTCGAGACGACATCGAAAAGAGCACCTTTTCAACTGCTGATATCAGGTGCAAATCGTCCAGAACCTCGGGCAACAGTTGTTCTCGGTGCCGGAATTATATACGTTTGTGAGCGATTGCAGTTGACTATGGTTGAGATTATCATGTGAGGTGATATCTGTTTACCTTTTGATCATATACTTTCACTGCAGGCAGGTAGAGGTCAGCATTGTGGTTCACAGCGCCCTTTTTTGCTACACCATTCTTCACCAGCCTCATGCCTACATCCCTTCTTAACTACAGGTCTAACAGAAGAAAACGGAGATGGGAAAAAAGGTATTCCCAAAATAATAGTGACACTGAGCAATTAAACAATAGCACTAGAGCCTAGTTGTGCAATGCACACCAGCTCGTATAGGTACATATATATTCCATTCCATCCAGCCATATCATACATCATGTCAGTCAATTCCATGCTCGTGTCGCAATCTTTTCTTTCTTTCTGTCTTTCTGTCTTTCTTGTAAATCTTCGTCGAATTAGGTGAATCAAAATCAATATTTTGCCATGATTATAACCTTGGTATCATAACCCCGGGCAGTGAGTGTCAAGTAAATCAGAGCGCAAAAAACAAAAAAAAAAAAAAAAAAAAAAAAAACGAAGGTCAA